ACACCGGTCCTGAAAGACCTACATTGACTCCCAGTACGTTTCCGAGCACAATTCAAACTGCTGGTGCTGACCTTTAAAGACCTAAACGGCCTCGGTCCAGTATACCTGAAGGAGCATCTCCACCCCCATCGTTCTGCCCAGACACTGACGTCCAGTTCTGAGGGCCTTTTGGCAGTTCCCTCACTGCAAGAAGTGAGGTTACAGGGAACCAGGTAGAGGGCCTTCTCGGTGGTGGCGCCCGTCCTGTGGAACGCCTTCCCTTCAGATGTCAAGGAAATGAACAACTATCTTACGTTTATAAGACATCTGAAGGCAGCCCTGTTTAGGGAAGTTTTTAATGTTTGAAGTTTTATTCTGTTTTTAATGTTCTGTTGAAAGCCACCCAGGGTGGCTGGGGAAACCCAGCCAGATGGGCAGCATAGAAATAATAAATTATTATTATTATTATTATTATTATTATTATTAAATTAATTAATTAATTTCAGCAGTTAACCACTACAGGTGAACGACCAAACTTTGGGAGAGCATCATTAGCAGGGATGGGCTCTGAGCGTCGTTCAGCAGTAGCGAATGTGATACCTTCCAGATAGTTCAGGTATAGGGGACCTGTGGCCATCAGGATATTTTGGGACTCTGACTCCCATCATCCTCGGCCATCAAGGCCAATGTTCAGGGATGATGGGATCTGTAGTCCAGCGAAATCTGGAGGATGCCACATTGGCGGCCCACAGTATAGTTAGAAGGAGATGTTTCACTGATTCTTGATTGTTGGAAGAGAGGATTGCAGTGTTCCTTGCAAAACAACAACTGCCCTGTTTAAAACCAGGCACTCGTCTTCTGTTGCTGCTACACTAAGGTCACTATGGGGATAAATTGCTACCTTGTCGCAGGGTCACCCCCTTTATCACAGAAGGAAAATTCCCATGTTAATGTCAATCATTTATACCTGCCTTGCCTGAGAGGGTCTTGATCCTTCGGCCAGAAGGGTGATGTCTTTGTTGCTGGGTATCGATGCTGATATATTCACGTAGCGTGACAAGTGTATGTATGTCAGATTTGTCCATCAGATTCGTTCATTTTGGGGTGACTTCCCCTCAAGCTTTGTAAACATCCTCCCCCCCACCCCATCTCCAGAAGACGTCAGTCGTTTCCACATCTTCCTGTCTGGGCTTGACAAGTGGTCCTTTTTTGAAAGCTGTTCCCTGCCTCCAAAAGGGGAGGGCATCTCTGTACAGAAGACTTAAATAGGGATTCCTACATGACGAGCACATTGTACGTTGCATGGAAGGCATTCCACAGCTACCAAAGGCTTTGGCGCATCAGGAGAGCTGAACATGAAGGTATGTGGGAACGGCAGTCATTTCTTCTTGGTTTTGAGCTGATCTCCTTATAGCTGCTAAGAATGGCAAGGGATGCCATGCCCTATTCTTGCAGTTCAAAATGCCAGAGCAATTGATCATGTATAGAAAACTCATAAATCTTCCGTAGCAGCACAAAGTGATCTTAGGGCTGTGTTTAGAAACCCCAATGAAATGTGGAGATTCTCATCCCATCCCCCTTATGATTGCTTTTAGTGTCTGTGTGCCAATAGGATGGCTCCAATAATTCTTTCAACTGAATGTTGTCTGATTTGATTATAAAAATAAACTTCAGAAGACTTTGGGAGGAGGGGGGAAATGTAACAGGAGGTTAGATTCTTTCAGATCGCTAGGAAGTCTATTATTGTGTCTCTCAGATTAAAGCACAGCTTCTGAAATAATGTCGATGAAGTAAAGATGATTAGGATTGCAAAGTCCCGGTTCTTAAGGCTGCAGTCTTTTACCTGGAAGTAAGCACCACTTAACTTAATGGGTTTGACTTCTGAATAGGCAGGTATAAGAAGCATGTCTCTCCCACTAAAATTAGTTAGACGTAAAATTCGGCTTTATTGTGTCCAGGAAGGATATACTGTATAATGTACATGCACATGTAGATTTGGATATAGATGCGTGTGTAGAATTATACCTATATATTAGGTTGGTAATCCATTTACTGAAGTCTTAGTTGATCAATCCCATGATTTTCACTCAATTAAATATGCATGTTTTCAAATAACTAAAAGCCAGAGTTTGTTTTGGGGGTGATGCGTACACCCACACCTCATGGTAGGTATTCCCTGCTGTGGAAGAATTTTGAGATAGCCTCTGCCATCCATGATTTTTGTAGAACACTCTTCTCAATGTGATTTTACTGTCCTATGAATGAGGGGCACCTTTGAAAGATGTCAAAGTTTCTTTGGCTGAGAGTCTTTGCTGTCAAATCTATTATTATTATTATTATTATTATTATTATTATTATTATTATTATTCAAGCTGTGGCTGTGAAGGAAGAATTTCCCCCTAAAGTTTAAAACCACTTGACACCACCTGAAAATCTGCATTAATAACTGCATAATGAGTTGGTCATGTGATAATAGGTGAATGACAGGTAGGCACCTTCAGTGACTGGTCAAACTAGCCCGTGGAAGGTTGGCCAAAACCAGTTTGAAATATACATTTACGAACATGAGTTTGACTAAGCTGCGGGAGGCAGTGGAAGACAGGAGTGCCTGGTCCATGGGGTCACGAAGAGTCGGACACGACTAAACAACAACAAGCCTCCTTGAACACAGTGGTACTTACTTCCAAGTAAACATCGATAGGATTGCATTGCTAATAAACTAATGTTAACACTGTTATTAACTTAAACCTATTGCAAACTCTTTTATCTAGACAAGCCTTCCCAAAGGAGTGATCTCAGCCATGCAATTTGGATCTGGGCAACTTGCTTGACCTATGTTTACAGATGTTATTAGAGCTGTCACAGAGGGAGTGAGACAAGAGTCGCACAACGATACTCACTCCGAGATACTCTAGGGAAGAACGAGCTGCCATTTCTCCAGCCCTCCAACCTCTGATATACCTTATGCTTGCAATTAGATTTCATTTCAATACTGGCTCATTTTACAAGTGCCGCTTAACATTCATTCCTCACTTGCAAGGAATTGATCTTTTAGTGTGGTGGCGCCCAATCTGCGGAACTCCATGCCTATTGATAATAGGCAGGAACCTACATGTTTCTGGTGCCTGCAAAAAGCATTTTGTTTAGTAACATGGGAACCAACTCCTAGGGGCCAAGGTCCCTTCACCTCCCCCAGTAGACTATTTGAGGGGGCTGGGCTCCCTCCCAAAGTTGATGCGCATTGCCATTCAAATGGTGTTTGCACTCCGTGTCTTGTTGTCGATTATGTGGGGCAGAGTTTATCTCAATATTTTATTCAAGTTGACGCACATCCCAATTTTTTTTATCTGAAAAAGTTGGATGGTATGTTACACCAATCTTGGTTTGACTGTACTGGCTGCTAGTTGATTTCTAGGCTCAATTCAAAGTGCTGTTTTAGACCTAAGGTAAAGGTAAAGGGGATCCCGGACCATTAGGTCCAGTTGTGAATGACTCTGGGGTTGCGGCGCTCATCTCGCTTTATTGGCTGAGGGAGCCGGCGTACAGCTTCCGGGTCATGTGGCCAGCATGACTAAGCCGCTTCTGGCGAACCAGAGCAGCACACAGAAACGTAGTTTACCTTCCCGCCGGAGCGGTACCTATTTATCATCTTGTGCTTTTGAACTGCTAGGTTGGCAGGAGCAGGGACCGAGCAACGGGAGCTCACCCCGTTGCGGGGATTCGAACTGCCAACCTTCTGATCGGCAAGCCCTAGGCTCTGTGGTTTAGACCATAGCGCCATCTGCGTCCCTATAAAGCCTTAAGTGGCCCAGGACCACAATAACTTAAGGACCACCAATCCCCAAATGAACTGACCCAGACCCTGCAGTCATAATCTGAGGCCCTTCTTTGTATGTCTCCTCCACGTGAGGTCTGGAGGGAGAAAGGGCCTTTTCTGTGGTGGCTCCTTGTTTGCGAGACGCTCTCCCCAGAGAGGCTCACCTGGCGCCATCATTACATCTCTTTAGGGCGAAGACATTTCTCTTCAACCAGTCTGACTAAGATTCCATGGCCTTTTAAATGTGTCTCGACTGGGGGGGGGCATTATTGATTTGTTTTGCTTTTGCTTTATGATGTATTTTGTGTTTTCCTTTTGTATCATTCTGTTGCAAACCGTCCTGCGGTCTTTGAATAGCGGGCGGTATGCAAATTTAATAAATAAAAAATAAAACAAACTCAATAAAATAACAAACAAATAACGCCGCCATGTCCTCTTGGCCTCTTTTGCCCGCTCCAGGGACTCCACCGGGGGACGGCCACTGCCCTGGCCTTGCTGCTCTCTGCTTGTTTCATCACTTTTTCCAGGACTGCTCCTCAGGTAAAGGCAGCTCTAGGTTTGTATTGGCTCAGTTGTACAGAGTGAAACGTAGGCAGGCGTCCACAGTTCACTGCGCATGATCTAAGGGGAAGAGCCCTTTTCAGTCTGAGGCCCACATTCTCTTCTGGGCAACACTCTGGGTGCAGTACACTGTTGGGATACTGCTGGGGAGATGGGGGCATCAGGCAGGCCCCCAGCTGGCTCCAGCCACCGGCCGGCAGCCGGACGATCACCGGTCTCCCTCAGAACAGCATCAATCAGCAACACGAGCCTCAGATGGGTTTAGAGTCCCGTGCACGCTCTATCAGCAGAGTGCGTAAATTTCCCCACAGCAGAAGAGGCGGACAGAGAAATGGGTAAGCATAATGTACAGTGTTTTATTCAGCATAGTTGAGGAACAAAGGAAAACATGTCTGCTTCCCTTCGTCTCCAGCAAAACAGCCGTAATGCAAAAGCAATATACAAACGGATGTTCCCAGCAAGCGCTGGAAGTAAACAGGCATATGACACACAACAGTCATGCCTGTACCCTTTTAAGGTGGAACGGAACTATATCCTAACATGTGTGTAATAATAATAATAATAATAATCCCTCCCCTTACCACCCCTTTCTTGTTTTGTTCCAAAGGATCACTTCCAAAGAAGAAACTGGACTCCACAAGCAATGCTCTATTTAAAGGGCGCACGTAAGTGTTGATTCCAATTTATCCTCCTGGGAAGGAGTTTGTTTGGAGTGAGTATCCTATTTGTGTGTGTTTGTGTGTATTTTTGTGTGTGTGTGTGGAGAAAGGGAGTGTGTATTTATAAGGAATTAAGTATAATAAGATTAATAGAGTATTAAAGGAAAAAATAAGGTTAGAATGAGTTAAGATAATTATAGGATAAAAAACAGAGGTAGATGGAAAGGAATTGCTGAAATAATTAACAGGAGTGGAATACAAAAAGGGAGGTGTGAGGAGGTCGAGGAAATAAGTGAATGAAAGATGGGATAATGAAATTTGATTTATTTTATTGTTGCATTGTTTTGTTAGTTTAATGCATTGTATTGTATGTGTTTTTTCTTTTAGTGTTTAAATTTTTTAGAAGAGTAATAAATATTATTTTTTTAAAAAAAATGTCTGTGTGTGTGTGTGTGTGTGTGTGTGTGTGTGTGTGGAGAAAGGGAGTGTTTCTATTTCTCCATAATAATAGTGTTTGTGGAAGGGGCGTTATTAGTTTGTTTTCATTTCTTTGTGTTCTCATTCTGCGTTCTTACGTTGTGAACTGGGATCTTTGGATGAAGAGCAGTATACACCTTTAATAATAATTCTTTTTGTGGGTCCAACACACTGGACCAACTTCAATGGGATGGATCAGGCAATTGGGAACAACAGATAGGCTTGGCTCTCTAGAGACTGGGGTGGGGTGCTGGCTAAGGGCCGAGATGCTCTCAGGGGTCCACTGACCCACTGGCCATCTTGACCCTCCAGGACTGGGGTATTGCAGCTGAAGGAATCCTGTTTGTTGCTTCTGCCACAAGGGCCTCTCCTCTGCCTTTCTCTAGGGCCTCAGTGGTTCCTAATAATAATAACAATAACAACAACAACAACAACAACAACAACAATAATAATAATAATTTATTCATACCCCGCCCTTGTGGCTGGGTTTCCCCAGCCACTCTGGGCAGCTTCCAACCAAATATTAAAAACAATACAGCATCAGACATTAAAATCTTCCCCAAACAGTTGTCTTTTAAAAGTAAAATAGTTGTTTATTGCCTTGACATCTGCTGGGCAGGCATCACTACCAAGAAGGCCCACTGCCTGGTTCCCTGTAACCTCACTTTTCGCAGCGAGGGAACCAACAGAAGGCCCTCGGTGCTGGACCTCAGTGTCCTGGCTGAATGATGGGGGTGGAAACGCTCCTTCAGGTATACAGGACCGAGGCCATTTAGGACTTTAAAGGTCAGCACCAGCAGTTTGAATTGTGCTCAGAAATGTACTGGGAGCCAATGACGATCTTTCAGGACCGGTGTTATATGGTCTTGGCGGCCACTCCCAGTCAGCAGTCTAGCTGCTGCATTCTGGATTAATTGCAGTTTCTGAGTCACCTTCAAAGGTAGCCCCACACAGAGCGCATTGTAGCAGTCCAAGCGGGAGATAAATAGAGCATGCACCACTCTGGCAAGACAGTCTGTGGGCAGCTGCTCCACCTCATCTGGAGTTACTTCATACCATTGAATTCCACCACGTCAAACACATCTCTTCTAAAATGTGCAAAGATTCCTGCGCGCAGTTGTGTTTTCATGCACTCCACTGCGACATCCTTGCTAGGGTCTTTGGAGTATTGTCAGGGACTGTGCTGAGGAGGGCTGCACTGAGGAGGAATGGTTGGATCCTGATCAGGATCCCGAATCTTCCCAGGAGCAGGGAAGTTTTATAGATTTGGAATAGTGGTTTGCAGAGGGACATAGTTCAGAAGGCAGAAGCTAGGAAGTACTGGGTGGGGAACAGCTAGGAGGAGGAGAACTGGGAGAGAGATAGTTAACAGACTCACTGTCGCTGGAAAGCATCCATCCACTCAGCCCAAGGTCAAGGAGAGCAGATAAGGTGGCAGCACAGAAAGTACAGTGGTTGCAAGATCAGGTTACAAGACATGGTAGTGACATGGATGACTAGGGAGGGAGTGAGTGAAGTCCTTAATTGGGAGCACCGCCATTCCTGGGAATGGATTCTTTGTTCTCTCACTGAGATCTTTTAAATTTCTAACTGGTAAGAGACTTATTTCGCTTTGTTCTGCTTATCTATGGCTGAGGGTGGGGGTGGGGGAGAATCCTGACAAGCTAGTATCCCACATTGGCGTTGGAAGTCTAGCAGCCCAGGAAGTAAATTGTATTGAATTCAATGAGGTTTACTCCCAGATAACAGAGGTTAGCAGGATGTCACAGCCTTCCAAAATCTTTTGAATCCCTTGCTTTATAAAGTTATGATACCTTTTTTGAGCTCCTTTGCTTAGTGCCAGTCACCTCTCCTAAAACAAAGAATCTCTTAACACTGTGATTTTCTCCCAAACCTCCCCAAAGATTACCCCCCCTTTCCCCTACTTCTTACTCCCCACCTCCCAAACTCTTTGACACTGCAGGAGACTCTTGGGGGCTCTCAGTTCTGGTGCATTTATTTGCAGGTCTCTTCTGTGAGATGTAGATGCAACAATAGGGCATTCGTGATGGATTCAGACACACTGTTCTGCTTATTGTCCTGAGATTGTTCCCTAACAGTGACCACATTATGACACTCTGGAGGGGTTCCCTTGCAATGTAGTGGAACAAAACAGCAACAGCCTTAGAATATTTGTGGTATTAAAAATGACAGGATTCCATTGGGAGGTTATGGGCCATGCGCTGATTGGAAATGAAGCAGTATGTCTGCCCCAAAACATTTGTAGGCACCAACAGAATTCTGGCTCAGGGCTTCTTTTCAGCCGGAATTCAAGTGGGCGTTATTGCTATTATAAGAGAACCAGGGAGGCGTTCATGGTGAGTTCTGGTACCTTTTTCTTTACTAGAAAATTAGCTCTGTGTATAAAGGTAAAGGTAAAGGGACCCCTGACCGTTAAGTCCAGTCATGGACGACTCTGGGGTTGCGCGCTCATCTCGCTCTATAGGCTGAGGGAGCCGGTGCTTGTCCACAGACAGCTTCCAGGTCATGTGGCCAGCATGACTAAGCCGCTTCTGGCGAACCAGAGCAGCGCATGGAAACGCCGTTTACCTTCCCACTGGAGCGGTACCTATTTATCTACTTGCACTTTCACGTGCTTTCAAACTGCTAAGTGGGCAGGAGCTGGGACCGAACAACAGGAGCTCACCCTGTCGCGGGGATTCGAACCGCCGACCTTCTGATTGGCAAGCCCTAGGCTTTGTGGTTTAGACCACAGCGCCACCCACGTCCCTGTTAGCCCTGTGTATAGCCAGCCCAATACCATCCTGGATGCACAATAAAGAAGATAGCTTTGGAAGACCCCCAGGACTGCAAATGTTGCCCAAGAATTACCACCTGGTATTCCAGCTCATTGTCATTGCATTTCAGAAGGACGTCGGTTCATCTCAGAGGAGAGCCAGAGGAAGGATCTGTACGACAGGCTGCAGCTAGGTAAGCAAGGCTGTGTGTGAAGCAGATTGAAATTGGACACCACCACCACTTTTAGAAAACATGTAAGTGCCTCTGCCTAGTAAAAATGGATCCTAATGTGTATTGAAAATACGTTTGTCTTTGCAGAAACACGGAGCCAAAACGCAAACCCTCTGACCCTTCCCGAAGCTGTGGCGTTGTTTCTGTCCTCCTTGCAAAAAGCGCATGAGGAAGGTAACATCTCATTTCGCTCCAGGAGTTCCTTTTGCAGATTACTGCTAATCGAAACCAACTTGCTGCTCCTTTGTCATTTGCAAGGCCCATTTCTTGTGCAATTCCTTCACTGTGATCCATTGGGTTTTATTACTGCTGTAGCCATAACATGCATGTGTGCCCGTTGTCATGAGATTAAAAACCACCCAGTGATATGTGTGAGTCGGAAAATGTAAACAGCCATTTGTCTCTCGGATAATGTCCCAAGACAGCTTTTAAAAACATATATGCTAAGGACGCAACTCAGTACTCCATTAAAGGTAAAGGTAAAGGTAAAGGGACCCCTGACCATTAGGTCCAGTCGTGGCCGACTCTGGGGTTGTGGTGCTCATCTCGCTTTATTGGCCGAGGGAGACAGAATACAGCTTCCGGGTCATGTGGCCAGCATGACTAAGCCGCTTCCGGCGAACCAGAGCAGCACACGGAAACGCGGTTCACCTTCCCGCCAGAGCGGTACCTATTTATCTACTTGCACTTTGACGTGCTTTCGAACTGCTAGGTTGGCAGGAGCTGGGACCGAACAACAGGAGCTCACCCCGTCACGGGGATTTGAACTGCCGACCTTCTGATCGGCAAGTCCTAGGTTCTGTGGTTTAACCCACAGTGCCACCCGTGTCCCTAAGTACTCCATTATCTTCTGGTAAATGCCAATGAAATCAATGTAGAATGGCTGCCAGTAAGTGTTGACATTGCTGACTCCATCGAAGGAGTCTCATGTTTCTATTTGGGAAAGACCAAAATTCAGCAGAAGAGCATCTGATTGATTTCATGTAGTACATGATTTATTTTGATCCTATTACGGCTTTAGATACCTATTAGGTCCATAAATTACCATATAGCATATATTCAACACAAAAAAACAGTGGCAATTTGTTGCTGACAAAGGACAGCTGGACATATAAAGGGCCCCATTACCTTCTGTAGCTTAGGGCCTCATCAAACCTAAATCCGGCCCTGCACAGAGGCATGCGTTTTTAAAAATACTAAAAGACAGTACTAGGCCATCCTGCAGAGCTCTTCTGAACGCTACCACTCTTTGTTCTAGCAGGTGAAGAGGATACGGAGGAGAAGCCTGGCTATGTTGCTGATGGGCTGCTGAACTGGTGAAAGGTGTTCGAGCTTAGATGAAAACGTCCTATTGCATGTACTTAAAAAAAGAAAAAAGAAAATATCTTCCATAGATGAAGAAGAAAACTCAACTTTGCCCATTCATCTCGTCCGCCTGCCTGGCCTCAGCTGTCCTCTGAATCGCCCTGTGGCATAAATGCTAAACAATTAAAGGGCAGTTTCCAGCTTAGAAACCTATTTTTTACATGCATTTGTTATTATAATGTTCAGCTCATACTATATATATCATGGGCCTTCTGTATGCGTCGTGTATTTCCTCCCCTATCCCCACCCTTTGGTTTTGCAAATATCTGAAGGATAAAAGCTGAAAATGACTTGGTCACACGTGTCTAGGTAAGTAAGACATGGAAATGGAAGTGATGAAAGCTGGATATTTGTAACAAAATAGTATTTCATCCCTAGGGGTCAGTTGCCCAGTTAGCTCTTATTTCCTCTCCAGTAGTTGCCAGTTTTGGATGGTGCAGGCTTGTGTCTACACAACATGTGTAGGCTTGGTTTATACAAATTCAATTGCCATGGCGTCTCCCAAAGAATAGTGGGAAATGTGGTTTGGTGCGTGTGCTGAGTGTTCTCTGTTAGAGATCCCTTGCCCGTCTTACAGAACTACAGTTCCCAAGGTTCTCTGGGCTGAGAGAATGACTGTTAAACCAAATAAAGCCCTCAAGTGTATGAATATGTGTGTTTGTGTCTCTGTGTGTAGACACACACACCCCACCACAGCATTTACCTTACAGGGTGTATATCTGTGCTGTGGATTCTTGAGTAGGTAAGCAAAAACGAGTCCTTTTTCACACCAATTCATAATCGGCTTGTGGAACTCATGGCCACAAGAGCCCCCTGCAGATGCTCCCCCATGAATTCAATGAAGTATTAATATATTACCTGCTAAACATTTCCCCCCCGGCCCAGTAGCTGCACATCGAGTGGTAATGTGAAGGGATCTTATGCGCCTACAGATCTATGTGAGCAGAACGTGGGAAGCACTGAGTGGATTCAGATAACTCTGATGCATGAGGAAGTGGTCAAGCGGTTTCCCTTCTTGTCCATCCTTGCAGGTTATGGGTTTGGCAAAGAGTTCAGAGACTTTTTAAATATTTTGGATGCCTGTCCACATCAGTGCACACTCTCTCCCTTCCTTACTGACTTTAAGTCTCATCCACTTGCTGTGGATACGATGCATTGAAACTTGTGTTTAGCCTGTAGTTGTTCCGCACGATTCATGCTTCCTCCATATTTCTGGGTTTCTGTTTTGCATTTTGTTACTCCTCAGTTCAGTAAGCTTTTCAGCGCAATTACGGAATACATCCATTCCAGCTAAACTGTAACCTACTCCTTCAGACCGGGGCGGGGGGAGAATCAATATTGCGCCTACCGGTATTTATGATTATTATTGCATCTGTACTGAAGAATCATTTAATAAACATTTGGAAACAACTTCACCTGTTCCTTTGGCCTCAAACTTCGCCCTAACCGGAAGCCTAAGACAAAGCAATTAAAAAGCTAAACACATAAGCTTAGATTAAGCATCATTTAATAATACTTCTAATGGCGAAACCAGATGAATGCATGTTTAATAAACAGAGGGTGGATCTACACACGGAGGGGGGGGACACTATAAATAAGTCAGAAATTAAATTGTTATAACAAAAAAAATTGCTATGGAAAATCGCATAGAATTTTTCTTTGCTCTCTGGCGCCATCTTGAGTTGCAGGTTTGTAATGCATTCAAAACACTCTTTCTTGACTAATGTAGCTGGGTCCACAATCTCACTAGTTCAGCTATAAAATGGAGGTGGGGTAACTTTCTAGAGGTAAAAGAGAATGCAGAGACAGGAGTGAAAATTGCTCACCCCCAATTCCGCCGTCTTAAGAACCTATGAAGAGCTTGCTAGATCATGTCAATGTCCAGCATCCTGTTCTCACAGTGACCAATCAGATCCGAGCACAAGAACCCTCTCCCTTCCAGCAACTGGGATCCAGAAGCCTTTGAATTACTGCAGGCCTCCTCAACCTCAGCCCTCCAGATGTTTTGAGACTACAATTCCCATCATCCCTGACCACTGGTCCTGCTAGCTAGGGATCATGGGAGTTGTAGGCCAAAAACATCTGGAGGGCCAAGGTTGAAGAAGCCTGAATTACTGCCTCCAACCATGGCTAGTAGCCATTGATAGGGATGGGGGGGAATTCATTTGGTTCACATTTTATTGCGAACCTAACACATTTCATCTTAACCTAACACATTTCATCCCAACACATTTCTAGTCAGCATCTTAAAAAGCAGAGACATCACCTTGCCAACAAAGGTCCGTATAGTTAAAGCCATGGTTTTCCCAGTAGTGATGTATGGAAGTGAGAGCTGGACCATAAAGAAGGCTGATCGCCGAAGAATCGAAGAATTATGGTGCCGGAGGAGACTCTTGAGAGTCCCATGGACTGCAAGAAGATCAAACCTATCCATTCTTAAGGAAATCAGCCCTGAGTGTTCACTGGAAGGACAGATCCTGAAGCTGAGGCTCCAAGACTTTGGCCACCTCATGAGAAGAGAAGACTCCCTGGAAAAGACCCTGATGTTGGGAAAGATGGAGGGCACAAGGAGAAGGGGATGACAGAGGACGAGATGGTTGGACAGTGTTCTCGAAGCTACCAGCATGAGTTTGACCAAACTGTGGGAGGCAGTGGAAGACAGAAGTGCCTGGCGTGCTCTGGTCCATGGGGTCACGAAAAGTCAGACATGACTAAACGACTAAACAACAACAACACATTTCATGCTTCCCGAACCAAACAGAAAGCTGAAATGCAACGATCCATTGAGATTCACACGTATTTGAATTTTGCAATGCAGTTCTTCAACCCAAAAATAACCACACAAAATAATAATAATACTAATAAAAACCTCAGAACAGAAATAATTATACTCATCAAGATAATGTACAAAAATGCATTCTGGTAGGGGAAAAAAATCCCTGCAGAAATATGTGTTATGTTGTGGGGGAGGAAATGTATGAATTTTCACGTGGACTGAATAATTAAAAAAAGAACTTAATGAGAAACGGAAATCAAAATTGACAGATTTTTCCACCCCTTCCTTCAATGCTTGAAAATGTTTTCTCATTTCTGATACAGCGGTACCTCAGGTTACATACGCTTCAGGTTACAAACTCCACTAACTCAGAAATAGTACTTCAGGTTAAGAACTTTGCTTCAGAATGAGAACAGAAATTGCACGGCGGCAGTGCAGCGGCAGCAGGAGGCCCCATTCGCTAAAGTGGTGCTTCAGGTTAAGAACAGTTTCAGGTTAAGAACGGACCTCCGGAACGAATTAAGTATTTAACCTGAGGTCCCACTGTACTGTGGTCAGGCAAGTATCCTAAAACAGCAAATCGCAGGGAGATAAGGTAGAAGGGGATTCCCCCCCTGCTCCCATCTCCTGCATGTTCCCTTTGAGTTAACCATCCTTTTCCCACCCTCTATACCCAGATTGACAAAACCCTGTTTAATAAGCCCTGTGCCCTGAAATGTTGCATAACTACAACTCCCATCATGCCTTTCTGTCTGGGGCTGATGAGATCTACAACATCTGCATTTGTTTTCTTTCCACCCTCTTCCCAATCCCTCCCTCCCTGCTCTGAATCTTCCCAGTGAATTGTAAACATAAATAGATGAGTTTGGAAGATAAAACTGGCATCTACTGCCCTTTCCATAGACAGACCCCATAAACAAATCTGCAATAGCATCAGCTACGCCGCTGACCCTTTCGGTTCATTCAATTCTCACAGAAATCAGAAAGTAGTAATAGTTTGTGGTTTATTGTGAATCTGGACAAGTTCAGACGGACGACATATTATGGCCAGGAACTGTATGCAAGCACTGAATAATAAGATGTTTTGAGGTCTGCTGGTTGACAGCAAATTATTCAAAGTAATTCTAGACTGGTTGTTTTAAAGGTGGCGGAAAATGATCGTTCTTTGGAATACAGGATAAGCAGTACGATTATAAGCAGCAACTCCCCACCACCACCACCAAAACATTTTAGCTTAAATAAATTTCCGTTTACGGATCTCTAGCTGTGGGAGAGATTCTTCAAATATTTCTAGATCGTGGTTCTAAGATGGAGAAGCTGTCGGAAAAGGACATATAGGAAATGCAGAAGAAAGGAAGTTTCTGCTTAAACATCTCTTGGGATCGGGTGCTTCAGTTCTGAGCCGTAGAATTGTAGAGGGGTACCCAATGGCCATCTAGTCCAACCCCCTGGAATGCTTGAAGTCTTCTCTGATAACAGGGACTAGCGCTCAAAAAGATATTTGAACCAGCTTTGGACTAATGGGGGAGGGTTGGGGTTTTTAATCTGTGAATGGCCTTTCCAAGGCATTTGGCTGACGGAGGCAAAGAACAAGATGTTTTCTGCTCCCCCAAATTCCATGTACAGGACCTGGCCAGACTAGCAGTCAAATCTTACTTCAATGTCCCATCAATGAGACAGAAAGATAAATTTGGAAGGAGCAGACCAGGCCATGTGGGACACACAGCTCTAGCCAAAGCTTTGCCCCTAATCCCTTTCTCTCTAGCAACTGCTGCTTCACTTTGCCCAATGAAAGGGCCGGCCCGGTATCCACAGCTGAAGGAGACAAACCGGATTTACTTGCATCACATCAAATTTAAAAATAGCAGCAGGCTGAGTAGCAGCTCTAAGAACAGTAGCTGTTCTTTCCCTGCCAAATTTGCAGGCAATAGGTGGCACTTTGATCCTCCTTCTTAGTGCCAAGATATTCGGGTTAAAGGTAAAGAGTAAAGGGACCCCTGACCATTAGGTCCAGTCATGGCCGACTCTGGGGTTGCGGCACTCATCTCGCTTTATTGGCCGAGGGAGCCGGCGTACAGCTTCCGGGTCATGTGGCCAGCATGACTAAGCCGCTTCTGGCGAACCAGAGCAGCGCACAGAAACGCCGTTTACCTTCCCGCCGGAGCAGTACCTATTTATATACTTGCACTTTGATGTGCTTTCAAACTGCTAGGTGGGCAGGAGCAGGGACCGAGCAACGGGAGCTCACCCCGTGGCGGGGATTCGAACCACCAACCTTCTGATTGGCAAGCCCTAGGCTCTGTGGTTTAACCCACAGCACCACCCGCATCCATATTAGGGTTAGGGATTATAAAAAAAGCCAGCATACAGTCCTGGTTTTTGACACATACTTCTAAATTATTTCTTCTACTGCCAAAGGGGGGAAGAGAACGAGGGAAGGGGGAGATGCACCATCAGAACTATTTATAATGGAGGAAGGAGGGCAGGGGATTCGAGGTATTTCAGACATCTAGTTCCCACCAGAATCATCCACACTTCCCTTACATCAGGTCATACCCAACTTTAAGGTAACGTGTACAAGCAGGATTGGCAGTAACCATTTGCCACCAAGCTGCATCAGTTCCTATATTCTCCGTGCTGCTTCTTTTTCCCATCCGGCACAGCGCTGAGGGAGAAAGGGGCCTTTATGTTCTGCCTGTCCCTCTCAGCCTCTTCGTCCTCGTCATATCTTTCATCCTCCTCGTCCAGCTCTTCGTCGCTTTGGTGGGGGCTGTTGTGCTGAGAGACGGAGGGCGAGGGGGGCACCGATGACGGGCGCGGGTACCGAAATCCTTCAGTCTGCAGGAGAAATGGAAGTGAGGGATAAATACGATGCAGGAAGGGCCCTTGATGTAAAAACGTGTCCTTCCTCCCCATGCCACCCAAAATATTTTTCATTAATTTAAAAATGTACACTGAGGTCCAGCTCCGAGGGCCTTCTGGCGGTTCCCTCACTGCGAGAAGTGAAGTTACAGGGAACCAGGCAGAGGGCCTTCTCGGTGGTGGCCCCTGCCCTGTGGAACGCCCTTCCACCAGATGTCAAAGAGAAAAACTACCACCAGACTTTTAGAAGACATCTGAAGGCAGCCCTGTTTAGGGAAGCTTTTAATGTGTAATAGACTATTGTAGACTATTGTATTTTAGTATTCTGTTGGAAGCCGCCCAGAGTGGCTGGGGAAACCCGGCCAGATGGGCGGGGTATAAATAACAAAATTATTATTATTATTATTATTATTGAAACATCTGTTTCTCAGAGCGATGGTGACGTGTTTAGTGGTCATGTTCGACTTATTCCCCTTGAAGCATAACATGTAGGAAGAGTTTCTTTCCCCAGGGCTACAACAGTTTAACAAGAACGTACAGCAACTCGGGCTGTCAGTGGAACTTTTGCGATTGATGTCCCTACCATCTGCCAAGGCTATAATAAAAACTAGGTTGTGGGATATTGAATGCCAAGAACTAACAGTAGCAGCAGAGAAAACATGTTCCCCTCTTTATTTTCAACTTTCTCGGGCACATGAAACTACCGTATTTTTCGCTCCATAAGAGGCACCTGACCATAAGACACACCTAGTTTTTAGAGGGGGAGTGCAAGGGAAAAAATATTATTTAAAGGGAATGCTGAGCAGAGCCTGTATGCATGCCAGGTTCTGAGGGGTTGCCCTCTGTCCCTTCCCCCACCTCCCGCAAAAGCCAGCAAGAGCCGCGCTCCCTTTAAAGAGCCACGTGGAGCGTGTGTGCGGTTCTTGGGGGCTTTTCCCCGAGGAGAGAGAAGGGACACACTCCACGCGGCTCTTTAAAGGGAGCGCTGAGCAGAGCCTCCCGCCTGCATTCGCTCCATAAGACACCCACACATTTCCCCTTACTTTTTAGGAGGGAAAAAGTGCGTCTTATGGAGGGGAAAATACGGTAACCATAATTACCTTGAATTTCTGTTTAGCCCTCAAGAAAAAAGGGCATTCTCGCTGGCCAGGTTTAATTCAAATCCATCAAACCTCTTTTGGGGAAGGTTCTCAGGCAGGGTGGAAGGAGAAAGAACTTGCCCATGTGAAGACCACCTGGTGGAAACCCTTACACATATGGTTTTCAATTGTAAACTATATGCTGATCTCTGCCAGTAATTTCTGGAACAACTCTGTATTCCCAAATGGAAACCAGAGTCAGAGGTCATACATTTTCTGTTACTGGGGAATGATCAGGAGCTCACCAAGTTAGTGGCTAAATATCTCTATTTGGTTTTTTGTCGCCGAAATACACTGCAGACGTCTGATCTCCCTGGAGACCTAGAGATATGACGATAGACTGCTCTGCCTCCTTTCTTTTAGCAAATGTTTTGTGCCAATGGGGAAATGGTAATTCTGTACTGATTTGTTTTGGATGTTGTATGTGATGCCAATAAAGGTTTTACGTTAGGATGTAGGAGGAGTTACCTTTGGTGGAGCATTTGGTTCCAGCACGAATTTTTCAGGAAATGTCCGACTAAGGGCCAGGTGCCTAGCATGCATATAAAACTGTAAGGAGAGAGAGAGAGAGAGAGAGAGAGAGAGAGAGAGAGAGATGTAACTTAGCTGCCCAGGCATTCACCCTCTCATGATCACAACTGTGTGAGAAGGTCCATGCCTTACCATGGTGTCCTTGTTACAACTCAATGACTTCTATGACCATGACTTCACGCAGTCAGTCACAGAATCGTGGAATTGTAGAGTTGGAAGGGACCCCAAGGGTCATCAAGTCGAACCTCCTGCAATGCAGGAATCTCAACTAAACCATCCATGACAGATGGCCATCCAACCTCTGCTTAGAAACCTCCAAGGAAGGAGAGTCCACCACCTTCCGGGGGGGTGTCCATTCCACTGTCAAACAGCTTGTGTCATGAGAAAGTTCTTCCTAATGTTTAGTTGGAATCTCCTCTCTTGTAACCTGAAGCCATTGGTTCGAGTCCTACCCTCCAGAGCAGGAACAAATGGGCTTGCTCTGTCTTTCATGTGGTGGGCCTTTAGATATTTGAAGATGCCTATCACATCTCCTTTCAGTCTCCTCTTTTCCAGGCTAAACACCCAACTCCCTCAACCGTTGCTCATAAGGCTTGGTTTCCAGACCCTTGATCATCACGTACTGATATATCCAAAAGCTACTTAGCAAATAATCCCAAGTGGGAGTTGGGAATCTTTTTCAGCCTGAGGGTTGTGTTCCCTTATAAGCAATCTTCTGAGGGCAGGTGTGCGCACGCACTAGTGGTGGGCAGGACCAGATGAAAAATAACACCAGTCTTGAAAGACCTACACTGGTTCCCAGTACGTTTCCGAGCACAGTTCAAAGTGTTGGTGCTGACCTTTAAAGCCCTAAATGGCCTCGGCCCAGTATACCCGAAGGAGCGTCTCCACCTCCATTGTTCTGCCCGGACACTGAGGTCCAGCTCTGAGGGCCTTCTGGCAGTTACCTCACTGCGAGAAGCCAAGTTACAGGGAACCAGGCAGAGGGTCTTCTCGATAGTGGCGCCCGCCCTGAGGAACGCCCTCCCACCAGATGTCAAAGAGAAAAATAACTACCAAACTTTTAGAAGACATCTAAAGACAGACCGGTTTAGGGAAGCTTTTAATGTTTATATTGTATTGTATACATTTTGGTGTTTTGTTGGAAGCCGCCCAGAGTGGCTGGGGAAACCCAGCCAGATGGGCGGGGTATAAATAATAAATTATTATTATTAAAAGCAGGCATAGCAATGGATGTTGCTCTTGCCTTGCACATTAGGAAACATTTCAGCCAAGCAGAAGTCAGAGATTAATACACAGACACATGCCTCCATCTCCCAGTCAGGCATTGCAGTTCAAGGATACATTTCAGCAAGGCAAAATCCACCTGAGGAGAGGTTAGAGCTGATGAAAGGTGTGGCCAGGGTTGGCAGTGTGGCCTGTGGAGAATCCTAAGGGCCAGATAAGAGAGGCCCGGAAGGCTGCATTCAGCTTCTAGGCCGAAGTCGCCAACCCCTGATCTCAAGCAACAGGGAGCGAGATACACATGCAATCGTTCAGCGTACCCTGCCTAGATATCGCCAGTCCAGCAAGTCCGAGAGCCTCTCCGTTCGGTTTCTCTGGACGATCCTTTGCCGACGTGACTGCTGGCAGAATCCATACAGGAACTGCGTCAGCTGGTTACAGGACTCATCTGGGGAGCGGAATCTCCTATCCACAATGTAAATACCTGCAGGAGACAAACCCAGTTTGGAAAGAAAAGAGTTTGCAGGTGCTCTTTGGCCTTTGAAGGTTTCTGTTGCATCTGTCATTATGCATGATAATGACCTTTGCAAAATCCTGTTCCTCATCAAGTGGAGACGCTTGTGCTTTGTATAGCCAATCTGAACTCTCCTCTTCTCCCACTCTCTTTTTACACTGGAGAGGAACTTTGGAAGGTCCAAAATGTGGGATATATCCAGCCTCATAGAACCAACCTCTAATTAATGCATGGAGGGGTTAAGACCATAGAGTAAGTCGTTCTGCCAGGCTTAGCTAAGTCACATCCCCTAACCTTGGGAGGAAGGACTACCAAACTCTTTGTTCTCTGACTTTCCTCCATCCTGCCATCATGTGAACCCTTCCAGTAAGGATATCTGAGCTAGAGGCTCCAAGCTTAGACCGTGTGGCTTCAGCAAGCCATCTTTGTGTTTCCATGCAAATAATTTAGAAAATTACCATTTTTGAAACTAAGTCACCCTGCCTATCTTGTCTTGCTGAAATATGGAAAAGCACATGAATCTGGCCTTTGAAGAGTTTGTAAGTAAACCATTTTTAACTCACCAAAGATGTGGTCTTTTTCTATGCTAAGTGGGAAACTTAGGAAATACAGGGGTACCTCTGGTGACAAACTTAATTCGTTCCAGAGGTCCGTTCTTAACCCAAAACCGTTCTTAACATGAGATGCGCTTTTGCTAATGGGGCCTCCCGCTGCTGCCATGCCACCGGCTCATGACTTCTGCTTGCATCCTAGGGCAAAGTTCGCTACCAGGAGACCTACTTCTGGGTTAGCGGAGCTCATTATCCAAAGCATTCTTAAGGAGGAAGGTACATAAGCCAAGGTTCCATTGTGACTTAGAAGGGGATATTTTAAAGGCCTAACTGCCTATATTTCCGTGATTTACTTTGCTACATGTTTTGTGATTTTAGATCTCTGCTAGGGCTCTCTCACCAAAGAGTGATTGCCCCAAACCTGGATCTAGGCATCCAGAGAATTCTCCTTTTAGTCTATAACCAAAATATTAACCAAAAATGCAGCGCAAAAGCCTGCAACCAAATCAACCCAATCTCTCAAAGTTGGGAAAATGCATGTGGAAAATGCACTGTGCTGGCTAAAACCCCTAGCACATTAATAATCTGTTCCATGGCTGCAATGTCCTTACCATAGGCAGCTGGGTCGGCCACATGCTCCTGCATGAAACAGCCAAATCCGGAGAGATTTGTGGTCACGCTGGGAATCCCCATGACGGTGCACTCAGCTGCCAAAAGACAAAGAAGGTTTAACTCCCACAGTGATGTGCAACTTTGCAGGGTCACACCAGAAGCAGGCTGCATTGAAACTGTGCGCCCCCCAACTGTAATAATAATAATAATAAATTTATTTATACCCCGCCCTCCCCGGCCAGAGCTGGGCTCAGGGCGGCTAACACCAATAAAATCACAGTAAAAACATAATAGGGGAAAAAGAGGGGGGGGGGACAGGACACAATTTAAAATACAGGTTAAAATGCAATTTAAAATGCAGCCTCATTTTAAAATAGCCGATACATCAAGACCATAAGGGGAGGGAAACATAAGGGTCAGACCGAGTCCAAAGCAAAGGCCGGGCGGAACAGCTCTGTCTTGCAGGCTGTGCGGAAAGATGTCAAGTCCCGCAGGGCCCTAGTCTCTTGTGACAGAGCGTTCCACCATGTCGGGGCCAGTACTGAAAATGCCCTGGCCCTAGTTGAAACCAGTCTAACCTCCTTGAGGCTCGGGACCTCCAAAGTGTTGTCATTTGTGGACCTTAAGGTCCTCCGCGGGGCATACCAGGAGACGCAGTCCCATAGGTACGTGGGTCCTAGGCCTCATAGGGCTTTAAAGGTCAAAACCAGCACCTTAAACCTGACTCTGTACTCCACCGGGAGTCAGTGCAGTTGGTAAAGCACTGGATGAATGTGATCCCATGGCAAGGACCCCGTAAGGAGCCTTGCTGCTGCATTCTGCACCCGCTGGAGTTTCTGGGTCAGCTTCAAGGGCAGCCCCGCGTAGAGCGACTTACAATAAAAGCCAGTGAGTCTGTCATTTGCTTACCGGGAGTGTAACCCCAGGGTTCATAGTATGATGGGAATACCCCAAGATGGCAGCCTCTGACAAACTCTTCATAGTCCATCGGCAATAAGGGACTCGTTGAAGAAAGGAATTCAGGGTGCAAGATCACCTGGAGAGTTGAATGAGAAGAAGAAAACCCACATAAACATTGCCTTTAGAGGTATAATTTAAAAAGGGGGAGTTTTCAAATCTAGCAGTCCCTTGCTATGTCCAGCAGAGACAAAACCCACATAAGCAGAGCCAGATTTACGTATGAGCTAAACAAGCTATAGCTTAGGGCCTCACTCTCTTGGCGCCCCCCAAAAAAAATTAAAGGGGGAAAAAACCTGGATGTACATTGCCAAAATATAAGATAAAAAACAAATAAAATAAAACCTACATACAACTACAGTGTTTTGTGTTGTGTAGGCTCCTATGATGTAAGTAATGGGCCCCGCCTGCTAGCCTGCTTCCTAAAATATCACTGGTTTGCTCATTTCTATATATAGGGTGCCTACATTCTGCATGTAATATACTTCTTCTTAATTGTATTTCACTATTAATATACTTCTTCTTAACTGTATTTCAGTTCAACTATTACTTTGATAAAATACATATTTTGTTATGTGCAAATGGCTTTAGATACCTATTAGGTCCATAAATTACCACATAGCATATATTCAACACAAAAAACAGGGACAATTTGTTGTTGACAAAGGACAGCTGGACAAATAAAGGGCCCCATTACCTTCAGTAGCTGAGGTCCTCATTAAACCTAAATCCGGCCCTGCAACATGAGTGACAGCTGCTCTTCACACACAGGAACCAGGAGGACAGCATAATTGATCTATGTGGGATGGCTGACGTCTACAAGGAACTTTCAAATTGGATTACTGCAATGCGCTCTGCATTGGGCTTTCCCATTGAAGACGACTTGGAAATTTCAATTGGTACAAAATGCAGCACTCAGATTACTGGCTAGCATTTAATTTAGAACTCATATAACCCATTTGTTCCTGGACTCAATTCAAGGTGCTCACACTAAATAAATAAGCCTGTTGCAGCAAAAACTGAAGACTCTTCTGGCATCTTAAGGATTCCTGGCTGGGGTTTAGTTTAGACCTCATATAGCCCCTATTTTAAAACTGGCTGCCTTGGTTGCCATCTGGGGGTTCAAGGGTGGGAATGGCTGGTTTGGTTAAAAGGAACTCGCGTAGATGCAATAGTACTAGGAGAGAAAGACCAATGACCTGGCTTGGATTAGGACAGTGTCATGTATTCCCTCCTGCCTTCTGAAAATAATGCATCTTTGTACTCTGGTGCTGGAGGAGACTCTTGAGAGTCCCATGAACTGCAAGAAGATCAAACCTAGCCATTCTGAAGGAAATCAGCCCTGAGTGCTCACTGGAAGGACAGATCGTGAAGCTGAGGCTCCAATACTTTGGCCACCTCATGAGAAGAGAAGGCTCCCTGGAAAAGACCCTGATGTTGGGAAAGATGGAGGGTACAAGGAGAAGGGGACGACAGAGGACGAGATGGTTGGACAGTGTTCTCGAAGCTACCAGCATGAGTTTGGCCAAACTGTGGGAGGCAGTGGAAGACAGGAGTGCCTGGCATGCTCTGGTCCATGGGGTCATGAAGAGTTGGACACGACTAAACAACAACAACAACAAAACTCTGTGTACCAGCTGTTCCATGTTTTTTAAGGCAGAGGAGACAGGGAAATATACATTTTTTAAAGCCCTGAGAGCTGCACCTTCACTCGATCTGTCCGGTTGTTGAAAAGGCCGATGCGTCTAATGGTGCTGAGGATCGGGTCGGTGGAATCATCGATCATGTTATGGGTTGTCACTGGTGGAAGTCCCTGTCGCTGCAACAGAACAAGATGTGCATTTGGGGACATGTTTCAAATAAACAGACAAAAAAGGCAAGTTTGTAGCCAATGGGGTCTAAACACCAGCATAGCCTTTTTGAAGTGGCCCCACTTTATTTGGAACCTTCTGAATTCAGAAGGAGGTTGACCGTTTCATGCTCTTTTAAGGTTTCAAGGGTGGGTTGTTGTTGTTTTTAAAAAAGTTTCTATTTATATCTTATTTTTGCTGTGTTTTTCTTTATTGTAAGCCACACAGCGGGCCTTAATGGGCCTTGGGGTAGTAGAAATTAATACTTAGTTATACAGAGTAGAAATTAATAGTTGTGCTCATTAACATCAATGGGTCTTCTCTGAGTAGGCCTAGAACAGGATACAACCCATAGCATTTAAAGAAAATAAGCAACTTTTTAAAAAGAATGATATTGATGGTATGTAGATTTACTACTCTAGTGAGAGCTAGACCATAAGACAAATTTTCTGCTTTCCATTAAATAATCAGAAAAAAGAGCCTCTAACCTGAGTTGAATAGATGGCCCGTTTTATGATGGTGAGGTCATCACGATCTATGATCTTGCTCATATCAGGGATTTCTCCTCTGTGGGTGCAATAGGGAAGATCTTTTTTTGTGAAAAGAAGGGAAGCATTTTCCAAAATAATCATTTAAAATTTCTGAAGCAGGAGCTCTCTCTGGCCCACAACACTGGGATTGTTTAACTAACCCAGAGCTTCATACGCAAATACATAACTCTACAGTGAAATATGAGACACCTGCATCCATCTGTCATGGATGCTTTAGCTGAGATTCCTGCATTGTAGGGGGTTGGACTAGATGACCTTTGGGTCCCTTCCAGTTCTATGATTCTGTGAATGAGAGCTCACCTTAATAGTGCATCATAGAGCTTTTTGCCAAATTTTTCCTTGAGCAAATGCGCAGTGTCCCTAAGAGAGAGAGAAAGAAACAGATCATCATTAAAGGCTTCCGATCCACTTTTCCCCATGTGAATCATGTTGATCTCTGCTTCTTCTTTTTCCTGCCAGCATCCCCTGACTTGGTGTTCTTCATACGCTGGACGACAACTCCCATCAACCCTGACCATTGGCCAGGCTGGCTGGGGCTGATGGGAGGAGGAATCTAACGACATTTGGGTGAACAAAGTTGTTCGCAGAAATGTTTGAAGGGCAGCAGTTTGGCTTCCTTTGCAAGGAAGAGAACACTAAAGATCTATGACAACATGGCCAGTGGTCAAGGATGAGAGGAACTGTATTCCAGCAAGGGACACAGGCTCCACATCCCTATTGTCATACTTGCTTTATTTACAAATATGCCAATAGATCACAGGTGGAGGTAAGCAAACACGAGCAGTCCTAGCAGGTCACAAATCCACTGTCCCCCAAATCACCTACTGCAAGGTATCTCAAGATCCTGCCAGCCTTCAGCTCACTCCCTGGACCTCTCTAAGGTGGCTGTGTCATGCTTTACAGATGACAGTCCTCTACTCGAGGTCTAGTTTAAAGATAACAGACCAGAAGAAGGAAAAACAGGAGAGGCTCTGAAGTTCCCCATTGACAGTGAGACCAGGGCAGCAGAGTAAGAAGGCATACCGATCCACCTGGCTGCAGCTTTCCCTGCTGTGTTGACAGGTAAAGGTAAAGGGACCCCTGACCATTAGGTCCAGTCGTGGCTGACTCTGGGGTTGCGGTGTTCATCTCGCTTTATTGGCCGAGGGAGCCAGCGTACAGCTTCCAGGTCATGTGGCCAGCATGACTAAACCGCTTCTGGCGAACCAGAGCTGCGCACGGAAACACCGTTTACCTTCCTGCCGGAGTGGTACCTATTTATCTACTTGCACTTTGATTTGCTTTTGAACTGCTAGGTTGGCAGGAGCAGGGACCGAGCAACGGCAGCTCACCCCGTTGCGGGGATTCGAACTGCCGACCTTCTGATCGGCAAGTCCTAGGCTCTGTGGTTTAACCCACAGCGCCACCCGCGTCCCTCTGTGTTGACAGGTATTGCTTTTCTATTTAATTTGAATAACTATTTCTAAGCTTGTACCTGTGCATATAAAATTCGCATATGCATATGTGGCCCTGCCCGCGCCCTTCCAGAATTGCAGTTTCACCCTGCACAAGGACATTAGCTGTGGGGCAGGGAAGAAAATGTATTTCCTATTACGGAGAGATCTCTGTATCTCTCCCGCTGAGGAAACACCATACAACTGCAGGTCCCCAAGGAGATATTGGGCATAGGACACACAGTTTTGTGTTTCATTTGGAACACCTTTAAAAGAGAAGGATGTGGTTACTTTATCAGACCACAAGGCGGCAGTCTCAAAAACACCTAGTGCAAGTTGGATACACGGTCCAGAAACAGCAAGAGTTACTGTGATGCAGAAGAAAAACGGCCTCTTGCCAAATTCCTTCCTGTTTCATTCTTTCTCTTAACTTTTTTTCTCCCTTTCAATTCTCCTCCTGCCAAAATTCCCCTTCCTGCCTAATGATTGCAGGCACAGCGGGGTTCACCCTCGTGTTGCAAACTGAGCATCAGATCCGGGTCTTGAACCAGGTGTGTGGGCATTGACACAATTCGATAAGCGTAAGCTGGGAACCACAGCCTGAGCAAGTCCTGGGTCAGCTTCCAGATATTTCATAGAATAAATTGGGTGGTGTGCAACTATATTTTACTTAGAGCGGACCTCCTGAAATTAATGGATCTAATTTGGTCAGGTTCACCCTTTGGGCAAACGTGAAACCCACCAGCTGTTTCACACACCAGAATCAGTCGATCAATCAGTCATGGACTGTCATGGACTGTCATGAATCAACCAGTCAGTCACTGACTGTCACGGACTGGTTGGACACAGAGGAATGGTGGGAGGAACTAGCAGGGAACCCCCAAAGGAAGAAGACTCAGAGCCAGGGGATTGGTGGTGGGACAATGCGGAGCGGTCAGAGGGAGAAGAGGGAGAAGACTGGAAGGCGGAGGTGTCGGAAGCTGAAGAGGTAACAGGGCTTAGTGAGCTGGGGGAGTAAGTGGCAGAGGGAAGCCCAGACTCAGAAGCAGGAGAGGAGGGAGGCAAAGACGCAGATATGAGTGCGGCTGGTAAAATTCATGGATGCCTCCTCCCCCTCCTGCTGCAACAAGCTCCACTCCCCCTTGGTCTCCCAGAACCAGGAGAGGCATGAAGAGGGAGGAGCAGAGACAGCAGCCTCTCGAAGTGTCCCTATTTTCTAGGGATGTCCCTGATTTAGAGAAGCCATCTTGGTTTCTGATTTGATCCCGGAATGTCCCACTTTTCCATAGGACGTCCCCATTTTCATTGGAGAAATGTTGTGGGGTATGGAGTTATTCGACTCCTGAGCCATCTGAAGGCAATCCTGTATAGGGAAGTGTTGTTGTTGTTTTAAAAAAAAGTTTAACGTTTTATTATGTCTTTAAATATGTTGGAAGCTGCCCAGAGTGGTTGGAGCAACCCAGTAAGATGTCTGGGGTATAAATAGTAAAATTGTCATTATGGAATGGGACGTCCCTATTTTCATTGGAGAAATGTTGGAGAGTATGAAACATGTGCGCCAGCAGAGTCTCAGATTGCTTGGAGGGGATCTGGGAGAGGAGGAGGCTTAGGCGACTGAGGGGAGACAGGGACCTTCAGTCTTGGCTCCTGCCTCATGGGGGCAGGACCTGCCAGAGATGAGTTGCTCTACTCATTAGGCCTGACACTCCTGTGCAGATCCTGTTTTTGCTAATAAAGAGTTAACTTCAACTTGCTCTGTGTGATTTACTGCTGGCTCGCTCCTGCCATTAACTCTTTTGCTTTGCCACGCCAAAAGAGAAAGAAAGAGGTTTACCATAGCTGCTTCCGGACTGCCTGGCCTTTCAGGGTTTCCACGTTGAAATTGTTGGTATTTGCTGGCATTATGAAGAACACCACGACGGTGACATCGCTCCTGTGCACCTGAATAAAGAAAAGATGGCTGTCAAAACAGGGAGAGATTTTTTGCAATGCCCTCCCCTTATTGTTCATCTTGCTTGACCTTTAAAGACCTAAATGGTTTGGAACCACGTTATCCGAAAGACCACTGACACCAGGGTTGGGAAACCTTTTTCGGACCAAGAGCCGCATTCCGTTCTGGTCAACTTCCTAGGGGCCACATGACACTGTTTGCTGTTGCAAGGGGCCAAAGTGGACGGAGCAAAGAATATTCATCCATGCAAGCAAGAAGGATTATCAGAGTTCAAAGACACATTCCAGCCAGGCAAAAACACTCATGGAGGATGTAAAGCAGAGGTGGTGAGGGGTGTGGCCTAGGAATAGGAGGTGTGGCCTAAGGATAGTCCCAATGCAAAAATCAGATGCCCTTCCATTGCACTATGAGTCTTCCCCTAGCCCATCCATATCAGATTTGACTATGTGTGTGCTGCATCTGAGACAACCAAGTGGCAAAGACTGTGGAAATCCATTGCACTATACATATGGGAGTCTGTATTATACCCTTGTTGAGCTTTGTGAAGAGGTAGGACCCATAAAGTACATGCATAAAATCTCAGTGGCAGTCCCCAGCATCTCTAACAGTATTTGGTCCTTCTCACATGCAATGTATTTGCACTCTTCCACTGCCTTTCGACACAGATGGATGCCAACTCAATCCATCGTGCTCTGTCTCTGGGTCCCGGAGGACAGCTGCCAGTCAGAGCAGGCGAGGGAAACAGACTAAGGCGGCCTCATATGGGTTTGCATTCTTTCTTACCCTCAAGAGGAAGTTCAGTCTTGATAAGGCCTCTAAAAACATGTCGGCTCCTTTGTTTGAAAACTCGTATCTCCCAGCAATGAAGAAAAACAAAGTCCTTTCAAGGTTGAAATCAAGGTGTCTGAAAGCAAGGGCAAACAAACGTAAAATGGGTCAAGTGGTCGATCAAAGAGGGCTCCTGGTAAATTGTGCTGCCAACTGAAGGTCATTGACACAGCAACAACACTGCAGGTTTCCTGTTCTACTTCTCATCTGTGTGAATCTTGACTAGCCAACACACACAGCGATGGCACCAGCGTTGTGGAATGCCCTCCTGGCTGAAATATGAGTGCCCCCATCTGCATTGGCATTCTGCCAGCTCTTGAAGACACACCTGTCTGGGCAAGCAGCCCCCTGAACTTGATGGTTTTTTTTAATTGTTTGTTTACTTATTAATTGTAATGCTTTTTAATGCCCCTACTTCATTGTGTATTATAAATAATGGGTGCTTTTAGCATTTGGATGGAACTGTTTCATTGTTTATTTAAAACTGTGCACTGCTTAGAAGCCATTAAAGCATGAAACTAGACTGTTAATCAGATAATAATAGCCGTTGTTAACAATAAGAACATAAAGCCCGGATGAAGAAGAGAAGAAGAAGAGTTTGGATTTGATATCCCGCTTTATCACTACCCTAAGGAGTCTCAAAGCGGCTAACAATCTCCTTTCCCTCCCCCCCTCCACAACAAACACTCTGTGAGGTGAGTGGGGCTGAGAGACTTCAGAGAAGTGTGACTAGCCCAAGGTCACCCAGCAGCCGCATGTGGAGGAGCAGGGAAGCGAACCCAGCTCACCAGATTACAAGTCCACTGCTCTTAACCACTACACCACACTGGCTCTCATGAGTAAACTGTGGTCCTCCATATCGCACGCAATCTATACCCAATCCGTCACAGCACTCTGTTGCTGCTATTTATTGTTCTATATTCTGTAGCGCTTGATGTAGCAAAATCTAAGCCTGATGAAACAGTAAGTTTTCTGTATCTGTTTATAAATCTGGCCAAATCGGGTTCCTCCTGGATTGCCAGCGACCTCAATGCAGGTTGGTAAATCCTCTATCCCAGTAACTAAAGCTGCATATTCTCTGCTCTTTGGAATAATGAGAGCAATAGATGATTCTGTCTATTGTGGTCCTCTCAGTTTCTCATTTTTTCCATCTTAAATTCTGTTTTCTACATTTCCACAGCAGTTTACAATTTTTTTAAAAAAATTCTTAGCATTTTAGTGAAAATTTCTCTTAAGAAACTCATTGGCAAAACTTTGCAAGCAATTTTTCCTAGTATGTTATTTTCACTAATCTATGGATTTTAGGGCACACGTTGCCCTCATGAATCCTTTTTGTACACTTGGCTGGACAATTGCATTGTAAAATTTGGAGAAGTGTGAACTTTGGATGATGCCTGTGTTTCAGTTCCTATAGAGGAAAACGATAGAATGGGAAAAACCAGAGATCTGTTCAAGAAAATTGGAGATATGAAAGGAACATTTCGTAGAAAGATTACCATAATAAAGGACAAAAGTGGTAAGGACCTAACAGAAGCAGAAGACATCAAGAAGAGGTGGCAAGAATACACAGAGGAATTATACCAGAAAGATATCGATGTCTTGTACACCCCAGGTAGTGTGGTTGCTGACCTTGAGCCAGACATCCTGGAGAGTGAAGTCAAATGGGCCTTAGAAAGCACTGTAAATAACAAGGCCAGTGGAAGTGATGATATTCCAGCTCAACTATTTAAAATTTTAAAAGATGATGCTATTAAGGTGCTACACTCAATATGCCAGCAAGTTTGGAAAACTCAGCAGTGGCCAGAGGATTGGAGAAGATCAGTCTACATCCCAATCCCAAAGAAGGGCAGTGCCAAAGAATGTTCCAACTACCGCACAATTGCACTCATTTCACATGCTAGCAAGGTTATGCTTAAAATTCTACAAGGGGAGGCTTAAGCAGTATGTGGACCGAGAACTGCCAGAAGTGCAAGCTGGATTTCGAAGGGGCAGAGGAACCAGAGACCAAATTGCAAATATGTGCTGGATTATGGAGAAAGCTAGAGAGTTCCAGAAAAACATCTACTTCTGCTTCATTGACTATGCAAAAGCCTTTGACTGTGTCGACCACAGCAAACTATGGCAAGTTCTTAAAGAAATGGGAGTGCCTGATCATCTCATCTGTCTCCTGAGAAATCTCTATGTGGGACAAGAAGCTACAGTTAAAACTGGATATGGAACAACTGATTGGTTCAAAATTGGGAAAGGAGTACAGCAAGGCTGTATATTGTCTCCCTGCTTATTTAACTTATATTCATCATGCAAAAGGCTGGACTGGATGAATTCCAAGCCAGAATTAAGATTTATCAACAACCTCAGATATGCAGATGACACAACCTTGATGGCAGAAAGTGAGGAGGAATTAAATAACCTTTTAATGAGGGTGAAAGAGGAGAACGCAAAATATGGTCTGAAACTCAACATAACAAAAACGAAGATCATGGCCACTGGTCCCATGACGTCCTGCCAAATAGAAGGGGAAGAGATGGAGGCAGTGAGAGATTTTACTTTCTTGGGCTCCATGATCATTGCAGATGGTGACAGCAGTCACGAAATTAAAAGACACCTGCTTCTTGGGAAAAAGCAATGACGAACCTAGACAGCATCTTAAAAAGCAGAGACATCACCTTGCCGACAAAGGTCCATATAGTTAAAGCTATGGTTTTCCCAGTAGTGATGTATGGGAGTGAGAGCTGGACCATAAAGAAGGCTGATCGCCGAAAAGTGGATGCTTTTGAATTATGGTGCTGGAGGAGACTCTTGAGAGTCCCATAGACTGCAAGAAGATCAAACCTATCCATTCTGAAGGAAATCAGCCCTGAGTGCTCACTGGAAGGACAGATCGTGAAGCTGAGGCTCCAAGACTTTGGCCACCTCATGAGAAGAGAAGACTCCCTGGAAAAGACCCTGATGTTGAGAAAGATGGAGGGCACAAGGAGAAGGGGAGGACAGAGGATGAGATGGTTGGACAGTGTTCTTGAAGCTACCAACATGAGTTTGACCAAACTGCGGGAGGCAGTGGAAGACAGGAGTGCCTGGCATGCTCTGGTCCATGGGGTCACGAAGAGTCGGCCAATACTAAACGACTAATTGACAACAATTGTGCTGGAAAATGTGAATTAGGCGCATTTGCCTTTAAATGTTAACTGGATTGAATCCCTTCCCCCACAATCACTAGGCCTAATGAAGTCCAGTGGAGTCCCCTTGCCCCACCTCACAGTTCCGCCCTCACCCTTCCTCAGATCCCAGGATCTTTGAAGTCAAACACTGGCAATCCTGCCAGCAGGGGTGCCAGTACCTAGGGGCCAAACCCTTTTGTCCCCCTCCCTATATTTTTGGGTTAGGGGCTGGGACCCCCGATGACCCAAAAGTACAGAGCCAAGTGAAACATACCCCCAGCAGCCAGCTCTTTCTCCTCCCTGCCATGGAGGGGAAGGAGGGTCAAAGTGGCCTCCTGCCAGCGGCAACACCAGGAGGAAATGAAGGAGGAGCCACTGCCGTTGAGCCGTTTGGCTCCTCCCCCAGCTCCCCCTCAACGTCCTGATGTCACACATGTGATGTCAGCTCCCCCAATCACTCCTCCAAGTTGGCGCCTCTGTCTGCCAGCAAGGCTATTTCCCAGTCCCACAGATAAACTGTGAATGGGGTTTTGGGTGTCTGGGGCAGGGTCTACCCTAACATTTTGGAATAACCCAATTGTCCCTTTTTTGAACATACCCATAGAAATGGCCTCGAACAAACTCTTGGATCCTAGCTTTGCAGGTGGCGTGCAGATTCTGGAACTCGTGCATAGCAGAGAATTTCTTAATGTTCAGCCCGTTTGGAGTGACGACATCTGGCAAAAGAAAAGTGAAAGCAGCAGCAGCTGAGTAGATCTGAAAGATGTGGAAGGAACAGGGTCTCCCTCTTTTCTCGATAGGTGTCAGGGATTGGACTCAAGGAGGAGAGATGGAGGAGGAATGATGGAGGCCACCCCCTTCTCCTGATGCTGCAGGAGAAGAGGAAGGCAGCATTGATGATGATGATGATGATGATGATAATAATAATAATAATAATTTATTTATACCCTGCCCATCAGGCTGGGCTTCCCCAGCCACTCTGGGCGGCTTCCAACAAAATATTAAAACACAGTAATGCATCAAACATTAAAAGCTTCCCTAAACAGGGCTGCCTTCAGATGTCTTCTAAAAGTCTGGTATTGTTGTTCTCTTTGACATCTGGTGGGAGGGCGTTCCACAGGGCGGGTGCCACTACCGAGAAGGCCCTCTGCCTGGTTCCCTGTAACTTGGCTTCTTGCAGCGAGGGAACCGCCAGAAGGCCCTCATCACTGGACCTCAGTATCCAGGCAGAATGATGGGGGTGGAGACTCTCCTTCAGGTATACAGGACCGAGGCCGTTTAGGGCTTTCAAGGTCAGCACCAACACTTTGAATTGGTAGGTTGGCAGGAGCTGGGACAGAGCGACGGGAGCTCACCCCGTTGTGGGGATTTGAACCACCGACCTTACAATCGGCAAGCCCAAGAGGCTCAGTGGTTTACACCATAGCACCACCTCTAACCTTAAACAAGATGAGGTTATTCTGTAAACTGGGGTGGTTTTTGCCTGACATTGCCCACCTCTGCAGCAGTGGTTGGTGGGAGAGGGCTGCTCACCTGACCTCCCCCTCTACCTACTGGTAAGCAGCGTCGGTAAGGGCTGTAGGAAGTCAAGTGAGAGCTGGTGCTCTCTTGCCCCAAGTGCTACTGCACTCCTAGATTAATCTAACTACAGGTGAGGCTGACTCAAGCTTGCAGACCTACAGAGGACCCCTGTGTCAGAGATGCCGGACTTGGCATGTCATTCTGCAAAGTTGCGAAATTTGGCCGTTGCTCAAAGAAGGGGTCGATGATCCCTGCCGCAGTAGATCATTAAGCCTGAAGTCTACGCAAGGGCATTACGATCAAAACAGCTTGCGATTTGCAGAGTTGAGAGAATCGTACCTAGAGATACAGGGGTATGTCCAGTTATGAACTTAATTCATTCTGGAGGTCCATTCTTAGTAATAGTAGTAGTAGTAGTAATAATAATAATAATAATAATTTTATTTATACCCTGCCCTTCCCGGTTCAAAAACCGGGCTCAGGGTGGCTAACAACAAATGTAAAACACTTTAAAATACTTAATTATAAAAGCAGCATAAAATACAGTATAAAAACATGAATAACAATAAAAATCTAAAATCAATTAGATAATCCCCAGGGCTAGCTGGCTGAATTGGTCCTACTTGGACCAGCAAGGAGGCCAGGGGAGAATTAGCTGTGGGGTCTCAGAGTGGGTGATCTTCATAAAAGGGGAGGGGGAAGGAAGAGAAGGGAAATAAAAGATCAGGCTGAATTCAAATTAAAGGCCAGGCGGAATAGCTCTGTCTTACAGGCCCGAAGGAAGGAGGTTAAATCCTGAAGGGCCCTAGTCTCATGGGACAGAGCATTCCGCCAGGTCGGAGCCATCACTGAAAAGGCCCTGGCCCTGGCCGAGGATAGTCTGACTTCCTTAGGGCCTGGGACCTCTAAACAATGGTTATTCATGGACCTTAAGGTCCTCTGCGGGGCAGACCAGGAGAGGCCGTCCCATAGATACGAGGGCCCTAAGCCAAAACTGCTTGTAGGATGAGATGCACTTTTGCTGCGCAGATGCGATTTTTGGCGTCTGCCCATGCACTATGGAAGTGAGTCCCCACGTCGCGCTGCGCCAGTTTAACGCAGCGCCCGAGCGGGCAGCTCAGTTTGGGGGCGGCTTGGGGGCGGTCAAACGACCTCCGCGGGCCACCTATGGGCATTATGGGCCTTAGGTTGCTGAGCCCTGCTTTAAGGTATGTAAAGCTTTACAGATCAGCACCAGCGCTTTGAATTGCGCCTGGAAATTAATTCTGCCTCTGTCTTACCCAGCATAAGAAGAGTCCTGCTGGATCAGGGTCAATGGCCCGGCTAGTCCAACATCCTTTTCTCACAGTGGCCATCCAGAAGCCCCTGGGAAGTCTGCAAGCACGAGTGCAAGAGGCCTCTCGCCACTTGTGCTTCCCAGAAACCAGCATTCAGAGGCATATTGCCTCTGACAGTGGAGGTTGAACTTATGCATGGCGGCTAGAAGCCATTGATAGCCTCATCCTCCATGAATTTGTTTTAAAAAAATTTTTGGTGGGCATCATTGCTGTACCTCAGTGCACATCCTCTAGCCATATCACTGGATTGTAATAGACACAGGCCAGTGAAAGATGCATTACAAATGGAACAAGTCACTTTCTGCATCCCAGCCAACTCTGTTGTCAGGGAATTCTGTTCCTTATCCGGTGCCAGCAAGAAGCAGAGAGAACAAGGCAGAGTCCTTTTTAATGAGTTTATTCATTCATAACAGCAAGAGACAAAAGAATGCAGTATGCCCTGGTAATTGAGTTGCTCCAACTGAGCTCCTCTTCCCTCTTTCCTAGCAACAGCATTTGCCCTTACAGTGGCCACTCGCATTCAGTTGGCTTTGAGTCCTTTGTTCCTGCACTCTTAATGAGCATCAAGTTCTGGGGGAAGGGGGGGTGGGAAATACTCTCCAGTGACAACGTGTCATCTGGCTCTCTTGCTTCTATCTCCCCTCGCCCTTCTCCTAACACTTCCCAACTCTTCTGTTTGCCTGTCTCTGAGCTGTGAACTTCCTCAAAAAATTAATAATAATAATAATAATAATAATAATAATAATAATAAGAATTATTATTATTATTATTACCCAGCAGTTTGAAAGCACGCCAGTGCAAGTAGATAAATAGGTACTGCTGGTGCCCCATTACACCAGAAGCGGTTTAGTCATGCTGGCCACATGACCCGGAAAGCTGTCTGTGGACAAACGCCAGCTCCCTCGGCCTGAAAAGTGAGATGAGAGCCGCACCCCATAGTCGATTTCGACTGGACTTAACCATCCAGGGTCCTTTACCTTTTACCTTTTTACCTCCCCGTCTTCACAAAATACCACCATATACCAGGGCTTAACCATATGCAAAGACTTCATTCAACCTGTGCTTTAAACAGAGAACATCGTCAGTTTCCCACTAAGTAGGAAGGTGGTCCATCAAGGCAAACAGGGCATTTCCCCCCAACCTCCGGAAGTTGTTACTGGCTGCCAACTTTGTTGCCCTTCTAAGACTCAGTGGGGAAGAGGGTGTGGCAAAACTAGAGCCTTTCTCAACTCTTGGCACCAGTTCCCCTCCGACATCTTGATCTTACCAGCTGTTCTCTTGAGCATGTGCTCTGCTTCTATGGCTGTTATCTGAGAGACTGTGGTGAAGACGTGGGCACAATGCACAGAGGCCCGTTCCATACAGTACCGGTGATATATCTGCCTCTCGCCTGCTTCTTTATCTATGTCAAACTGTTGGACAGCAAAAGGGAGAACAATAATTACTTGTCAGATGGTGGGCGTACCTCCACAAATGGCCTAAGTGTACAGGCAAGTTATTCAGCCAGAGTGGTGGAGTGTTTTTTTTTTGGGGGGGCACATTTAAAGGAAAATCTCTGAACCAGAAGCGGTGCCTCTAGTGAGATGGTATGCCTGACCTCCAATATGTGAGCTTTCTGGACAAATTCTAATTCACCAAGTCACCCAACATCTAAAGGGTATCTTAGAAATGAGGTCAACAAGTGCCTGGGCAAGTCTATCGCATTGACACAGAAAGTTCAAAGGGGAAAGGAAGGCGACAGGGCATGGAGATTAGACGTGGTGGAACCCCAAGAGAGATGTCGGAGCGCTCGATTAAGAGTTCAAATGGTCATCACCTGTTTTCCACCCGCAAAAGCCAAATCTCCACAATGTTAACCAATTCTTAACTCTAATAAGGTGTCAATGATTACAGTTGAATTGCAATCCTCTTAGTCTTAAGTGATCCTTTATGGCTGGGAGACCATGGGTGGTTCCCTCAAAGTCAAGGTCAGGGAGATGTTCCAGACCACAACTCTCCTATCCAGGACATTAATAGCCAGCTTGAAGATTGGGAGTGGAGAGGATCTTCAGTTTCTCCAGTGCCATATGACATCTGATGCAAAATCTATGTAAGCTTCCCCCCCCCCCCCAGGGAAGCAATTTTTTAATTACAGACAGTTGATTAAATCAGGGGTGGTGGGGTAATAAGGATAATGCTTTTTTGAAACTCCTGTTTTTATAACGTGCTTCACTTACTACATTTTGGGAGAAAGTATCGGTTTGTATAAACATGACTGTGTGGAAATAGTGGACATTTTCAAACTATTCTTTTGAATGACGTACCTACTATATGGAATCTGACAACTGGACAATGTAAATGGGGTTTTTGTGTGCCCCTGCTATGGTCAAAAGACTGATATTGATGCACTGGAAAGATAAACCTATGGCTCCCTTTAGTCAATGGATTGCAGATATGGCAACACTCGCAACTTATGAATGGATTGCTTGCAGACATAGACGCTGTATGGACAAGTATAGTGATACTTGGAATGCATTTATTAAAAGTAATAAGTAGGTTATAAATAACCATATATGTATTTGGGTGACAATAAAATTTATATACCTATATACTAGGTAAGCATATGTGGAATTGTAGTTCTTGGCATATACAGTCATACCTCATGTTACGTTTGCTTCATGTTACATTCTTTCAGGTTATGTCCCGCGGCGACCCAGAAGTAACAGAAAGGGTTACTTTCAGGTTTCGCTGCTCGCACATGCGCAGAAGCACCGAATCGCAACCCACACATGCACAGACACGCCACTGCGGGTTGTGCGCTTTTCATGTTGCGAACGGGCCTCTGGAATGGATCCCGTTCGCAAACAGGTACCACTGTACAGTGATATAATATACCTTTCCCCCTTTCTCCCCCCCTTTCTGTTTCTATTTTATTTTGTTCAGTTGAAATATTCTCATTTTTAAAAATCTTAATAATAATTAAAAGTCAGGGTGGGGAACCTTTTTCAGACTCCCGCATTGCAACATGGGCAACCATCTAGAGGCAACATGCTGGTGAGGGGGTGGTGGAAGGAGCAATGGATAGGAGTCTTACCATTGTGATGTTAAATCTCTCTCTCTCTCTCTCTCTCTCTCTCTCTCTCTCTCTCTCTCTCATTCTTTCTCTCTCCTCCAGGCAAACAAAGAACATTATCACAATTCCAGGACACATTCCAGCTTGGCAAAATTACTCAAGGTGGCGGTGGGGGAAGGTTGGTGAGGGGGCATGGCTTGCAGAGAGGGTATGTGGCTTGGGGAGCATCCCAAGGCCACACAGAAAGGCTCGTGTTTTGTTAGGGATGGATCAGTATTTTATCAGAAAATGCACATTTCATCTTCTAGCCTTATCTCTGTATACAGTGGTGCCTTGGGTTAAGAACTTAATTCATTCTTGAGGTCCGTTCTTAACCTGAAACTGTTCTTAACCTGAAGCACCGCTTTAGCTAACGGGGCCTCCTGCTGCTACCGCGCCGCCGGAGCACGATTTCTGTTCTCATCCTGAAGCAAAGTTCTTAACCCAAGGTACTATTTCTTGGTTAGCTGAGTCTGTAACCTGAAGCATATGTAACCTGAAGCGTATGTAACCCGAGGTACCGCTGTACACAGTTCTAAACATGTTCCATCCTAAGATATGTGTCCCAATGCACTTTGCTTTGCCTTTTGAGCCAACAATGGCACCACAAAATCCATAGCAGTGCGAAGGCGGCAGGTTCCGATCTGCCCGTTAGCGCAGGAGGTGCAGACCAGGTCAGTTCACGCTGGAATTAACAGAAATTGAATTTATCAATCACCCCTAATCCTGGGGGCCAGTTGCTTCTTCTGAGCAGACTTAGGCATCAAGGCGCACCATTATAATCCTATTTATCCGTAGAAGACAGGTCTCCATTTATAGACCAGACAATTCCTTCTCCTCCTATTATTTGCCTCCCCTATGAATTCCAGCCATGACCCTTTGCCAAGGCCATACATGATGTCTAGCCTTTGAACCCGCTCTGCAAGGTTGTGAGAGAAATCTCATTGTTTCCCTCTTGGCAGCCTGGTCCAAGAGCCTTGGAATTCTAATAGCCTTATGGTGAGTTGAAGGACAGGTTGACTGGAATTTATCTGATGAGACAGTACAACAGGGTAGACCAGGGGTCACCAACCTAAGACCCATGGGCCAGAAACAGCCCACAGAGGTCATTTGACCAGCCTACAAGCTGCCCCCAAACCGAGTTGCCCACTCACGCGCTGCGCTAAACCAGCGCAGTGCAGCATGGGGACTCTCTTCCGCGGTGCCGGAAATCGCGGGGGCACGTGCTCACGCGCTCGTGTGATCTGGCCCACGGAGGGATCTCCGCAGGACCGATCCGGCCCAGGCAAGATAAACCTTGCTGACCCCTGGGGTAGACTTTTCTGATGGCTCACTCCATCGCTTGATTCCAGCCTGTGACTATACTGAGTGCTCCTGTCCTTCATGCTCTTGGGAATTGTTGTTGTTATATCACCCAACACCAGGGTGTCTAGGCAACTTACAATGAATTTAAACATCAGGTGCTACATAATACAGTGGTACCTCGGGTACCTCTGATGTATGGAAGTGAGAGCTGGACCATAAAGAAGGCTGATTGCCGAAGAATTGATGCTTTTGAATTATGGTGCTGGAGGAGACTCTTGAGAGTCCCATGGACTGCAAGAAGATCAAACCTCTCCATTCTGAAGGAAATCAGCCCTGAGTGGTCACTGGAAGGACAGATCGTGAAGCTGAGGCTCCAATACTTTGGCCACCTCATGAGAAGAGAAGACTCCCTGGAAAAGACCCTGATGTTGGGAAAGATGGAGGGTACAAGGAGAAGGGGACGACAGAGGACGAGATGGTTGGACAGTGTTCTCGAAGCTACCAGCATGAGTTTGACCAAACTGCGGGAGGCAGTGGAAGACAGAAGTGCCTGGCGTGCTCTGGTCCATGGGGTCACGAAGAGTCGGACGCAACTAAACGACTAAACAACTAAACAACAACAACACCTCGGGTTACAGACGCTTCAGGTTACAGACTCCGCTAACCCAGAAATAGTACCTCGGGTTAACAACTTGCTTCAGGATGAGAACAAAAATTGTGCGGCGGCGGCAGAGGGAGGCCCCAATAGCTAAAGTGGTACCTCAGGTTAAGAATAGTTTCAGGTTAAGAACGGACCTCCAGAACGAATTAAGTTCTTAACCCGAGGTACCACTGTACCCTGGCCTTTGGAACTCCCTGCCTATTGAAATCAAGCAGGCACCTTTCCTTTGGCGCCTGCTAAAAACATTCGTGTTTAGGCAAGCCTAACCAGATGCTTAGAAAGGTAAGGTGACTTTAATCTGTTCTAGTATTTTTTTGTATGTTTTAAAATATGGTTGTGATTTCTCTCTCTCCATTTTATTGTTTTATCTTTCTGTAAACCTCTTTGAGGTGCTGTTGTTGTTTTACAATCAAGGGGGGCATAAATTTTATGAAATCAAGCAATTCCCTGTCACAAAATGAGCCTACAAGAATGGGAGTTTCGAACAACGCCTGCAGCAATGTCCTGCCATATTGTGACAATTCTGTCACTCATTTTTATCTCTTGGTTGGCTGTGTGCTTTCCCTCTCTGGCTACTAACTTTTAACACAGACTACTTGAGCCGGCGCTGAAGGGCCAGTTGATCAGCTCTGACATGATCACGTTCCCCCCTAAAGTGAAGAACAGGCAAAGGAGCCATCAGTCAGTCTAGATGACTGGAGGCAAATTCTGCTGTGCCTAAGCGACAGCTACCCTACATGGAAAAAATATGTCATAGACCCACTCTTTTGCAGGGAAGGCAAAGTAGTTCATTGGCTTATTAGCCACCATTATCCTGGTTTCTCAAACCAAGTGAGGAATGTTTACATGAGGGAGGAAGGAGCATCTGACTCGACCTAGACTATTGGTGAAAGAGGGTTTACAGAGTGGTTAAGTCTCCTTGCAGCGCTATCCTTTGGCCAGAGATGGTTGGAAGTACACAGCCTTAAACTCCCAGCTCAGATTGCTGGTTCAAGACCTGTCACAGGCTTGAGTCCACCTGTCATAGGATTGCCATATGTCCGAAATTTCCTGGACATAGCCGGTATTCTGCCCCCGTAAACAGTGTCCATTTTTGGGGGGATGAATTTAATTAAAACAGCTGAAAAACTCTTCTTTTTTAAAAGAGACTTTTTTGGGGGGGGAGAAACCTCAATAATTTTGGGCAAAACTACCGTATTTTTCGTTCTATAGGGCGCACCGGCCCATAGGACGCACCTCCGGAGGGCTCCCCGTGCTTCGGGCGACAAGCTGCCGCCCGAAGCCTCGCGCGCTCGGCGGGACCTCCTGCCGGGCGCGCAAGGCTTGCAGACACTCGCCCGAAGCACGGGAGCCCTCCGGAGGGCTCCCCGTGCTCGGGCGACAGGCTGCCGCCCGAGCCTCGCGCGCTCGGCGGGACCGCCGGCCGGGCGCGCACGGCTTGCAGACACTCGCCCGAAGCCTCGCGCGCTCGGCGGGACCTCCTGCCGGGCGCGCAAGGCTTGCAGACACTCGCCCGAAGCACGGGGAGCCCTCCGGAGGGCTCCCCGTGCTTCGGGCGACAGGCTGCCGCCCGAGCCTCGCGCGCTCGGCGGGACCTCCTGCCGGGCGCGCAAGGCTTGCAGACACTCGCCCGAGCCTCGCGCGCTCGGCGGGACCTCCTGCCGGGCGCGCAAGGCTTGCAGACACTCGCCCGAAGCACGGGAGCCCTCTGGAGGGCTCCCCGTGCTTCGGGCGACAGCGGCCGCCCGAAGCCTCGCGCGCTCGGCGGGACCTCCTGCCGGGCGCGCAAGGCTTGCGGACACTCGCCGGGGCTGCAGGCTGCTGCCTGCAAGCCTTGTGAGCCCGCGGGAACTCCCACCGGGCTTGCAAGGCTTGCGGATAGTTTCCTGAAGCCTGGAGAGCGAGAGGGGTCGGTGCGCACCGATGCCTCTCGCTCTCCAGGCTTCAGCGAAGCCTGCATTCGCTCCATAGGACGCACACACATTTCCCTTCATTTTTGGAGGGGAAAAAGTGCGTCCTATGGAGCGAAAAATACGGTAAATAAAGCTCAACAACTTTGTGTTTTGTGTCTGGGTTTTCACTTTTTGAAATATGGCAACCCTATCCTGTCAATAATAAGAAAGGTCCATCTATTTCAGGGGTCAGCAAACTACAGCCCGCGAGCCGGATAAAGCATGAGGGGGTCGTTAAACTGGCCCCCGGCCCTTGCCGCCTGCTCGGTCAGTCCCAGTGGGGAGCTAAACCGCTGCACTGTGCCAGGGGACTCACTTCTGGGACACAGCTACAAGTTCCTATTGGCTGCAGGAAGCTCCAATAGGAAGCAGCAGGTGCCTCCTCCTACCCGGCCATGGCTCCGAAAGCCAGCGGGGAAAGAGTGGCATGCGTCAGTGAGATCCAGCACACCAGCGGAAACGTTCGCCAACCCCGAGGGCCTTCTGGCGGTTCCCTCGCTGCGAGAAGCCAAGTTACAGGGAGCCAGGCAGAGGGCCTTCTCGGTAGTGGCACCCGCCCTGTGGAACACCCTCCCATCAGATGTCAAAGAGAAAAACAACTACAGTGGTACCTCGGGTTACATATGCTTCAGGTTACAGACTCTGCTAACCCAGAAATAATACCTCGGGTTAAGAACTTTGCTTCAGGATGAGAACAGAAATCGTGCAGCGGCGGCATGGCAGCAGTGGGAGGCCGCATTAGCTAAAGTGGTGCTTCAGGTTAAGAACAGTTTCAGGTTAAGAACGGACCTCCAGAACGAATTAAGGTACCACTGTACCAGACTTTTAGAAGACATCTGAAGGCCGCCCTGTTTAGGGAAGCTTTTAATGTTTACTAAACTATTGTATTTTAATATTTTGTTGGAAGCCACCCAGAGTGGCTGGGGAAACCCAGCCAGATAGGCGGGGTACAAATAAATTATTATTATTATTATTATTATTATTATTATTATTATTATTTCATTCTCTGAGCCAGCAAAATGCTCTGGGAAGCTGATAAGCAGGACATTGTTCCCCTCATTGTTTATTCCAGGGCTCTGTTACACAGTACAGTGGTACCTCTGGTTACAAACGCTTCTGGTTATGAATGCTTCAGGTTACGAGCTCTGCCAACCCTGAAGTAGCTGCTCCTGGTTGTGAACTTTGCCCCAGGATGAGAACGAAAATTGCGTGCTGGAAGTGTGCACACATTGGGAGGTCCCATTAGCGAAAGCGCACCTCAGGATAAGAACAGTTTCAGCTTAAGAATGGACCTCCGGAATAAATTAAGTTCGTAACCAGAGGTACCACTGTACTGGCTAACAGCAGTGCAGGTGGGCAGACACTGTCTAATCATTCACTGCTCACTTTCCGCATTCCTCCTACAAGCTCCTCCTTAGTCGGTTGTCATTTGGAAGAGCCACAAATCTTCACTCTTGGTCCCAGGGGGCAGGGCAGCAAAAAAGAAATGGAGCAATCCAACATATGCCACTAAATAGCTCTCTCAACCTCTAATGGGCTTTAGGTCTTTAACAGCTCTGAACTGCTGACCTAGAAGTGAAAGGCTTATGATCCAATTACTAGACCCCCTGAGCTGCGCTGCGGAATAATTCTAAGGAGGCTTTTAAAAGCCCTCACTTTAGAAAAATAAAATGAATGCAGGACCCTCAGCCTGCCTAGAGAGTTGCTCCCAACACTATATATATATAATTATTTTTATTGCAGATATTTATATGCTGCTTAATTGACTAAGTTGCAAAAAATGCCACACATGAACGCTATAAAAATCATGCATTTATCATAAAAGATTCCTCAAAATGCTTTGTGGAAGAGAAAGGTCTTTGTCAAGTTCAACCAAAGGGGCTGTCTGAATTCAGCCACATTGTCACCCCCGAAGTAATCGACTAGAAATATTATCTTGTGGAAATAAACTAAATAATAAAAATCAAAAAGCTTAAGGAAAAAAATTAGGAAAACCTAAAATTGAACAAAGCCTTAACGGGATGCCGGCTACAAACCTTGTTTCACTGAACTATTCAGTTTCCTCAGAAGGAAATAGAAAAATCATAAACTTCAAAATTCAAAAAAAGGGGTAGAACCCCCCAAAATTCTGAAGTATTATAATCCTAGCTCGACCTAGGTAAAGCAAAACACAGTAATAAAGGATTGAGGACTCAAAAGTACAGTTTCTAATACTGAATTTACAAAAAAGTTTTGAAAACCTAAATGGCAAGTTTTAAACAAAGCCCAACGTGAAGAAAGCAAAGCACAGTAATAAGGGTTGAGGACTCTACTGTGAATATTGCGGTATTTCATTTGTTTTGTGCAATTTCTCAGTCCTGTGACTGTCTTTTCTCTATTGACATTGTCACCCCCAGCTGCAACCTGAAGTGGGGAAGTCCAGGAGAAGCTCCTGTACATGAGTCTATCTAGCCCCTTCTAGACCTTTCCCACCAGGTACATTGAATGTGTGCAGGACCGGGAATTACCACTTTGTGTGTTGACTCCTTTCTCTTGATGCCGAGTGCCACACTGGCCCTGCCTGCCTGTCACCTGCGTATGTCAAGTCCAAATGTCTGAAAAGGGATGTTTGCCACAGGTCTAGGAGTGCGCCTGCTCCATATGGTCACAGGATCCTCAATGGCACAGAAGGCTCCAATTGCTTAGACAGTGTCCTTCAATCTTGGGCTCCCAGATGTTGCTGGGCTACAAATCCCATCATCCTCTGCCATCTTAGCCAAGAGTCATGGGTGATGGGAGTTGTAGTCCTGCAACATCTGGGGAATCAAGTTGGAAGAACGCTGGCTTTAGGACACCTGTGCACCAGCAGCTATGTGTGGGTAGGTCCCTTTGTTCAGACCTTATACAATACAGTACAATACGACAATCTTTATTGTCATTGTCCCATACAGAACAATGAAATTGAAAAAATCTACATAAGACATTCGAAAACCAACAAGCCTGCTATCCCAACCTGGTTAGCCCCCTAAAAACTCTGATGCCCCATTTTTAAATACAATATACTCCCATGCAGACTCCTTACACTGCGTTTAAAACCAAAATCGCATTTGGATAGAAACTGTTTCTCAGGCGGCTAGTCCTAGTCTTTATAAACCTGTACCTTCTTCCAGAAGGCAGAAGCTGAAAGAGATCATTTCTGGGGTGCGCACTATCCTGTGCTATCTCTGCAGCTTTCTTATGGCACCTGGAAGCATAGATTTGATCCAAGGTGGGAAGAGTGCACCCAATTATTCTCTCCACAGTCTTTACAACCTTGGACAGCATTGTTTTTTCCCCTGACCGTGCAGCTCCCAAACCACACACACAGACCACAAGTTAATACACTCTCAACAGTACAATGATAAAATGCCATCAACAGGTCCTTTGAGAGATTATTTTTCCGGAGGATTCTCAGAAAATATAACCTCTGCTGTGCTCTCTTCATCAGGTCTTTGCTGTTTTCTCCCCAGGTTAGGTCATCTCTCAACTCCATTCCCAGAAACATGCTCCCCGCCCAAAGGTCAGGTGTGTTTCCAGTGTGAATCCTCACATTCACTGAACATGTGGAGAAGATTTGATAGAGTCTTCTGCCAATTGCGGTGGGAGTTCCAGGTCAAGATAAATTGAAGTACTTCTTCAAGCAACACATAGTTAAACTATGGAACTCTCCCACAAGAGGCAGTGATGGACACAAACCTAGATGGCTTTGAAAGATGATTAGACAAATTCGTGGAGAAGAGGGCTATCGAAGGCTATTAGCCATGGGGGCCTCTGTTTTTGTTATGTACTGAAGTTCTCACCCTGGGCCAGCAGGGGATACTGTAGATAGTTCAGGTCCACATATGCAAATAAGGGATTGAAAGTGACGTTCAGTGATTGGATAGTTTTAGAAAATGGTTACAGTTACGTTGTACTGGAGCTCTATATAAGCAGGCTGGCTGAACCCTTCAGTTCAGTTCTGTTCTGGCCTGTGAATAAACAAGAGCTGTTTGAAGAATCGCTGTGTTGTCTGATATGTTCACCCACAACTTAACAGTTTTGCCTCCACAGCTGGAGGCAACAATGCTTCTGAATACCAGCCACAGGAAGGGGAGAGTGCTGCTGGGCTGTAGAGTTGCCGTATGTCTGGATTTTCCCAGACGTTACCAGGATTTCAAAGGCAGAAGTCATATCTAGGGGGGAATTCCTGGAAGGCGGCAGTTTAATAATAAATAATAATAATATATTTCATTTATACCCCGCCCTCCCTGGCCACAGCCAGGCTCAGGGCGGCTAACACCAATAAAATAAAATCACAGTAAAAAGATAATAGAGGGAAAAGAGAGGGGGGAAAAAACACAATTTAAAATACAGGTTAAAATGCAATTTTAAAATGCAGCCTCATTTTAAAGTAGCCAATAAATCAAGACCATAAGGGGTGGGAAGACATAAGGGTCAGACCGAGTCCAAACCAAAGGCCTGGTGGAACAGCTCTGTCTTGCAGGCCCGGCGGAAAGATGTCAAGTCCCACAGGGCCCTAGTCTCTTGTGACAGAGTGTTCCACCATGTCGGGGCCAGTGCTGAAAAGGCCCTGGCCCTAGTTGAAACCAATCTAACCTCCTTGAGGCTCGGGATCTCCGAAGTGTTGTTATTTGTGGACCTTAAGGTCCTCTGCGGGGCATACCAGTTTGTCCTGGATCTTAGGCAAGCAAACTGAAAAGTTGCATATATATTTTTTGGCGCTTTCATAAAAGAAAGCTCAACAGCTTTCGGGTTTTCCTAAAATAAAGAAAGCTCAACTGTTCTGGGGTCTTCCTAAAAAGAAGCTCAATAACTCTCAGGGTGTCCTGGTTTTTGGAATATGGCAACCCTACTGGTGCTCCATTCCAGCTTCCTTTTGCGACATCTGGTTGATCAACTGTGAGAACAGGATGCTGGACTAGATGGGAAATTGGCCTGATCCAGCAGACTGTTCTTATGTGTGAGGCTTTCAGTGTGTTTGGCCTGTGACCCTCCCTCCCCACCACCACCAAAATACTCTGGCGATTGCTACACCACCTTCCTAGCTTGCCTCCGTTGACCCCTTCTGAGAGCAGATGGGGAACGCATGCATTTGTTTAAGCAAATCAAACACCCTGCTTTCTAGTACGTCTTTAAAAAGACAAGCGGCGAGGCCCATAGCGACGCGTCTGGAGTTCAGAAGCGGGAAATCGAGAAGCAGCCTTTCGAGAAATGTCTGTTCCCCCCCAAAAAGGTCAGAGCAAACTAGCATGCCTTGGGGACCAGGAGTCTTTTAGTAATGGACAAATCACTCATTTGACCTTAATGGTCTTTTACCAAGAGGCAGCGGTAAGGAAATCTCCTACGAACTTGCCCATCTGCACTGTCTTTTTTCACGAGTGTTTTGGAGATCAAGCCTTCTGCTTCCACCCTCCCACCCCCACCCTCTCCTTGAGCTTTTGGGCCTCAGTGACCTTTTCACAGCCAAAGACGCCCTCATTAAGACAGCTGATCTCTTACAAAATGTTAGCATTTGTCGGAAAGAGCTTTAGTGCGCTGTAAGTATCTGTGGAAGAGCTATGAGGGGGGGTGAGAATCAAACTGGCAACATTTCCTGTATTAATACCCTTTAAATGTCAGCCATTCATGTAGATGCCATCCATAATCTGTAGAATCCCATTAGCCCCCCACAGTTAAAGGACTTTTGACTTGATCACTAACATGCCATTTAATACCATATTTTTTGCTCTATAAGACTCACTTTTTCCCTCCTAAAAAGTAAGAGGAAATGTGTGTGAGTCTTATGGAGCGAATGCAGGCTGCGCAGCTATCCCAGAAGCCAGAACAGCAAGAGGGATTGCAATCCCTCTTGCTGTTCTGGCTTCTGAGATTCAGAATATTTTTTTTTCTTGTTTTCCTCCTCCAAAAACTAGGTGCGCCTTGTGGTCTGGTGCGTCTTATAGAGCAAAAAATACGATATTTGGAATATTTGGGCACATTTGGAATTCTTGGAGGCTTTGCAATTCTCCAGACTGAATATTCCAAAGCTGTGTGGCATCAGATCACAGTCAGTGCAGGCTTCTCCAATCTGATTCTTTCCAGATGTTTGGGACTACAACTCCCATCAGCGCTGTGTTGGCTAGGGCTGATGGGAACTATAGTCCAAGGCAGGAGTGCCAGCATGGCCCTGTGACTGTGGGTGCCCGGGCCTGTGGGTGCCATGCAGCGTGCATGGCCCTGGTACTGAAATTTGTGGGTGCCCAGCCCCTTCACGGGGAATTTTGTGGGCACTCGGCACCCAGGGAGTTGGCACCTATGGCCCAAGACATCTGGAGGGCACAATGTTGGTGAAGGACAAGTTAGAGGGAAATGACCTGCATAAATAATTATAGCTTCCTGTGAATCAGAAACACCTGTTCCTCTAAGATGTAACACTCCTCTGACATCTTTCAAATCAGCGCATCCTGGGTACGCAAAATTCTGCCATGTTTCTGCATTGCATGTGGTTGGACCATTAGTTATTCCCAATCAGTGGTGTGGCAGTGATTTTTCTGAAGTGCAGTAACTCATTGTGATCTACCCTGTAACCCTCACCCCAAAGAGCAGCAGTATATACACGCAATGTATAAGGACAAGCATAGCTGCAATCCTACGTATAGTTTCCTGGAAGTAACTGAACTTAGTGGTGCTTTCTTCCGACTGCATGGATGCAACTGGTAAAACTTCAACAAGAGATCTTCAGCCAGCTGAAATGCAATCTTTGGCTTTTAATTATAAATGCAAACAATCTTGCAAAGAAATGTTACCATTAAATTGCTAGTCTGAAGCAGGAACCCCGTCAAAGAAAAGGAAAGAAGGACCCAGACTCTCCTTGCTAATTTCCCTCATTCCCTCACTTCCTCTGAACTAATCTGTTGCAAGAAAACCTGAATGACACCTCATTTCACTACCCAGAGCAAGGGAGATCTGACAACTCTGGCACCCCATAAACTCTCCTGCTTTGAAATAAGCCCTGGAATTGTTTTCCCCAGAGCTGTGCTACTGCCACTACAGCTCCTGATGCAGAGATGCAACTGATTTTTCTATCCTAACAGAGTTTTCTATCCAAGATAGGCAAACACAAAATGACATCCTCTGCAATTTCATGTGCCGAAGGAAAATTGAATCTTATTGCAATACTGGTGACAGAGTAGCAGACTCCACCATCTGGCATGGGAAAAAGCAAGCTTAGGGTGTGCAAGGCAGGCTGTTTGGCACACTGTCCTCCAAAACCTTTCTGCTACTCCTAAAAAAAACAACCACCCTCTACTAGATGGGCAGCAGCTTCGCTTTGCATAATGGTAATAATAATAATAATAATAATAATAATAATTTTTATTTATACCCTGCCCTCCCCAGCCAAGGCCAGGCTCAGGGCAGCTAACAAACAATAATAAAAACAAATTGAATGAATACAACTTTAAAACAAGATTAAAATACAACATTAAAATATTGAAACATTAAAATATTAAAATACAGCCTCATCACAGGTAAAGCTGTCCCTCTTTTAAATAGAAAGGAGACTTGCTTTTTGGTCTTCACAGAGAAAGTCAACCAGTGTTGGAGATACAAAAGAGTTTGTGGAACTATTAAAATATTTACTGATGCAGTACAAAAATAACAGAAATGTGCTTTTTTTTTTTTTTTTGCCTACCAAATGAATTGTGGCATATGGGACAGTTACCTATCATTGCCTTGCTATGATATATGCAGTTCTATGTTCAATAATGATAGGCAGTCAGCAGAAAAATTATCTACCAACTTGAGAGGAATGGAAATGCAAAAACTGGAACTTTAACATACAAGTTGACAATCTAAAGAGTTTGGGGAAGGAAATTACAGAGACAGTAGATTCCATAGAGTGGTTACCGGAACTGAGTCATAGCTTTGGAAAATATTCAGTGTGAAGTGCTAATGCTAATTTGGTACAGGGACAGAAGATTTTATAATACGATTAATTAAGGTTTTGGATGTTGCTTTGCCATAGTAATAATATAATGTAACCTTGGCTTATGAGGGTGTTGTTCTAGGCCCCATGATCAGGTAACTTCCACCCTAAGACAGCTGGCAAAACCAACAGTGACTTGTGGTCAGAAGGGAATGCAAGACAATGTTATCTTCCTTACCTGGTCCAGGTGGTTGTAGAAATCTATACTCGCTGCACACAGGTACCTTCCCAGCAAGGTTGCATGAGTTGTGAAAATGGTTGCGACTGGGATCTTCCTGGATCTACAGAGGATCAGACCAGGCCCTGCTTGCCATTCATGGAAGTGGGCAATGATGTTGGGCTTGTCTTCAAATTGATCGGAGAGCTGGAAAGAGATAGAAAGTAAAGTGGTATTTGAGCCATGTTTAAAGAATGAAGGACATTCAAAAGCACACCTGTTTTATTAAAGTCACGAAGGAGAGCTATGTGATTACAGTCATACCTTGGAAGTCAAACAGAATCCGTTCTGGAAGTCCGTTCAACATCCAAAACGATCAGGAACCAAAGCGTGGCTTCTGATTGGCTGCAGGAAGCTCCTGCAGCCAATCAGAAGCCGCAGAAGCCGTGATGGATATTTGGGTTCCAAAGAACGTTTGCAAACCAGAACTCTCACTTCCGGGTTTGCAGCATTCAGGAGCTAAAACGTTCATCTCGCAAGACGTTCGACTTCCGAGGTACGACTGTACTTCAAAGTAATGGGGTTGTATCAAATACTAGACATACTTAGAGGAGACCCATTAAAATGAATGGGCAAGGCTAATTTAGGTTCCTGAATTTCACTGGGTCTAATTTGAGTATAACTTAGTTGGATGCAACACTGAAGCCTGACATTTTGTTGGAGACGTATGTTTCCAACACCTACAAATCTGAATGAAGGAGCATCTCCACTCCCATCATTCTGCCCGGACATTGAGGTCCAGCTCTGAGGGCCTTCTGGCGGTTCCCTCACTGCAAGAAGCCAAGGGCCTTCTTGGTAGTGGCACCCACCCTGTGGAACGCCCTCCCACCAGATGTCAAAGAGAAGAACAACTACCAGACTTTTAGAAGACATCTGAAGGCAGCCCTGTTTAGGGAAGCTTTTAATGTGTAACAGACCACAGTATTTTAATATTTTGTTAGAAGCCGCCCAGAGTGGCTGGGGAAACCCAGCCAGATGGTCAGGGTATAAATAATAAATTATTATTATTATTATTATTATTATTATTATTATTATTGGCATATGATGTACATGGTGCAATGTGCGAACCTTAGTACAGTACCTCTTTGAAGAACCAGGCAGTTAGCGACCCAAAGATAAGCACATCATTCGCTTCTCGGTCGTGGTAAGGAATTCCAATTTGGCTGGCGTCCCAGAACTCCCCTTTCCACCTGTCCAAATTCCAAGCCGCTGATCCTATATCAAACAGCACCACATACGGACTCCCTTCTATCAGCCACCTGCCAAAATACACCTGATAAAAGGGAGAAATAAATGTTAGGGTTAACCCACCATGTTGGCACATAAATGTAAAATAAAAAGAAAGTGTGCAGTGCCAGATTACCATTAAATAGGCAGAGTAGGCACAAGTCTATGGGCCCCATGTCTTTTAGGGGCTCCGCAAACGCAGATCAAAATAATATTGTTTTGATCTTGTGCAATAAAATTGGTGGATTTAAATTATTGGTTGGTAAAATCCAAAATAGGGACGTGGGTGGCGCTGTGGTCTAAACCACTGAGCCTAGGACTTGCCGATCGGAAGGTCAGCGGTTCTCTCAGCCCCACTCACCTCACAGAGTGTTTGTTGTGGGGGAGGAAGGGAAAGGAGAATGTTAGCCGCTTTGAGACTTCTTCGGGTAGCGATAAAGCGGGATATCAAATCCAAACTCTTAAGGGACGCGGGTGGCGCTGTGGGTTAAACCACTGAGCCTAGGACTTGCCGATCGGAAGGTCAGCGGTTTGAATCCTTGCGACGGGGTGAGCTCCGGTTGCTCGGTCCCTGCTCCTGCCCACCTAGCAGTTCGAAAGCACGTCAAAGTGCAAGTAGATAAATAGGTACCGCTCTGGCGGGAAGGTAAACAGCGTTTCCGTGCGCCGCTCTGGTTCGCCAGAAGCGGCTTAGCCATGCCGGCCACATGACCTGGAAGCTGTACGCCGGCTCCCTCGGCCAGAAAAGTGAGATGAGCGCGCAACCCCAGAGTCGGCCACGACTGGACCTGACGGTCAGGGGTACCTTTACCTTTACCTAAAATCCAAAATGTATTAGGAGATAATTTGCAAGCCACCCCCCCCCCAAGATTCAACTGCCTAGGCGCCTCTGCAGGGTTTAACTTGGCACTGAAAGTGTGCAGTTGTCAGGGGGATAGTGTAGATAACAGAGAGAAGCTCCAGTTAGTGAACATGGTGGTAGCTCAGTGAGCTTCGTGGCTGAATTGGGAATTTGAACCCTGGTCTCCCATGCCCCAGTCTAGCACACTAACCACTAAGTCACACTGGCTCTCCTTTGTATTAGGCTTGTTTCCTTGATGCCTTTTCCCTGGAGAAAAAGGGGGTTGAATTGGAGTTTTTTTTAATGCATCCCGAAGTATGTACTCTCTACTGCTGAGCTATATGCTGTCCTGTTAGAATTAGCCCCTGGTTTGCAATAGGTCATTACTGATCAGTGGAACGCTGCCCACGAACAGCATGGATGCAGCAACTGCCATACGAATGCTCAACTCAGCCCTCAAAGGATTGCAAAACACCATTGGCGCAGCCATAAAAACATGCCTTTGGGAACTATGCTCCTTAGAAATTTGGCTCATATGAGCAAAACAAGCACCACACTGGAACAAATTTCAGGTCTACACTTCGATCCCTTTGCCACGATTACACAATCACAAAAGGCAGCCGTACAATGCCTGGCCACTCCCCTGGGTTAACACACTGCTTTTGCAACTCTCCTGCAGTGTGAGAGGCCCTCACATTTATTTATGTGGATTGAATAAACTCGCTTTGTCTGTAATGGCTTACTGTTCACACTAAGGCTGAGCCACGAAGTTTACTGGGTGGTGAACAACGGCAAGTAATTCCAGCCCAACCTTCCCTGCTCGGTTTAACAATTTATTTATCCATTACGTTTGCATACCTCCTTCTGCCTCACGACTTCCAATGATATCTTTCTTAGATTGCATAGTTAAAAACGTACCTTTAAATTTTTTTATTGAGAAAATTGCACGCACGCACATAAATATACATTATACTTCATATAATATATTAAGCTCTTTAAAATATTATTAGAAGGCAAGACGTTAACACTTCAGCAATAATTGCAATCAAGCACATTTTATAATTTCATTGAAAGAGATCATTAAAATGAAATTGCATGTACCTTCTCGACTTTTCTAATTTATTTTACACTATGAAGATTTTTAAATTTAAAAAGCTACTGATGATAGATAGATAGATAGATGATAGACAGATAGAATTACATGCTTATCCAGCCAGGCATAGATAAGGTCATATTGTGTCTACAGAAATCTGACTGCATTATTTGGGGACTGGAAAGCCAAAGGCCGAAATCCCATTAAGCAGACTTCCAGATAAATGCACTCTTAAAACGTGTAATTGGATAAACGGGTCCCTTTCTCAAAAATAACCTGGAATGAATCGACTTTGACCGAGACCAGTATGTCAGGCAGAAAGACAAGAGCATTAGTGGAACCAGCTAATCTCCGAGTGAGTCAGCTTAGTTGCCTCAGGAAACAAAAGGAGAGAAATCCCGCTTACCTGGCACCCGCTGGTCCTCATGGATTCCATTGCCTTTTTCACGGCTCCGTTGGGAGGTTCGCAGACTTCCACCTGGGTCTTCACATTGTGCTCAAAATAAGGGCCGATGAGGAAGTAGTTTTCCCCCCATTCGTCCAACGTGATTTTGGCTTTCGTCTGGATCACGGTGTAGATGCCACCAACTGTGAGAGGAGAAACAAAGCTTATATTGGTTGGATGGCCATCTGTCCTGGATGCTTGAGCTGAGATTCCTGCATTGCAGGGGGTTGGACTAGATGACCCTCAAGGTCCCTTCCAATTCTACAATTATATAGTTTTATGTTCTGAAAGGAGTAGCCCTCACATTCACCTCCCGCAGGTCTAAGCGGCCTGTTATGGGTGAGACTATACTTACATTGTCCTAATTATATCTGGCCAGATTTCCTTTGTTAACACTATTGCTTTCACATCCTATTTGCACCGACTAATCCCTTCCTCCAGAGTTGGAATGATGATTCCATTTGCAATCGTTGGGAGAACCAGTCCAGACAACCATGTATTATGTGCCCAGGTCTGCCTGGGGGGTGACTTTCCAGTTTAAACTTGGGCACAGCATGTAGGGACAGGGGAGAAATTCAATTCAATTTGCATTTAAAGTCGAAGCTACCAAATTCGCACATTCCAAAACTATATGTCAGCTAAAAGATGGATATCCTTTAAATTCACACTACTCGTGAGTTTGGCAATGCAGTTCTCCAGCAAAGCAATTGTCGTAGGAATAATAATAATAATAATAATAATTTCCCCAGCCACTCTGGGCGGCTTCCAACTGAATATTAAAAACAGTACAGCATCAGACATTAAAAACTTCCCTAAAGAGGGCTACCTTCAGTTGTCTTTTAAAAGTTGTTTATTGCCTTGACATCTGCTGGGAGGGCGTTCCACAGGGCAGGCACCACTACCGAGAAGGCCCTCTGTCTGGTTCCCTGTAACCTTACTTCTCGCAATGAGGGAACCGCCAGAAGGCCCTCGGCACTGGATCTCAGTGTCCGGGCTGAACGATGGGGGTGGAGATGCTCCTTTAGGTATACAGGACCGAGGCTGTTTAGGGCTTTAAAGGTCAGCACCAACACTTTGAATTGTGCTCGGAAACGTACTGGGAGCCAATGCAGATCTCTCAGAACCAGTGTTATGTGGTCCCGGCGGCCACTCCCAGTCACCAGTCCAGCTGCCGCATTCTGGATTAATTGCAGTTTCTGGGTCACCTTCAAAAGTAGCCCCACGTAGAGCGTGTTGCAGTAGTCCAAGCGGGAGATAACCAGAGCGTGCACCACTCTGGCAAGACAGTCTGTGGGCAGGTAGGGTCTTAGCCTGCGTACCAGGTGGAGCTGGTAGACAGCTGTCCTGGACACAGAATTAACCTGTGCCTCCATGGACAGCTGTGAGTCCAAAATGACTCCCAGGCTGCGCACCTGGTCCTTCAGGGGCACAGTTACCCCATTCAGGACCAGGGAATCCCCCACACCCGCCTGCCCCCTGTCCCCCAAAAACAGTACTTCTGTCTTGTCAGGATTCAACCTCAATCTGTTAGCCGCCATCCATCCTCCAACCACCTCCAGGCACTCACACAGGACTTTCACCGCCTTCACTGGTTCTGATTTAAAGGAGAGGTAGAGCTGGGTGTCATCTGCATGCTGATGAACACCCAGTCCAAACCCCCTGATGATCTCTCCCAGCGGCTTCATATAGATATTAAAAAGCATGGGGGAGAGGACGGAACCCTGAGGCACCCCACAAGTGAGAGCCCAGGGGTCTGAACACTCATTCAACCACCACCACTTTCTGGACACGGCCCAGGAGAAAGGAGCAGAACCACCGTATAACAGTGCCCCCAGCTCCCAGCCCCTCTAGACGGTCCAGAAGGATGTAATGGTCGATGGTGTCAAGGTATCAAAGGCCGCTGAGAGATCCAGCAGAACTAGGAAACAGCTCTCACCTTTGTCCCTAGCCCGCCAGAGATCATCAACCAGCGCGACCAAGGCAGTTTCAGTCCCATGGTGAGGCCTGAATCCCGATTGGAAGGGATGCAAATGGTCCGCATCCTCCAGGTGGGGTTGGCGTTGTTTGGCAACCACCCGCTCAATCACCTTGCCCAAGAATGGTAAATTTGAGACTGGGCGATAGTTGGCCAAATTGGCTGGGTCTAAAGATGTTTTTTTAAGAAGCGGTTTAATGACCGCCAGCTGGTCTGGGAAGGCTCCCTCACAGAGGGAAGCATTCACCACCCCGCAGAGCCCATCACCCAGCCCTTCCCGGCTCGCTTTTATCAGCCACGATGGGCAAGGATCAAGGAGATAGGTGGTTGGTTTCTCTTGTCCAAGCAGCCTGTCCACATCCTCGGAGGTAACAGATTGGAATTGATCCCATGTAAAAAGCAGAGACGTCACCTTGCCAATAAAGGTCCGTATAGTAAAAGCTATGGTTTTCCCAGTAGTGATGTATGGAAGTGAGAGCTGGACCATAAGGAAGGCTGATCACCGAAGAATTGATGCTTTTGAATTATGGTGCTGGAGGAGACTCTTGAGAGTCCCATGGACAGCAAGAAGATCAAACGTATCCATTCTTCTGGAAATCAGCCCTGAGTGGTCACTAGAAGGACAGATCCTGAAGCTGAGGCTGCAATACTTTGGCCACCTCATGAGAAGAGAAGACTCCCTGGAAAAGACCCTGATGTTGGGAAAGATGGAGGGCACAAGGAGAAGGGGACGACAGAGGACGAGATGGCTGGATAGTGTTCTCGAAGCTACCAGCATGAGTTTGACCAAACTGCGGGAGGCAGTGGAAGACAGGAGTGCCTGGCGTGCTCTAGTCCATGGGGTCACGAAGAGTCGGACACGACTAAACGACTAAAACAACAACAGGACTAGACAGAACTCTAGCACTCTCCCGCCCTGGCTCTGCTCCCACGGTGGAGTCTACCTCCTTCTGAATCTGAGCGACTTTATCTGCAAAAAACTTTGCAAAAGCATTGCAGGAGATCTTGGGGTCCCTACCAGGCCCAAGTGGTGCAGGTGGTTCCGATAGATTGCGAACCACCTGAAAAAGTCTCCTGCTGCTGTTTTCTGCAGATGCAATGGACGCGGCGAAGAAGGCCCTATTTGCCGTTGCCATTGCCACTTGGTAGGCTCGACGTTGAGCTCTAGCCCGTGTCCAGTCTGATTCAGAATGAGTTTTCCACCACCGGCTCTCTAGCCGTCTCAACGATTGTTTCATCGCCCTCAGCTCCGGGGAAAACCACGGGGCTGTCCGGGCTCCATGCAATCGGAGTGGGTGCTTCGGAGCCAGACAGTCAATAGCCCTGGTTAACTCCGCATTCCAGCGGGCCACCAGGGAATCAGCTGAAAGGCCATCAACTTGGGATAAAACATCCCCTACCACTCTCTGGAAGCCAACTGGATCCATTAAGTGGCGGGGGCAGACCATCCGAATCGATCCCACCTCCCTGCAGAGGGGAAGGGTCGCGGAGAAGTCCAGTTGCACCAGGAAGTGATCTGACCATGGCACTTCTTTTGTTTCGCTTTTAGTTAATATCAGATCACCAACATCCGTAGAGGTAAACACCAAGTCTAAGGCATGTCCGCGGCTATGAGTTGGGCCAAACTTATTCAGGGACAGCCCCATGGAGGCCATGCTTTCCACGAAGTCCCGAGTGGCCCCTTGTAAGGTTGTGTCGGCATGGATGTTAAAATCCCCCATGACAACCAAGCTAGGTGTCTCCAGGAGCATATCCGCCACGACCTGAAGCAGCTCGGGCAGGGAATCCTTGGTGCAGCGGGGAGGTCGGTACACCAATAGGAATCCTGTACTGCCCCTATTGCCCAACTTCCAGAACATGCACTCAGAGAACTGGGTCTTCCCAATAGGACGCCTGGTGCAGACTAATGACTTCCTAAAAATCACTGCAACCCCCCCTCCCCGCCCACATGACCTGGGTTGCTGTGCGTAAGAAAAACCCGGTAGGCAAGCAGCGGCAAGGACAGGCCCATCTGCTTCATCCAACCAGGTCTCTGTCACACATGCCAGGTCAAATCCTCCATCCACAATCAGGTCGTGGATGGCAGTGGTTTTATTCATTATTGACCTGGCATTGCACAGCAACACTTTCAGGTCATGTGGGTTTCCCTTGCTGATTCCAGTATCCTTCTGGTCAGGACCAGACCTGGAGGCAGGGATAGTCCTCAAATAACGACTAAACCTGCCTCCACGGTAATGACATGGTCTGGTCTTAGCGTAACTCCTCCTCCTGCCCATGATCACTGAGATCGGGTGTCCCAATACATTCCCCCCTGTGAAACCTGCCCCAGCCATTCTATTGCACCAGCCAGTAATCACACAGTAATGTACCAGCCAGTAATCACACAGTTCAAAGATGAAGTTAGCTAAACATAACCTCCACAGACTTGGCTAAGTGTCAGGCCTAATGAGCAGGGCAGCTCATTTCCAGTGGTCTACCTCCATGAAGCAATGACAAACCTAGACAGCATCTTAAAAAGCAGAGACATCATCTTGCCAACAAAGGTCCGTATAGTTAAAGCTATGGTTTTCCCAGTAGTGATGTATGGAAGTGAGAGCTGGACCATAAAGAAGGCTGATCGCCGAAGAATTGATGCTTTTGAATTATGGTGCTGGAGGAGACTCTTGAGAGTCCCATGGACTGCAAGAAGATCAAACCTATCCATTCTTAAGGATATCAGCCCTGAGTGCTCACTGGAAGGACAGATCGTGAAGCTGTGGCTCCAATACTTTGGCCACCTCATGAGGAAAGAAGACTCCCTGGAAAAGACCCTGATGTTGGGAAAGATTGAGGGCACAAGAAGAAGGGACGACAGAGGATGAGATGGTTGGACAGTGTTCTCGACGCTACGAACATGAGTTTGACCAAACTGCGGGAGGCAGTGGAAGACAGGAGTGCCTGGCGTGCTCTGGTCCATGGGGTCACGAAGAGTCGGACACGACTAAACGACTAAACAACACAAGTGCCCCTTAACCACAGCTAACATCCACGGATATCATGAAGCGAGATGATTTAAACCACCGCCCTCCCAAAGCCTGGCACGCGGCAATGCAGAGCAGGTCAGGCAAACAGTTACGTCTCCTTGCTCCTCTCGCCATGATTTTTCTGCTGACGCATTCCACACCCGCTGTGCCTGGTGGATCAGCGTCTGTCATCTTATATAGCCCATGTGCCCAGCCGGAGATAGTAATCCAAATGCAGCCCCAGAGCTCAGCATCCCTAAGATGATAAAACCAGCCTTGGTCATCCTAGCACGTGGAATGCCCAGAAATGAGACTGGGAAGGAATCTCACGAGCCTCAGCTGCCCTTATTCTTTCCAAAGCAATAGTTCCTGTTTCTTGAAACTTATCCCTGCAAAGCCACTTCTGCCCCTCTATTTGTGGTTCACGGCATTTGGAAATTGGTGGGTAGGCACCTTTTAAAGTAAATATTATTGTATTGGCCTTGGGACAGGGGGAATGTTGTTGATTAGGGCAGTCAGAATCACCAAGGACATCAGCGTAGCATTAAGCAAGTGTAACGTTATGAATGTGAGCTTGCTTTGTCCTCCTCCCTCCTGTTGCTTTTTTCCTCATGTGCTGTGTCTGCAGGTGAGCCTGCAGAAGTGATTTTTGCAAGCCACTCTGAAAGCCTTCTTGGCTAAAAGGCCATGATAAAAATACAAAGCAGATTTTCCCCAACACAACACACTTTTGGATGTCATCTTCATTAGTTATATACATTTTAATGCACACTTTACCACAATCTATGTCTTTTTTTGGTGCACATTACTTGGCTGAGGAACCGCACAGCAAAATTCAGAAAACTGAATTTCCAAGGATGTATTTTGGTTGCGAATTGTTCTGGAAAGAGTGAATTGGGTACGTTCTCCTTTAAATGTGAGACAATGGAGTATGCCTCCAGGGTGAAGTCAAATTGCTGAGGAAGTAACAGGCACAAAAATGGATATACTAGGGTAAAGTGTGCAGAAAGAAATGCACAGATTGGTGAAAACAGCGTGCAAAAATGCATCGTGTAAGGAAAAATTGCTTCACAAAGATGTGCATCTAGGGTAAAAGTTGAATACAAAGATGTGCGATTTAGGAGAACTCCACACTATAAAATGCTGATGGATTTTCATGAGGACTTGCTTTTAAAAAAAAAGTGATGCAGAAGTTAGGAGAGCTGTCCCCCACCTTTCAGTTCTCCTAAATTATGCATCACTTAAAAAAAGCAAGTCCTCATGAAAATTCACCAGCATTTTATAGTGCCTCATTGCAGCTTCTATAACATACCCACAAGCCGCATCCAGCTCTGTGATTTAATGGGAGACACCCAGACTAAAGGCTTCTCATTTATGGCAAGTTTAAAAGGAAAACCCCAAATTCCACCATCAAGGAAGCTTGATCCCAAGCATTCGTGGCAAACATGTCTATGCCAATAGCGCAGTTCATAGCGATGGCACACCCACTAATTCCTGAACACCTTTGGCAGGCCCCAAGTAAACAAATTCTGTTCCTCTTCTCCTACGTATAACATGGGTAAGTCAAACCTCTCATTTTTTCCTTATATACATGGCTAATTCTTGTTGCTTTTGCTCAACATACAGTATGCACAGTAAGCCCGCAACTTGCTCAGCGGTCACGTTGCGGGGATCACGCCTGAAGCGAAAATTGCCTATACTCAAAACACATTGGGTGCAATGGCAGGTGAGATTGCTAATGTCTTCCCCCCACAGATGCCTGCCCCTTTCCACCCCCTTTGACTTTTTAAAACTTATGTTTCACCAAGTACAGTGGTACCTTGGGTTACAGACGCTTCAGGTTACAGACTCCACTAACCCAGAAATATTACCTCAGGTTAAGAACTTTGCTTCAGGATGAGAACAGAAATCGTGCTCTGGCGGTGCGGCAGCAGCAGGAGGCCCCATTAGCTAAAGTGGTGCTTCAGGTTAAGAACAGTTTCAGGTTAAGAACAGACCTCCAGAATGAATTAAGTACTTAACCCGAGGTACCACTGTACGTAAAGCTGAATGAGCACAATTTAAATGAGTGTAAATTTCAGCCTTACTGCACTACTATCAAGTGTGCTTGATCGTTTCCTGCTCAACCTATATATATTGCCACTTATTATCTATATATTAACACTTATATTCCTGCATTTCAGGGGGTTGGATGAGATGAATTCTACAGTTCAATGATTCTATGATCACAAAGAGCATCGTAAGTCCCCAATACGTTTTCATGTTGTTTTTCGGTCTCCAGTACTACTGAGAAGAATTTCAACCCTCGACAATGTGTTTTCAGAGACCAGCCTAATATTTGTCCTCCTGCGGGTTAAGATTTCAGTTTTTACAAACGACTCTCTCAGCTGAAATCTTTACCTTTAGCCACACACAGAGGATGAGAGGGGAGGTCAATCATTTACTCATTGTAACTCATTTACACTATGGCATTGGGGGGGTCGTTCCCCAGCTGGGCTCTGCATGTTTTGTGGAATACAAACAATGCCCTGGCCTTTGAAACATGCAGCTACATCATAAAGAGCACATTTCTTTATAACTTTTCTAAGGAGCTGGAGGAAATGCCCACGGAGCCCATCATTTATTCTCACAGCCCAGGGTTTACCTATTACGCTTTTGTGTCGCAGCACGGATTTGAACTCGGGTCTCTGCCCAGAGCACTGCACCAGAATGGCTCCTAGTAGCATCCGTTACATTTTAAAAAAGAACACAGGTCTCCACCAGGAAAAAAGACAGAGGCAACACAATTGTACTGAGTCGATGCAAAATTCAGCTTGCGTGTCTCGAGTGTGATATAATTTGGGTGTCTCTCTAGGATGCAAAACCAGGTTTGATTCACTCAAAGGCTGAAGCAAAAACAAGCCCTTCAAACTTACCCTTCATCACCCATTAGCAACCCGGAGGCCAAACCCATTCAAACTAGTGCTGAAATTATCATTTGCGAATATTCTAAGCTCGCCAACACTTCTGAGTTTGGAGTTTATAAATTCAAATCCTTGTGGTTGTATTGCATACAGCTCCCTTGCCATCTGTGGTGAAATATTAAATACAGTTGCATGTCATCTGTCAGATGCTATATGACTGTTCTCCAATGTTCTCAATTTTTGAAGTAAAATACAATGCCAAATACTATAGATATCAAATGATATGCCCCAAAATGTGAAATATTCAGGGAAAATTTGGAGGATTAGCGGCACAAAACATTTTGGGAAACAGGAGAAATCGGGGGGGGGGAATTGGGGGAATAAATTTGTTTCACTTCTAATTCTAAGCATCCAAGAAAAATGAGATTAAGTGGCAAAGCAGAATTGTAGATGATGGCAAGATTGGGAGAAGCTACTTTTATCCTTCAGAAAGAAGGGAAATGCTTCAAGAGAACATCGTTTTTAAGCCTAGCATCCGCCATGCAACTATTCGAAGGGCACAAATTGCACATCTTTTTCTTATCATAGTAAAGGCTTACGCTGAATTTTTGGTTAGGTTGCTATGCAAATTCTCTAGCACATGTCAGAATTGTGGATCATTGCTTCTCTGAAAACCTTTGAAATATGGTGAGTCACAGAGAGTTCCTATATATGGCAATTCCAAAGACCCGCTTGCCACGATTGATGGGCATACCTGTCAATTTCGGTTCCTCTCAGTTTCTCATTTCCCCACTCTTCTGTTCTCCACATTCCCACATCCCATTTCACCCCCCAAAAAATCCTCACGAAAATTCATTGCCATTTTAGTGTGATTTCGCTCCTAAGAGACACATTTTTGTATGCCATTTACACATTTCTGCAAAGCAATTCCCCCTAATATAATGCATTTTTATATACTGTGTTCACGAATATATACATTATTATTTTTCTGCACAAGCTCCTTTTGTTCACATTACAGATTACAAATAAGAAGTGCAAATGTCTAAGGATCATCAGGCTTCAGTTTTTTTGTAGTGTTTTGGAACGTGCAAATCGGGGAGGTTCACCTTTAAACGCAACCCAAATTGGATTTCTTCCCCCATCCCTACTTGCCGTGCCAAAGTTTTAACTGAAAAGTCACCCTGAAGCGGACCTTGCTGCATAACAAATGGTTGTCTGAACTGGTTCTCCCCACCATTTCAAATTCAACAATCACTCCAACTCTGAAATGCAGACATGGATTAATGGATGCAAATAGGTAAGTGTCTTAATGTGGCGACACAGTGAAAGCAATCGTGTTAACAGTGGAAATCTAGCCAAATAAATTTAGGAGGACAAAATAAGTGCAGTCAGACTCCTAACAGACATATACTGTATTTTTTGCTCTATAAGACTCACTTTTTCCCTCCTAAAAAGTAAGGGGAAATGTGTGCGTCTTATGGAGCAAATGCAGGCTGCACAGCTATCACAGAAGCCAGAACAGCAAGAGGGATTGCTGCTTTCACTGCGCAGCGATCCCTCTTGCTGTTCTGGCTTCTGAGATTCAGATTTTTTTTTTCTTGTTTTGCTCCTCCAAAAACTAGGTGCATCTTATGGTCTGGTGCGTCTTATAGAGCGAAAAATACGGTACTTCTATGTTAATAGCAGATCTTAACAGAATCAAAAGCCACCAGCATCTGAACCTGTTTCCAAATTCTAGCAACCCACACAAGTAGAGTAGAAAGTTACCTTTGTGCTAGAATTGACACAAAATTGGGGAATGTAGGAGGGCAGGGGCCTCAGTAAAATATTCACCAGATTTGAATGTTTTTTAGTCTTCCCAATCATGGGCAATGTGGTTCCTTTTCATATAAGTGAAGGAAGGGAATAAACACTAAAGTAATGCATTCAATACTTATTACTTGAAAATGGATCACCAAGATGGGAAATTGTTTCAAGGTATGTCCCCAAACATCTAGAAGGTAAAATTTCAGGGAAGGGGCTTGCAATGTTCTCAGTTTCTTTCTTTTCTTTTCTTTTTAAATGGTGGTGATTTCAAATTTGCACTCCAATTTGTTCAAAATTCACCAGCTCAGCTACACTCTGGGAATGAACGAAATATATTTCTGCTGAGAATCCCATGGATTGAGTGAGAATGTTCAAGCGGGTTAAAGCTCTAACCTGTTTGCAAAAACTGCAACACATAGCGATTCACAGTGGGCACCATGTACCATTAGTTACATGTGCCCATCTCATGCCACGCTTCCTGCAAAAAAATGCACACCTGTTCCTTGACTCCTTATCTTTACGAAAGGATGGACTACTCTTAAAATAACCTTTGGTTTCTCCAGTTCTTAATGAATAAAAATGTTAATTAATATTTTAACTGTGTTTCTCCAACATGTAGGGTTGCAGCTTCAGCCCAGAATATATAAACTTTGTTTCTCCAATACCTTAATTAAAAGCATATGAGGATGAGGCTTCAAGCTGGAATCTGAAAGGTTTCTGCTCTGCTGCGCTGTGTTTTTAACTACGGTGTTTGAAACGCTCTTGTTGATTTATGCATTATATTTGGCAGTTTGGGTTTAATTTTCATGGTTTCGTGATACTATATTGTCCATCTTTGGATAGGTAACAATGAGGTCTGGAACACTTTTTAAAGACAAGCAAATAAAGATTGGAACCCCAATTCTACCTCCCCGGATTCCAACACTAAGGCAACCAGAAGTAAAATACTACCTGTAGCTCACAGGCAGATGAAGAAGAAGAGGAGGAGTACAAACCTTTATTAGTCACTTCCCAAGCCACTTCGAAGAGTAATAAATCCTCCACTGGGAGATCTTCGTCTTCCCACTGAGGAAGCCCATTGAGAGAGGTGACGGAGAGCGATCGTACCAGAGGCATTGGTGATGCTGGGGCTATTGCTTGGGTTACACAGCACAACTCAGTCCTTACAGCCTTTGTGCCTTTTCTTTAAAAAGATGATATTTTCCTCCTGCTGCTGAGAGGATCTCCTTGCTTAGCACCGCCTGAAAACAAAGCCCAAAGAGGTTTCAAGAAGAAGCGAAACTTGCTCAGAGAGCTTGACGGCTAATGAGTTTTAGAAAACGGCCTGAGCCACCAGCCTTTAAATTGGCTCAGCAAAATCCCCCAGGCTTGTCCGAAGAGGCTTCTGCTGCTGCTGTTATTGCTGGCTGGAAGGGGGAGGGGGGGGAATCCAAGCTGTCCGGCGAGGGCAAGAATAGGCCCCAGATCAGTAGTAAAGAATTGCCACCGGACTCATCGCTCAGCATTCCTGAAAGCCCCCAGACTCAGGAATAAGCCAAAGGGCTGTGAATTGCCTTAAGCCAATCCCTCGGGGGGGAGGTGCCTGCCTTAATGCCACCCAGTTGGAGCCCTGCCCAAATTTCCAGAGAGGCACGTGGAGAAATCCCAGATCAAAACTCTTCCCAGAGGTGTGGGATGTTCTGCACTTCAGCGATCATTTTTTTATTTTTTAAGAGAAGAATAATACTTTATTTAGAATTCAACAATAGCAAAGGGAAAAACCACAGCAATTGTTACATCAATTCATTACAATTCACCAATTTTAACAATATATAAATAGTAATAGAAAAATTACACAACATCACTTTTGACTTACTGAAGTTTTCATATTACACTTTTATCTCTTTATCTCCTTCTTAACAAATCAAAAAGAGGAAGACCAAGAAAGGAGGCACACACAAAAAGAGAAAAGGAAGAAGAAAAAGGGGAGGGAAAGGGGGAGGAAAGGAAAAAAGAAAGAAGGGGGGGAACAAAATAAACACATTTGACTTCCGATTAGACTCATTGTATTATTATTTCTACTATTTCTACTATTTTTTCACACACAGTTGCAAATTATTGTATTACTTTCTTTGTTTTCATCTACACTTCAGTGATCAAAGGTAAACCTACATCCCAGGCTGAGGCAAGCATGATTTGCAATCATTTTGCAAATCAAGCTGATGCAAATATATTTGCCATCTCGGCATGGTTTATCCTGCTTATGGTAGACATAGGTAAAGGTAAAGGGTCCAGTCGTGGCCGACTCTGGGGTTGTGGCACTCATCTCACTTTACTGGCCGAGGGAGCCGGCGTACAGCTTCCGGGTCACGTGGCCAGCATGACTAAGCCGCTTCTGGCGAACCAAAGCAGCACACAGAAATGCTGCTTACCTTCCCGCTGGAGCAGTACCTATTTATCTACATGCACTTTGACGTGCTTTCGAACTGCTAGGTTGGAAGGAGCAGGAACCGAGCAACGGGAGCTCACCCCATCACGGGGATTCAAACCGCCGACCTTCTGATCTTCAAGCCCTAGGCTCTGTGGTTTAACCCACAGCGCCACCCGCGTCCCTTTATGGTAGACATTTGTTGTTGTTTAGTCGTTTAGTCATGTCTGACTCTTCGTGACCCCATGGACCAGAGCACGCCAGGCACTCCTGTCTTTCACTGCCTCCCGCAGTTTGGTCAGACTCATGTTTGTAGCTTTGAGAACTCCGTCCAACCATCTCGTCCTCTGTTGTCCCCTTCTCCTTGTGCCCTCCATCTTTCCCAACATCAGGGTCTTTTCCAGGGAGTCTTCTCTTCTCATGAGGTGGCCAAAGTATTGGAGCCTCAGCTTCAGGATCTGTCCTTCCAGTGAGCACTCAGGGCTGATTTCCTGAAGAATGGATAGGTGTGATCTTCTTGCAGTCCATGGGACTCTCAAGAGTCTCCTCCAGCACCAGAATTCAAAAGCATCAATTCTTCGGCGATCAGCCTTCTTTATGGTCCAGCTCTCACTTCCATACATCACTACTGGGAAAACCATGGCTTTAACTATACGGACCTTTGTTGGCAAAGACCTTTGTTGCTATGCCATGGTAGACATAGCATGGAGCAAAAGGCAAGGCTACTGGAGAACAGATAAGGAAGAGAGGCTGTGGCCCTCAAGGAACAGCCCTGCACGACACACTAGCCCTGGGGCGCAGGGCCTCCCTGCACAAAAAGAAAGGGGGAGGAAAGTGGAACACAAGGAGTCCCGATTTTTTTTACATCCCCATCTAAGCTTGCCCCTTTCTAAAATGTATTTATTGGTGTGTGCTTAGGGGGCGCCAATTTTGCGTGCTTTTCTTTTTGTAAATCTACTGAAGAATAAAATAAAATAAGGATTTAGGGATTTTTCTCAGGACGGTGGAGGGCGTGTGTGCTGTGTCTCATTGATGTCGTGATGGTGGCACTCACCCTTTTTCTGATAGGAAATGTTCTCTGCAGGGTGGAAGGATGGGGAAAAAATAGGGGACTGAGGAGGATCAGTAGGGAGTGAGTGAGAAATGTCCCTATTTTCATCTGAGGAATGTTGGAGGGTGTGCATTGAATTACAGCATGTTTATCAGGGTGCAAAAGAGCTAACATCATAGATACAGTGTTTTCTTAAAAACCACTGCAACAGGAAATAGTCCCGTTGTTCTCTGGAGATCAGGACACACAGAAAGGTTTGACGCAGACAGTGAGAGCTGGAATAAAACTGAAATGGAAGAGTAGAGGTAAAGCTAAAGGGACCCCTGACCATTAGGTCCAGTTGTGGCCGACTCTGGGGTTGCGGTGCTCATCTTGCTTTATTGGCCGAGGGAGCCGGCGTACAGCTTCCAGGTCATGGGGCCAGCATGACTAAGCCGCTTCTGGCGAACCAGAGCAGAGCACGGAAACGCCATATACCTTCCCGCTGGAGCGGTACCTATTTATCTACTTGCACTTTGATGTGCTTTTGAACTGCTAGGTTGGCAGGAGCAGGGACCGAGCAATGGGAGCTCACCCTGGCATGGGGATTTGAACTGCCAACCTTCTGATTGGCAAGTCCTAGGCTCTGTGGTTTAACCCACAGCGCCACCCGGGTAGAAGAGTACCATCTCTGAAATCAAGTCTTCACCAGCCTGGTTCCGTCCATATGTTTTGAACTACTACTCGGACTGATAGGAGTTGTCATCCACAACAACTGGAGGAAACCAGAGTGGCGAAAACCATCTTAGATTAGGGTTGCCATACATTGGCAGGATCCGGCCGTCGGAAGCAGTGTCCGGGTGGGAATCACTAGAATGTCCAGGAAAATCCAGATGTCGAGTTTGGTGAATTTCCTTTAAAATAGTTCAAAAACTTCTCTCTTTTTTGAGATTATGCACGAAAAGCTCAAAAACCTTTGTGTCCAGATTTTCACTTTTTGAAATTTGGCAACCCTATCTTAGATCATCCACGGCTAGCAAGCTAAATGAAGAGGGGTCCCTCCAGCGGACTATGGATGTAAAATAATATTTTCTTTGACTCTCAACATAGTATAGTTTTTTGTTTTGTTTTTAAGTGTGCATATATTTAGGACACAAACTGGAAATCAATGACTGTATCTCCTGATCCTAAATAATAAATAAATAAAAACATATGAAGAGGTGAGAGGGAGAGGATTGGATTGGATTTGGTAAATGACGTTGGGTCTGTGGGGCTAAACCTTTCTTTCTATTTTCTTTTATGTATTTATTACCCAAGGAGCTCAAGATAGCAAATATGGATCTCCTCCTTCTCATTTCCTCTGAAGACAGTTTGGAAAGTTCAGAAACTTTTGATCTATAAAGCCTTAAATGACTCAGGACCACAATACCTCAAGGACCACCTCTTTCCATATGAACCTACCCAGACCCTGAGATAATCTTCTGAGGCCCTTCTTCATGTGCCTCCTCCTCGAGAGGTCCAGAGGGTGGCAAAACGAGAACAGGGCCTTCTCTGCAGTGGCTCCCTGTCTGTGGAATGCTCTCCCCAGGGAAGTTCACCTGGCGCCTTCATTATACAGCTTTAGGCACCAGGCAAAATCGTTCCTTTTTAACCAGGCCTTTGGTTGACCTGATTGACATCCTACACCCTTTTAAAATGTGGCTCTTGGGGAGGGGTGTTATTGGGTTGTTGTTTTTATTTTGATTATATATTTTGTGGTTTTTATGTTGATCTTTTCTGTGAACCACCCTGAGACCTCCGGGTATAGGGCGGTATAATAATAATAATAATAATAATAATATTCCCTCACAACAACCCTGCGGGGTAGGTTAGGCTGAGAGACTGTGAAGGGTCCAAGGCCACCCCATGAGCTTTATGGCCGAGTGGGGATTCAAACCCTGGTCTCCCAACTCCGAGCCCAACACTCTAACCACTAGGCTACACAGGGTCTCATAGCATTTCCATCAAGAAAATTCCCTACATGAAGATGCTATCATCCATGTTGGTTGGGGCAGGGGGAAGACGTATAGTATAGCTACCTTGCTCTCTCCCTTCCCCTCCCAAGGATGGTTATACTGGTGGGAAAAGCCCAAGAAGACATCAATAATCATCATCATAATAATCTTATTTATTATTTATGCCCTCAGCCTCCCTTTTTGGGGTTATTCTTCCTCTTAGACAAGACGGCCCACTCCAGTTTTAGGGTGGTGCAAGCAGCCGCCCCGCACAGGGCTGAGGGGGCACAAAATATTATTATTATTATTATTAATAATAATAATAATGCAATATTTATTTATTTATTTATTTATTTATTTATTTATTTATTTATGTAGGTAGGTACCTACTCTAGGGGGGGCAATTTTGTCCTTGCTCAATGCGCCATATTACTATCCTCGCTATAAAGGAGGTCGTACAGGTACCCTTGGTGCAAAATGCATAAGAAAACACATCAAATCAACAGAGGATTTGCAGAAGAGCTGAGGGAACTCCAAAAAAATGTATTTGTGAAAAATTGTGTTATATGTTTTTATATTTTTGTATTGCAAAATGAATAAAAAATAATTCAAAAAAAAAAAGAAAACACAACAAATCAACTCAAGAAACAAGATTAAGGGTACATATTGATATAGGAATGTATTAGATAAAATGTAAAGAAATCTACAATAATAAGAGTACATTCATTTGTAAAAAAAGAATATACAGCGAGATTGATAGGAAAACCGTAGTGTTGGTACAAATATTATTTTGAAATGCCTTTATGTCTTTGTTTTCTTTTTTCTTTCTTTAGCTACATAAATTTGGCATATAAACTTTGTATGCATGCTGGAAATTATATTATAATATGCCCTGTAATGTAATATGATAATGTATACATATGTGACATAAGAACGTTAATAAATTTAAAAAGGGGGGGGGGGGGAGATAAAAACAAGAAAACACATCAAGGGTTTTCATTGCTTTGGCATACCAGCAGAGGTCACTACACACCCATTTAAACCTATTGCCTTACCACTGGAGTCTTGCAACCTTTCTGGTCCTGAATTATAGGGGAAGGATCAGATGTAGCTCAGTGAAAGGGCCGCGACTTTGCATGCAGAAACTTCCAGAGTCAATCCCTGACCTCTCCAGGTAGGGCCAAAATCATGGAGAATTTCTTCTGCCAGTCAGTGTAGATGGACCTATGAGCCTTGTGATACGTGCTGCAGAAGGATGGCTGGCGGAAAAACGACTTCTATAGATTTATGCCAAGCCGCTTTCGATGTCAGCCTAAATCTCTCCCTTCCACCACTCCCAAGTTGCATTCCTTTTTTGTCATCTAAGTGCATCTAGCGCCATCGGTGATGACTTTCCTATTGAATTCTCTGATAGGAACAGGCCTTTTAGAAGATCTGTGGAAGCAATTTCATCACAAAGCACAAAAAAACCATAAGTAGCGATCCCAGTAGCCAAGGTCCCAGGCCACAGAGAGGTTAGGCTGGCCTCAATTAGAACCAGGGCTTTTTCAGCTGTGGCTCCAATCTGGTGGAACGCTCTGTCACAAGAGACTAGGGCCCTGCGGGACTTGACATCTTTCCACAGGGCCTGCAAGACAGAGCTGTTCCACCAGGCCTTTGGCCAGGGCACAGCCTGACCCCCTCCTTTGGCAATCTTCACAGAACTTTAGCCTAATGGTTGCCATCAATTTGAGTTGAATTAATTTTATAATGAAATGATTTTAGAATGTTGTACTATTTTATTGTTGTTAGCCGCCCTGAGCCCAGCTTCGGCTGGGGAGGGCGGGATATAAATTATTATTATTATTATTATTATTATTATTATTATCATCATCCATGTTGGTTCATTAGAGAGAGAGAGAGAGAGAGAGAGAGAGAGAAAGTCCAAAAGCCACAATAGGGCAAAATGTTGCCACCAATGAATACGTCACAAAAAGGTGAGCAAGGTTTTGAGATATCTGGGGCAATTCTTCTGGCAGGACATCAAACAAAGAAACCAGGAAAGGGAGCAGGAGCGGGGAAAGCTAGAGATGGATACAAAGGATTTTTTAAATTAAATGCTAATGGTGCATTCTGGACCAAAACTTCCTCAACAGTGTCCTGGCAGGTGTCGTCTGCAAGAAGATGAACCGAGAAACAGGTGAGAAGGGCTCTTTTGCAGAAACACTCTGAACTGCGATCAAACCTTAGGAACAAAGGACACAGCCTTGGACCGAGCCAGACCATTAGTCCACTCAGTTCAGGACCACCTGTCGGCATGCAGAGGGTCGCAAGGCCAGCTGGCTAGCCCCAGCTGGGTTGTCTCCTTCCAGCCGTCCCGCTGCGAAGACCCATCGGCCTCTGCTCCGACGTAAAAGCCAGGGCACACTATCAGCAGATCGAACTGTGCACACAGAATAGGTGTGAGGCTTGCGAAAGCATACTACAACTACAGATTTATTAATCATAAATCAGGACGAAGAAACGTATCATCTCTCTCTACATCTTCTCAGAGAGACAGAAAAAACAAAAGCTATACACACAATGTTAAAGCTATGGTTTTCCCAGTAGTGATGTATGGAAGTGAGAGCTGGACCATAAAGAAGGCTGATCGCCGAAGAATTGATGCTTTTGAATTCTGGTGCTGGAGGAGACTCTTGAGAGTCCCATGGACTGCAAGAAGATCAAACCTATCCATTCTTAAGGAAATCAGCCCTGAGTGCTCACTGGAAGGACAGATCCTGAAGCTGAGGCTCCAATACTTTGGCCACCTCATGAGAAGAGAAGACTCCCTGGAAAAGACCCTGATGTTGGGAAAGATGGAGGGCACAAGGAGGAGAAGGGGACGACAGAGGATGAGATGGTTGGATAGTGTTCTCAAAGCTACCAGCATGAGTTTGACCAAACTGCGGGAGGCAGTGGAAGACAGAAGTGCCTGGCGTGCTCTGGTCCATGGGGTCACGAAGAGTCAGACACGACTAAACGACTAAACAACAACAACATACACACAATGGAAGTTCCCAGCATACTGTGCTGGAATGTAAACAGACATGTGACACGCAACAGTTCCACACGTCTGCTCCTTAAGGTGGAATGGAAATCTCAACACCACCTACATTGACTGGCAGTGGCTCTCGGGATTCCAGGCTGGGTCCATTCCAAGCTCTACCTGGAGACACTGGGAAATGATCCTGGAACCTTCTGCATGCAGGTGCATTCAGGTCCTATTTAATGATGCTGAAGGGTGAGACTATATGTGTCCATGTGGGCAAGGGATATTGGATATACTATACAATTGGCATCATCGGAAAAGTTATGGAGGGAAGATTTAAAATTCACAGCATGTTGTATGCTGAAAGAGAAGTATAGGAAAACGATGTATCGCTGGTACCTAACTCTTACTAAACTAGCTAAAATGTATAGAACTATATACATTAGCTATAAAGAGAAAGAAGGCACATTTTGCCACATGTGGTGAAGATGTAAAAAAGCAAAGGTATATTGGGAAATGATTTATAATGAGTTGGAAAAAATGTTTAAAATTACTTTTGTAAAAAACAACAACACCTCAAGCTTTCTTACTAGGAATATTAGGTCCAGAAATACCTAAGGTTCAGAAGAGACTATTTATGTAAGCTACAACAGCTGCACGGGTGCTACTTGCCCAAAGATGGAATGAGGACAATCTACCTACAAAAGAAGGATGGCAGGTAAAGATGATGGACTACGCCAAATTGGCAAAAATGACTGGGAAAATCAGAGATTAAGAGGACAATAAATTTGACAAAGAATGGCGAATTTTAAAAAAGTTATTCAAAAGAACACTGTAAACAACTGAAAACATTGGCAGGATTTTGAAAACACTTGCGATGAAGAGAGAACGATGATAAAAATTGAGTTTTAGGAAAATATGGAGAATATGACACGATGCAGTTTGAAAAGAATATCTGGGGAAACCATGGAGGGAAGTTTGGAGATTCTGAGAATCCTATTTGTAAAATGATTATGATTTGTGTATGATGATAAATGCTAAAAGTGAAAATGAATTTTAAAAAAGAAAAGAATACATGTGTCCATGAGCCCTTTGATAGCTTGTGCAGGAACAAGTCAGCGGGCAGAACAGGGTCCTTCAGTCCCTGCTAGCTTCAAAATATGCCCCTTATCCAATGTGTGCTGGTGCGTCACAAGGTCATTTTTGATAGGGGAACCAATGTCCCCACTGTGGAAGGACATGTGGATCCAGAATTGGCCTCCACAGTCACTTATGGACTCATTGTTAAAACCGTGTTTATGGAAGACAATCTTACTCAGCTGTGAGTGATCGCTGAAGAAGAAAAAGAAGAAGAAGAGTTAAGCATGGACAATAAGTTTTCTTAGGATGAGAGTCCTGGTCCTGTTGAGTTCAAACTTATAGCTGAATTCTCAGCTGAGCCCGAGGAAACGGCCAGAGTTTTACTGCACTGCAAACACTGTTCAGCAGGCGGCGCTGTTGTTATGATGATGATCAGTGCTGGATTGTTTTGTGGGAGCAAAAGAGGGTTCCACTTTATTCTTGCTATTAAATCATGGTTGGTATGAACCTCACAGCTTCATGAAGCCTACAAAAAGAGGATGGGCAAAACAGTCTTCTTCACAGAGGGCTGCTGCTTCGAGAGAGAGAAGCGCGAGAGAGGCAGATACTCGTTGACTAAGGTGAGTTCTTTGTACTCTGAAGGGCTAAGAATCTGGCATCCATAAGGACCAACTGCAAAAATTCTCAAGGCAGAATTAGTTCCTGAATGTTATTTCATGCATTCGCTGAGAGGAGTTTATAGAATGACTCCAGAGGCAAGGTGCCAGTCCTGAAATTGCATATATTCTATAACATTTCACGTCTCTTGCATTTTCTAACTTTACTAGAACTTCCCTTTCTGCCGGACTTTCTGTTGCAGTCCATTCTGTCAAAACCTTTTCTTTTCTTCCTCGAGATTTTCTCATTGCACTCTGTTTACCATTCTAGTGCAACCTTTCTGTCTATTTCTCCCATTCTTTCTTGCCCCTTTCCCTAGCTTTATTTATTTGTTTTCATTCATTCATTCAAATTCACACCTGAGTCAGTTAGAAAGAGCTTTAGGAAAAGTTCTGTTAGAGAAATACAGTAATGCATCACTTTACTTGTGTGTACTTTGTCTAGCATTTCACGATCTGTTTGCCGCTTGTAAAATGCAAAAACTAAAGACATAATGAGAATGAATGACTGCAGATATGAATGAGATAGGTGTGGGGAAAGCATTTTTCATGATAAAAGTCTGTAAGCATTGCCAGTGCTTTCTCTGGGGGGACGCATACCCCTAAACATTTTGCAAATCTAAGTTTGGCCTCATTGAGGGGCAGTATTTCAATATGAGTAGGAAAATGCCGAGTACCCCTAAACATTTTTTTAGAGGGGAAAAAAGCACTGAGCATTGCTATTTATTTGTTATGGTCTATAACCTGCCTTTCCAAAACTACACAAACACACACACAACAGAGAGAGAATTCAAGGTGTCTTAATGGTTTGTTGGAATTAGCTACTTTCCAGATGACAATTAAGTAAGACTGGGAAAGTTTTGAAAACTTATGAGCACCAGACCAGTATAGTGAAAAGAGTATAATATATAACAGACTCCGGTTCAAATCTTTGCTTAGCTGTGAACTCATAGAATGTCTGCCAGTTGTTTTTTTTAACCCCCCTTTTTTTTGCAATGTTAACAAACAAAGGTAAGGGAGGGGAAGGGAGGAAAAAGAATGGAATGCAATAAAATAAAAACAAAGACATCATGTATAAATAATACTAACTGTAACAAAAACAAAACAAAAACAAGCTTTTGCCAGATTGACCTATAGCACAGAATCATTGTGAGAATACCATGGTGTATACCCAGATTCTCCCTGTACATGGCTCTGAGTTCCTTGGTTAAAGATCAGAACCCAGAGGAACCCAGGAAGCTGCCTTCTACCAAGTCAGATCGTTGGTCCATCTGGGTCAGTATTGTTTGCTCTGGCTGGCAGCATCTCTGCGGAGTTTCACGGAGGTAGTCTTTCCCAGCCTTATCTGGAGATGCCAGGGATTGACTGACAGAGCCGATGACCCACCACTGAGCTGCGACTCTTCTCCTTTGCAAAATGCGGTAAGATGAAGAGGCTTGTCACTAACTCGCCTTCTGTCTTCTCGCCTTTCCTCACTCCGCCGACCCTTACGAATCAGGACTGTGACATGATCAGGCTTTTGCTTTTGTCGTTCCTGCTGGCAGTCATCGGTCAGAATGGGACTTGGGGAAAACCTGTTCACGGGGACATCAGGTCCATCCTGCAGGTTGATTTTTCAGGTATGCCTTTCATCTTATTTATCCATCTGTCTGTCCTGCCTACCTTGTCTCTCCGCTGGTTCTCTTATTCCCGGGTTGTGGTTGTTCTATTCTCTCAACCATCTAACTCAGCACCCCCAACCTGTGGCCTTTCAGATGTTTTGGCCTACAACTCCCATGATCCCTAGCTAACAGGACCAGTGGTCAGAGGTGATGAGAATTGTAGTCCAAAAATCTGGAGGGCCGAGGTTTGGGGGTGCCTGATCTAACCCTAACCCTAAGGGCATAGCAGCTTCTAGACAAAAGTCAGCTCATTCTGATCTCTTGCCAGTTCAGGTCACGGCAAGCTGGTCACGCGCTTCGCAGCCATCTTAAATGTGGGACTAGGATGCGGGTGGCGCTGTGGGTTAAACCACAGAGCCTAGGACTTGAAGATCAGAAGGTCGGCGGTTCGAATCCCCGCGACGGGGTGAGCTCCCATTGCTCAGTCCCTGCTCCTGCCAACCTAGCAGTTCTAAAGCACGTCAAAGTGCTTTCCTGCTCCGGCGGGAAGGTAAACAACATTTCCGTGTGCTGCTCTGGTTTTCCAGAAGCGGCTTAGTCATGCTGGCCACATGACCCGGAAGCTGTATGCCGGCTCCCTTGGCCAATAAAGCGAGATGAGCACCGCAACCCCAGAGTCCGTCACGACTGGACCTAATGGTCAGGGGTCCCCTTTACCTTTAGAGATGAGTGGGTTTGCCCAAATTGGAATCCATTCTCTCCTTCCGGAACATTCCCCAGCTGTTAGCTCCTATGGTCAGTGGTGCAGCATGTAGCGTGCCCCCTGATAGGCTCCCTCATCGAGGCCAGAGCTGTGGGGAGACAAGCTGCGCCCGGGCCTTTGGGACTGGGCCAGTAGTGGTGCCTCCTTCTCCTCATGGCTGGCAAAGGGGCGACCATGTCCACCCCACCCCTGGTCTGTCCAAGAGGGGGCAGAGGGAGGGCGCCAGCGCCGCCCACCGAGGAGAGAGGAAGAGGAAGGCAGGAAAGCACTGCCAGAGCCACATGAGTTGCCCAGGGTGCTGCACTGCAGAGACAGGATCCGACACAACAGCGCTCCTGGCTTCACGTTTCTGTGATCCCAGGTTGCGGCTAGTTTGCAAGGAGAGACTCCCTTCATTAGATGCTGGCCGCCGAAGGGACTAACTACTGCCCAGTGCACCAGGGAGTGCGACACTTGCCCCAGCCCGGGTGCCAGCAACCCACGCTATGCCCCAAGTCACCTGTGCTTGGCTGACTGTTTTGCCTAACAAGGCCGGACCTTTTTGGCAGGATAGACTACGTAAGTTGCTCCTCTGTTTGTCCAGATCTTACAACCATGGAAATACCAAACTGGGGTCATTCCACTCAACCACAAATACCACTACAGGCTAATTGTTCCCGAGTTTCCTCCTAGACGCAGCAGATCCAGCCAACGATTTCCAAGCCAAGAGGAATTCTTATCACGCTGCCCGAGGCCCTGAGGTTCTCAACCCGGCAGACCCGTCCAGCCTTTGCTACCTCATCCAAGAGAGCGATACTGAGAGCCAGATCTCTTGCAGGCTCCGCTTCACCAGGAGCAAATTCAATTTCAACCCTTTCGGACTGCGATTCGGGAAACGGCAGGGGGGCGTCTTGGATGCCGATACCGGGAAACTGGGTCCCCAGAGCAGCAGCAGCAAAATGCTGCAGTCCCTGCTGAAACCCAAACTGGACAGGATGATAGAGCTGTGTGGGGAGATGTGGGGAGAAGATTGTTAAGCTTTGCAAAGCAAATCCATTCCAGGGGCCAGGCATTTGTAGCACAGATATCAATAACTGAGTTAGGGAAACGATTTCAGGCACCCACAAAGAGCCCTTAAAAAAACACAAAACAAAAAAAACACACTGTTGAAACCAACAAATCAGGCAAACTACAAATTCTGGCCCTAAGAATAATCTAGAATATATTCGGCCCTGGCTGAGGTTATTAAATATCCCCTGCTTTCAAAAATGTATGTGCTTCTGCTTGGGTGCCTCTTCTCATAAAAGGAACTATTATTATTATTTTGTCAGTTAAAAAGGACTTAAAAGTCCTTCTAATTACATGCCGTGTGTCTTTTCTTTACGAAGGAGGCTATTGTCCCGCTTTTAAAATAGACCAAAATCTTCCAGAGTATGTGTTGTTTTTCCTGAAGGAGATACTCTGCTTGGGTGGCTATTTATACACCACCAAAAAAGGAGAGAGAAAATGCATCACCACAGCTATGCACAAAATTTGAATGAGTTAATTTATAGGTAGATGTGCAAAATTAGAAGGGGGGGGGGGAATTAATGTGATTTAAATAGAAATAAAATTCTTCTCCCTTAAGTGGGGCACACACAGGTAACCTGTCTGCAGACGTTCCTAGTATAGTAAGAAGTTCTGAATTTCTATTCAAAGAAATTGTTGATGGACAACTGTCTTCTGTAAAGCAGGACAAATGGCGACCCTTCATTCTATACCTTTATGCCTCCTTTTTAATTTAAAAAATGAGGTGCCAGTCCCCATGCCTTGATAAAAGTGCCACAGTTGCAGAAAGAGGTGCCATTATTCCGTACCAGCGAGTACCATCACAAAAAAGGATGGCAGAGAAAAACGGCATTTGTTAAGCATTGGTGAATTATTTATTTCATAAAATTTATGTACCGCTCGATTGCAGAACCTTAGGCCTTGTCTCAGGCCTGGTAGTAAAACTCAACAAGTTTGGAGAGCAGAGTCCAGCCTCCACCATTTACCATGTAAACCCAAGAAGAACTCATTTGAATTTACTTGTATTCACTGTATTTTTTGTAACTTAGGCTTAGTTCTCACTGAGGTGAAAAACCTTTGTCCGGGCTGCACAATGTCAGCCCACTTGTGGAAGCTTATGTGGCAAAAAACTTCCTCATAACAAAAACAGTTCCTCCTGTAAGAAAATGAGAACATCGGGGGGAAAGTTAAGCTGGCCCCTTTCGTGATAACAAATATTCAGTGTGGAGGCCATTATTTCGGGAGGAGAAAGATTCAAACTGTATTGCCATTGTTGTTGAGTCATTTAGTCATGTCTGACTCTTCGTGACCCGATGGACCTGTAGTCAAGACTTAAATTTACCCTCAGTGGGAACTAGGCCTCAGCACAACCAATATTCAAGTTTGCTGTCTCGTCAAAAACGCTTTTTCATGTGCTAGAATATGGCACAAAAGCTGCACGTTTGTTTTCCGACAATAAAATGTGTTATCTGTGTCACAATATGGGTGTGAAAATGGCCAGTGTTGTGACTTAATTTTCATCTACAATGAAGCAAGTGGGAATCCTGGTTTCACCGTGAATGATGTGCACTTGCTTCCCTCAGACTTTTGCCCTCCTTCCAGGAGCATAAAAGGATGCTTTACCAAATTAGACCATGGGCCCATCTGGTTCAGTCATGTCCACATTGTATACAGAATCAGGTCCAGCTCCCTGCAATGCAGGAATCAAAACTCTGGCTGGCTCTCCCAAGGTTTCGGGCATCTCCCTATCTGGAGATGTGCTGGACCTGGAGATGCAAAACATGCTCTACTATTGAGCCACAGCCTCTTTCCCAGTTTATAAATACAACCGTATCCTCCCCGCCCCCCAATTCTGTTTTATCTATCCAGGAGTTTTGTCACTGACTAATAAAGTATTTGTGAATCCCTTTTATCTGCAGTGAACAAGGCAGAAATTCACCATTGTTGAGGTTCGGACAGGCCTTTTCAAAACAGGGTCAGAGAGAGGATTTATAGATCCTGGAGGAAATGACTCAGATTGTACTTCTTAACATGCACTGGCTGTCAAGTTTTCCTCTCTGCTTCATATGCTACTGGATCTTAGTGAAATAAGATTCATCTGTGAGACAATTTACAAAGCACCAACTCATAAAAATAGGTCACTGCATAACAGAACCATCAGATTAGCACAGGATTATAAAATACAAAGCAAATGACCATCACTGAATCAAATTAGTTCTCTAAAAACTCATGAGAAACACATGTTTTCAGCAGGAAGTGAAACAGCAAAATTGTAGGTGCTGATTTGCTATCAATGGGGGAAGTGTTCTGAAATACTGGTGCCGAGAGTTCACATGGAAACTAAACAAATGAGTAGGGCTTCTCCAGAAGATCAGTGATCTGGCCAGTGCCTTAAGAGATAATATGGTCCTTCACTTTTTAAACTTACTCCTCTTCCTGACTTAAGCTAGTCCAAGGCCAGGCATCCCCAAACTCGATCCTCCAGCAGTTTTGGGACTACAATTCCCATCATCCCTAGCTAACAGGACCAGTGGTCAGGGATGTTCCAAAACAGCTGGAGGGCCGAGTTTGGGGGTGCCTGGCCTAGGGTGTTTAGGGCTTTGTACGGTGTGGGTTTTATGGGGTGTTAGAGGAGAGGGCCAGTGCCTCTGCTGGGGGACACACTGTGTTCCTTTGGGGGCAGTTTGTCCTCCTTTGTTCCCCACCCTGAACTCAGCTCTCACCTATGGCTCCTAGAAACTGACCGGCTGAACCAAGTGAGAGTAGCCAACAGGCCTCAAACTCTTGGTGAATTAGGGACATTCCCTGCATGCAAAGTAATCTTTTTCGGACATTTCAATTAACCTAACCGAAGTCTGTTGATTTCAATGGATCTACAGTGGTACCTCGGGTTACAGACGTTTCAGGTTACAGACTCTACTAACCCAGAAATAGTACCTTGGGTTAAGAACTTCAGGATGAGAACAGAAATCGCGCAGTGGCAGCCCCCATTAGCTAAAGTGGTACCTCAGCTTAAGAATAGTTTCAGGTTAAGAACGGACCTCCGGAACGAATTAAGTACGTAACCAGAGGTACCACTGTACTCGTGTATGAGTTACGTCACATACAACCCTATAGAAAAGCAGAAAAGCAGCATCTTCTTGTAATATTAATCATCCGAATAATAATAATAATAAATGCAAAGCTGCCAGATTGTAGATGTTTGGAAAATTCTATCCCCCAACCCCATCATCACATACACAGAATCTGAATGCTGAGGTTTTGTATTATTATTTCTTAAAAAATGAGCACCCGCTGCAAGAATAGAGCACACACAAAAGAGCTGGTTTTATTTAGTTTGAAAAGGTCTGCGTTACACCAAGCACACATCTTAACCGTGGTGGGTGAAAACTTGTACGGTTTTGGGGTTGATTACTGGAAGCTCAGCTACGGAGATATGCTAGAGAGGCTCACGCAAAATTGCGGGGTCCAACTTTGAACGTTGGTTATCATTCTTGCTGCTGCTGCTGCTGCTACTGGTGGGAAGGTGGCCCTTCTAAGCCTACAGGTCCTTGATGTCCTTCTGGACGTTCCACAACGTGGTGGCACTCTTCTGGAGCTGGGCCACCTCGTCGTCCTTCAGCTTCTGGTTGATCACGCTGGTCAAGCCAACAGACCCCAGCACACAAGGCAGGCTCAGGAAGACTTCGTTTTCAATGCCATACATGCCCTGCAAGGAAGATTTAAGAGAGAAGTTGGAAACTAGGAGATCCCTCTTAACATGTACTCTTGGCCCTGAGTGAGAAGGCTCAGAGGCTTCCATGGCCGGAAGCAGCTTTCATCAGCTTGGGCTGATACGCCAGTTGGGACTCTAAGCTAAGAGACCTTTCTTCCATTTGTTTGTTTCACATTTATATACCGGTTGATTGTCGCAAACCCTTTCCCATATCCATGCACTAGCGACATCCTGTCAAAGAGCAAGCCGGCAGTAAATTGCACCATTCAAAATTGGAGTTAACTCTATTAGCAAAAGAACAATCGCCATGGACTTGGTGGAGTGTCAGCCCTAATGAGCACAACAGCTCATCCCTGGTAGGTCTGGTCCCATGAATCGGTTGACTAGACTGAAAGTCCCCGCCTCCCCATGGCCGTCTAAGTCCTCTCCTCTCTAGGGCTTTCTCCAAGCAATCAGAGACTGAGCCTGTGTGCAGCCTGCTAGAGTTCCACTCATTTCAGCCCTCTTCTGGTTCTGGGAGAACAGGGGTGAGGGCACCCATGACTCTTCACCAACCTGACTCATCTCTGTCTCCTGGCCATCCTACTGCTTCAGCTTCTGTCTCCGATTCTGGACTTCTCTCTGCCACAGACTCTCCCACCTCACTAAGCCCTGTTACCTTTTCAGCTTCCGACACGTCCTCTTCCCAGCCTTCTCACTTTTTTCCCTCTGACCACTCATTGTGGTCCCACCACCACTCCCTGGGCTCAGAGCCATCTTCCTTTGGGGTTTCCCCAGCTGATTGTCCCCACCGTTCCTCTGCCTCTAACCAGCCCACGGCGCTTCCCTCCAACGAACTGATACAGAAGTAATATGGAAGAGGGCAAAGGGATGCATTCAGGACCACCACTCCCATCTACTGAGTAAACCCAATCCTTTCCCCTGGTGAACTAACCTTGCTCGCCCTGCAAGTGACGCAGCTATTACGACCTACACTGTTCTGCAAACACAGTCTTGCATTCTCCAAATCTACTGCACTGAGCACCCAGGAAATGAAAAGGTGGAGGGGGAACTGTTCATCCCCATTTCTCTATTTCCCATCTGGAAGCAGGGACGAAATATAGCAAAGGGCAGAAACACAACCAAGCTATTAACGTTCCTTACCTTTACCATGGTGGACACTGGATGAACTCGGCAAAGGTTCCCGAAGATGGTCTCCAGTAGGTCAGCAACACTCAAGCCAATGGCCCAGTTGGTGTAGCCTTTCAGCTTGATCACTTCATAGGCACTACCAAAAACACATCGCAGAAAGCCCAGTTAGACCACGCAAAGTGGTTGTGAAAGATAGCAAGGGAACAGCAAAACATGGTCATGGCAAGAAAGAATTCTGGGGGGAACTAGCACCAGGAAAATTCCTGCTAAAGGAGGAGACACTCTAGTACAGAGGTGGGAACTTCTGTCCTATGAAACAAATTAGGCTTGTCAATTCTCCCTGTCTGGCCTGCAAGGCTGTTTTGGCCAAGCCACAGCCACCTGCTCCTCACCTGTGAAGGGCAGGTAAAGAGGAGGTAGGGCTGTAAGGGGGCTTCCACCTGAAAGTGCTTTGCAAGCCCCAACCATCAGCTGGTTGACGGGCTTGCAAAGCACAGCGCCTCCGCCTGCACATTTTGAGGACGTCGTTAGGACGTCAGGTGACTGGCAGCTGGGCAACTCCTCTCCCTAGCGGGAGGAGGGTGGGGGAGATAAAAGATTCAGCCTGCTGCCCAGATCCACCTCTGCTCTAATTGAAGGTGTGGGGTATGTACGTGCATGAAACTTCAGGTTTAAATCCGTTAGTAGGCACGAAATTTTGAATGGCGCATGTCTGAAATATGAACAACCAAATCTCCACTAAAAACATGTGGCCCCATTCCAACCAGGCTCAGAACCCACTTCGTATCAGGCCTGGAGCTAGCAGGTGACAGTCTTGGGCACCACCAACATCTACAGAGTCTCTATCCTGACCACCCCCCTTTTAAAAACTCATTGCAAAGCAACAACTAAGCAGTCATTCCCAGACAACCCGTACTGCTTCTCTCCATGCCAGGGGGAACCAGGAGGTATCACTCTGAATTAACAATTTTGCCTGATTATGTACTCCAGAGAACTCAAAAACCACTCACAGTTTTGGTGATAAATGTACTGACCATGAATTTTGTAGGTTTCAAGTTTGCTGAGACTGTCGTTTCTCCAGATCCCTCATACACACATTCAAGAAAGCAACCCTCATAAAGACTGATGTTGTGTCTGCCAACCTCGGTCATCCCCAATGCACCATTACCTGTCAACCACCTCCTTATGGACTTGCTTCCAGCCCTCCGGATCTTGGTCAGTCCCCATGTCAGGGTTTAGCTGCTGGAGAGAAACACCTGCGACGTTAACCCCGCTCCAGACAGCCACTGCAACGACAAGAAGAAAAGAGCCCAGGTTATGATAGGGTAGGTTCCCTGTTTAAAGGTAAAGGCAAAGGGACCCCTGACCATTGGGTCCAGTCGTGGCCGACTCTGGGATTGCGGCGCTCAACTCGCTTTACTTGCCGAGGGAGCCGGCATACAGTTTCCGGGTCATGTGGCCAGCATGACTAAGCCGCTTCTGGCGAACCAGAGCAGCACACGGAAACTCCGTTTACCTTCCCGCCAGAGCGGTACCTATTTATCTACTTGCATTTTTGACGTGCTTTCGAACTGCTAGGTTGGCAGGAGCTGGGACCGAGCAACGGGAGCTCACCCCATCGTGGGGATTCGAACCACCAACCTTCTGATCTGCAAGTCCTAGGCTCAGTGGTTTAACCCACAGCGCCACCCGCGTCCCAGGTTCCCTGTTTAGGGAAGCTTTTAATGTTTAACAGACTATTGTATTTTAATATTTTGTTGGAAGCCGCCCAGAATGGCTGGGGAAGACACTGAGAGATACGATAGCCATCTTCAAATATCTCAAGGTCTGTCGCATGGAAGAGGGAGCAAGCTTGTTTTCTTCTGCTCCAGAGGGTAGGACCCAAACCAACGGATGCAAGTTACGAGAAAGAAGATCCTGGCTAAACGTCAGGAAGAACTTTTTGACAGCAAGACCTGTTTTGACAGTGGAACGGTCTCCTCGTGAGGTGGTGGACTCTCCTTCCTTGGAGGTTTTCAAGCAGAGATTGGGTGGCCATCTGCCATGGATGAGATTCCTGCATCGCAGGAGGTTGGACTAGATGACCCTCGGGGTCCCTTCCAACCCTACAATTCTACGGTTCTATATCCTATTGGGCTGGGTATGTCCCGTCTGAAGCCCCTGGGGAGCTGGGCTAGACAGACCAATGGTCTGACTCACTATAAGGCAGCTCCCTTCCTATGTTCACATATACTGGGGCTTATAGCTCAGAGGCGGAGCCTCTGCTTTGCATCCAGAAGATCCCAGGTAGGACTGGGAATGCCGTGTTTGTAATCCTGTAGAGCCACAGCCACACAGCGAGGCAATGCTGAGCTAAGGTCAACGCTCTGACTTCAATGCCATCTTCCTATGTTCTGTACCATTCAAATAAACAATACTTTATTCGTTCTGGCTACTGTCCAAAGGCACACATGTGTGTCTGTACAACACAGAAGGGACCGGGAACTCAAGAAGTCCAACTAGGAAAAAAACTTCCTTAGAAAGGGATCTCCGCTCCTGAGTAGAACGCTTCCCCCGCTATAGTTGATTTCATCTCTCATGGCTGTGTTTGAACTATTTTCAACAATGGGGTTGTTTGCTTTCCTTGCTCCATGTTAACTGCTTTGGGCAGGAAAGGAGAGATGTGCAGTTCTGCTCCATAAATAAGCACAGGAAAGTATGATTTATAAGCTCAGCTATCGTCTCCCGTGATTCGCAACAGCTCTCCAGGGAAGAGTCCTTCGCATCACCTGGCAACGTTTTAACAGGAGATGCTAAGGAATGAAACTGGGACCTCCTCAAACACTGAGCTATGGCCTTTCCGCATGAAATAAAAAATTAAGGGGGGGGGACACGCTTTGAATCTCTGGCACTTCTTGTTAAAGGATTTCAGCCCTGCCTGGACCTTTGAGGTCTCCTTGCGGCAGGGGAAGCAGGACCCTCTTCTGGAAGACCCTCACAAGACCAGTGACCACGAGATCTCAAGATATGGTAGCCACAAGGCTAGAGGACTCCACACTTGTTTACTGATTTCCTGGCTGGATCTCACCTTTTGCCCCCATCACCTCCAAGAGCAGTCAGGAGAAAGCTTTCAGGAGTGCCAATTAGCCACACATAACTGTACCTCGGAGGAGGGGGCGAGCTTGTGAAATCGCCTGCTTGGATCAGGGCCTGGCTCAGAACCAGGAAGGGGTGGAGCCTCGACTTCAATATAGCCTGAAGCTCTAGTTTCCAACCTTCTGTGAACTGTGTAACACAGTGGTTCTCAACCTGCGGGTCCCCAGATGTTGTTGGACTACAACTCCCATCATCCCTGAGCTCTGGCCTTGCTAGCTAGGGGTGATGGGAGTTGTAGTCCCAAAACATCTGGGGACCCACAGGTTGAGAAAGGTTGGAACAAGTCACAAAGATGGACCACCTCTCTTCCCCCCCCAAAACAGCTGGGAGTGCAGAGCTAGCCTAGAAAGACTCCATATACAGCAGCTTCAAATGTCCCCCAACCCAGCAGTGTTCTTCTTTTCTTGGGTTGCCGGATGCTGCTGTTGGACTACAACTCCCATTATCCCTGATCACTGGGCCAAATAGGTTGTGGGTGATGGGAGTTGTAGTCCCCCACACTTGGGGACCCAAGGTTGCAGCATGCTGCCCTACAGGATCACTGCAGGTTTCGGACAACGCCGCTCACCGCTGGAATCGCCGTGTTCTCCCAGGATCCAACCGTGACAGCTGGTGGGATGGACGCCCAGCTTTTCGGCCATCAGGAAACGGAACCGAGCCGAATCGAGGTTGCAACCGCTGCCGATGACGCGGTGCTTAGGCAGGCCGCTCAGTTTCCACGTCACGTAGGTGAGGATATCCACTGGGGAAAGGAGGAGAGAGAGGATGAGGGGCTGGTGCACTCAAGAGTCAACTCTCTGGCCCCATCTGCACTGCACGTTTAAAGCGCTATGATACCACTTTAAACAGATACGGCTTCCCACAAAGAATCCTGGAAGCTGTAGTTTGCTAAGCGTGCCAAGAGTGGTTAGGTGACTCCCCTTGCCTTCACTGATGCTCAAGATGCGGAATGTCCCAGGAACGAGCCAGTGCCACACTCTCATAAAAAGGTAAAAGGTAAAGGACCCCTGGATGGTTAAGTCCAGTCAAAGGCGACTATGGGGTGCAGTACTCATCTCGCTTTCAGGCCGAGGGAGCTGGCGTTTGTCCACAGACAGCTTTCCAGGTCATGTGGCCAGCATGACTAAATCGCTTCTGGCACAACGGAACACCGTGACGGAAACCAGAGTGCACGGAAATGCCATTCACCTTCCTGCCACAGTAATACCTATTTATCTACTTGCACTGGTGTGCTTTCGAACTGCTAGGTTGGCAGGAGCTGGAACAGAGCAAAGGGAGCTCACCCCATCACGGGGATTCAAACCACCAACCTTCTGATTGGCTAGCCCAAGAGGCTCAGTGGTTTAGACCACAGCGCCACTCCTGTCGATAATCAACGCAAAGAATTTTAAGCAAGCCTTCCACCACAACCTTGCCCCTTCCACGTTTGCCGCAAATTGATGGGGAATTGTAACACAAAAAACCAGCAGAGCACGAGGTGAGGGAAGGCTGGCTTAAGCAAATATGCCAGGATCCAAATTTATTTCTTGTTTACTGAAGCGGCTGCCTTGTGCATCTGGATTTGTCTGGATTGCAACCAGGCTCTGGAACTCGACTGGGAGTGAGTGCAAGAAATATAAAAGGCCATGATCTAGCTACAGGGGCTGCTCTAACTGCTAGCCCAATTTACCTGGGTTCGAAACCACCAGGATGATGCAGTCCGGACTATGTTTCACGACCTGTGGGATAATGAACTTGAAGACATTCACGTTCCTCTGGACCAAGTCGAGGCGGGACTCCCCTTCCTGCTGGCGGACTCCGGCGGTCACCACGACAACCTTGGAATTAGCGGTGACCGCGTAATCTGCAGGCAAAAATGTAACCGAGAAGTTATCAGGAGGCAGGGCAAAGTTCTGCGGCCTTCCAGAAGTTGTCAGATGACAGCTCCCATCATCCCCAACTGATAGGAGATGGAGTTCAACAACATCTGGAGGCCCAACAGCTGGCTGTCAAATGGGAACCAAGGGGAAGACAGGTTGAAATTCCCACTCAGCCCTGAAGTTCATTAGGACACTTTGGGACAAGCCACTATTTATTTAAAGGTAAAGGGACCGCTCACCATCAGGTCCAGTCGTGCCAACTCTGGGGTTGCGGAGCTCATCTTGCTTTACTGGCCGAGGGAGCCGGCGTACAGCTTCCAGATCATGTGGCCAGCATGACTAAGCCACTTCTGGCAAACCAGAGCAGCACACGGAAACACCGTTTACCTTCCCGCTGGAGCGGTACCTATTTATTTACTTGCACTTTGACGTGCTTTCGAACTGCTAGGTTGGCAGGAGCTGGGACTGAGCAACGGGAGCTCACCCCGTTGCGGGGATTCGAACCGCCGACCTTCTGATCGGCAAGTCCTAGGCTCTGTGGTTTAACCCACAGCGCCACCCGCGTCCCTTAAGAGTTTGGATTTGATATCCCGCTTTATCGCTACCCGGAAAAGTCTCAAAGCGGCTAACATTCTCCTTTCCCTTCCTCCCCCACAACCAACACTATTTATTTACAAGCATTTATAAACCACTTTACACATAAATACTAAAAAAATTAATTGAAGTGTGTACAAAATAAAAATAATAAACATGTGTTATCATTACATTTATTATCGGCCCTTTACCAGTAGGTCCCAAGGTGGGTTATCATTAAATTTAAAAAGTTTGAATATGCTGCAGTTACAGGAATAGGTGGAGCCCTGAAAACACACATCTTGAGTGTCAAAGGGCAGAGTAAACAGGTGCCTCTTCTGCATATGCCAAAAGTTACACAATGAAGGTGCCGGGCGCACCTCTATGGGGGTGGGAATTCCACATCCCAGCGGATGCCACAAAGAAAGCCCTTTCACAATCTATCATCCCCCACAAACTTCTGAGGGAGTTGGAACTACAAAGGCGGCTCCATCTCCTGATCCTAACACCCAGGAGCGACCATAAGGAAAGAAGCGGTCTTCAAGATCTTTGTGGCATCGATCGTTTATATTGAAAACCAGGCAAGCAGTGGTATAAAAGCATATAAAACCAGGGTTTTCGAGCAAATGAAAACTAAAAACAGTCCGGTCTTGTGCACCGGGGAAAGCCTGTGCAAAAACAGACGCCTTTGCTATCTCTCAAGCTACTTCACCAGGCTGCTGACAGGATACAGAAGACAGCAGGGAGACTCACATACATCAGCCTGGACTCTGTGCAGGAGCTTGCCCAGGATATAAAAGCAGGCAAACAGGCGTTGAAAGGTCTGAGGCCCTCCTTTCCACCCACAAGAATAATGAATGTTATAATGGACTGCATAACTGCATGTCCTGGCTATAGACAAAGGTCACCTGTATGTTAAGATGCATAGTCCCTGTATCAGCTTACAAAGAAGTTCACAGAAGTTCTGCATTGCTGGTCTCGAGGGAAGGGGAGCCAGCCCCCTCCTCTGAAACCGGCATAGAAACACAAGTTGCTAGCCTCTTAGGAGGTAGTTAAAAACAACAACCCTGCCTTCCATGAAGGAGACTGTTGGAGGACAGTGGTGTGTTCCTCCTCGCTCGCCTACGTGGAATTTCTGATCACCTATGGCTACCAGGTAAGTTGTGGCCTTCCACTCTTCAGTAGCTCAGGGAAAACAGATTTCAAACATCTGTTTCCCAATGTGACCTGTTGAGTAAAGTCTGGCTCTCCCCCACCGGGCTCACGTGGCGGTAAGATATAATATAAAACCTACCCTTGCCCGCTATGATCTTATGTGTCTTAAGAAATAAGCTTCCATGCTGAAGATCCATCATTTCTCCCTTCAGTTTGTCTTCCAGGACATCAACCAATGCAAGCTCATCGCAGAGACCCTGGCAGCGAAGGTGGGGGAAAAACCACAAGTGTTAAGTATATGAATGATGATGATGATGTACCCCACCCATTTGATTGGGTTGCCCCAGCTGCTCTGGGAGGCTCCCAACGTAATATACAGAAACACAACACCACAGCAGAACATCACACATTAAAAGTGTCCTGATACTTCCCTTGGGCTGCCTTCAGATATCTATGCAAGGTCGTATAATTATTTATCTCATGAAAGGGACAGTGTTTTGCACTTCCAATATTTCTAATCGCAGGTCTAGAGGAAGTCCATCCTGTGTCCAAACAGCACCCAAGCCTTCTTGCGTTATAGCAGAGAGGAGAAATATTTATACAGTGGACGCTCAGGTTGCAAACGTGATCCATGCGGGATGTGCGTTCGCAACCCACGTCTGTGCATGCGTGGGTTGCGATTTGGCACTTCTGCACATGCACAAAGTATGATTTAGTGTTTCTGCCAAAACCCAGAAGTAACCTGAAAAAATGCAACCTGAAGCGTCTGTAACCTGAGGTATGACTATAATATAATATAATATAATATAATATAATATAATATAATATAATATAGTACCAGCAAAAAAGTGGTACCAGTCCTGACTTGATTTGCTTTAGGCTAAGTTAAATCCAGGGTTTGCTCTCCTACCGCAGATGCCCATGAATGCTGCCCATGACACCTTGGCCACGCATTCAGCTAACGTGAAAAGGACTCCGTGCAGATATGATCATCTGGGAAGGAGCCGTACAGAGCAGAGCCTCTTCTCAGCCTGGTCAAATTTGTGCAAATTTGGTAGCCCACTAAGCGTCAAGAGTTGTCCAACTGAATGTTAATTACAAAAAAAAAAAATAGCACCAAGAGAATATACTTCATGCATCTCTATAAATATTCATAGGTGAAGGGACCCCTGACCATTAGGTCCAGTCGTGACAGACTCTGGGATTGCAGCGCTCATCTTGCTTTATTGGCCAAGGGAGCCGGCGTACACCTTCCAGGTCATGGGGCCAGCATGACTAAGCCGCTTCTGGAGAACCAGAGCAGCGCACGGAAACGCCGTTTACCTTCCCACCGGAGTGGTACCTATTTATCTACTTGCACTTTGACGTGCTTTCGAACTGCTAGGTTGGCAGGAGCAGGGACCGAGCAATGGGAGCTCACCCCGTTGCGGGGATTCAAACCGCCGACCTCCTGATCGGCAAGTCCTAGGCTCTGTGGTTTAACCCACAGCGCCACCCACGTCCCTATATATATTCATAGAGTCATAGAATTGGGACCACAAGGGTCATATACTGCAACCCACTGCAATAATGCAGGAATCTTTTGCCCAACATGGGGATTTAACTCACGACCCCGAGACTCTCGTGCTCTACCAACTGAGCTATCCCAAGTCCTGGAATCGAATCATGTGGATTCTAGCCCTTGGAGCTTATAAAGGCAAGGATGGGGCTCCAGAACTCCCATCAGAGCCCAGCCGCCAAGAACGATGGGAGTTGTAGTCGAGCCGCAACAGGAGGAACCCATATATTCTTCACACTGGCTGTTATATCGCTAAAGAAGCCCACCCATTACATTTCCCTTTGGCTGCAACAGGAGTAACCCAGAGGCACCCAACCCAGTGCCCACCAGATGGCTCTGGACTCCCCGCTCCAATCTTCCCTAACCATTGGTCATGCTTGCTGGATGTCACCATGTCAGCCCCCTCTGACTAACCAAGTCCATGGGTAGGCAAACTGAGGCCCGGGGGCTGGATCCGGCCCAATCGCCTTCTAAATCTGGCCCGTGGATGGTGCAGGAATCAGCATGTTTTTACACAAGTAGAATGTATCCTTTTATTTAAAATGCATCTCTGGGTTATTTGTGGGGCACAGGAATTCGTTTATATATATTTTTTTCAAAATATATAATCCGGCCCCCCACAAGGTCTGAGCTGTAGTGGACCGGCCCCCTGCTGAAAAAGTTTGCGGACCCCTGCCTTAGTCTCTTACAATGAAGTTGGCTTAAGGGGAAGGCGATGGAGCATCTGTTTTGCATGGTCCCAAGATTCTCCAGGTAGGACTGGGAACGGTCCTCATCTGAGATCCTGGAAGGCTGCTGCCAGACAGTGCAAATGAACTAGATGAACCCATGGTCTGACTCTGCACAAAGCAGCTGCCTGCATTCCTAACTGGAGAACCTGCATCTTGCTCCTCTAGATGTTGCTGGAGGACAGTTTCCACCATCCCTCTGCCCATGGGTACCACTTGCATGGAAGAACCTATTAACCAGATTATTATTATTTTTTTGGTGGGGGGAGTCATAATTGCACTTAAAAAGGTAAAGGGACCCCTGACCATTAGGTCCAGTCGTGACTCTAGGGTTGCGGCGCTCATCTCGCTTTACTGGCCAAGGGAGCTGGCGAACAGCTTCCGGGTCATGTGGCCAGCATGACTAAGCCGCTTCTGGCAAACCAGAGCAGCGCACGGAAACGCCGTTTACCTTCCCGCCAGAGCGGTACCTATTTATCTACTTGCACTTTGATGTGATTTCGAACTGCTAGGTTGGCAAGAGCTGGGACCGAGCAACAGGAGCTCACCCCGTCACAGGGATTCGAACCGCCGACCTTCTGATCGGCAAGTCCTAGGCTCTGTGGTTTAACCCACAACGTCCCTAATTGCACTTAGGTCTGGCCATTTATGCCACCCAAACACAGACACACAGACACACACACACACACTGACCTTTTCCAGGACGCTGATGGCACAAGCCATCCCAACTTGACCGACTCCTACCACGGTGACTTTGTTGTTTGGCTTGGTGGCCGGCTGCGTCACGGGTGTGATCAGTTTGTCCTTGAGCGAAGCCATTTTTTGCTGCAAAAAAAGGAGAAACCAGATAGAACAAAGGTCAATTTCCAGCTTCTTCAAAACAACCAAAGCAAAGTCCTCAAGTGCTTTCAAAAGAAGACTCCAGCTCCTACCAAAATGCAGTTGAGAAATAAACAGGATTAGCTTGAGACTGACAAAACACAGCACGTGGCCACCAGACTAATACATTTCTACCCATTTACGTTTGCCCTACAAATCTGCAACACCTGCCAGCAGTTTCTCAACGTGCGGTTGCATAACGCCACAAATTGTGGAGTCTCAGCTGTTCCTTTTCATTTAAGTACCTCCCCATTTCATTTCACTTCTGTCTTCCCTTCAAGGTCAGTGTTATGCACAGGTCTTCTTCCCTTGATCCATTTTATTCTCACGATGTCCCTGTAAGGTACGTCAGGCTGAGAGACGATGGCTGGCCCATGGCTAAGCTGGGATTTAGAGCAGTGACTCCCTAGTCCTAGCCCAGCCACACGGGATATATATTTTTTTTGCCCACCAAATACTTCTTCGAGGCATTGCCATTAATTTGCACCAGTACAGAGGTGCTTAAAAGGCGTTAGGAGATGCAAAGCCTTAATTACGTAACTATTAATTTGATTTAAAACTCACAACTTCCTCAAAAGGAGCCCAAGGTGGTAAACCTATCAACACAATTAAAACTTCTATTAAAAAAAAAGTTTACAACTCCTGAAAGCAACCACCTGCTCTCAAACTAATAATTTCAGGGTTGCCTTGGACAGAAACCTTCACCCATTTAATGCCTGTATAAACAGGAATGTTTTAAGACTTCTCCAAGAAATTAATAGGGAGGGAGGCTAGCACACCACACAATCTAATTTACACCCTTTCCTTAGCAATTCAGTTTCCCATCCTTACAGTCATGTTTCTCCACCGACAATTTCCTGCTGCCTTATACACGGTACTTATACATTTATTCATTTATTGCATCCTGACTATCCTTCCCTCGCTTATACAGTCGTATCTTGGTTTTCAAACGCCTTGGGAGTCGAACGTTTTGGCGCCCAAACGATCGAAAACCAGAAGCGACTGTTCTGGTTTCCAAACGTTCTTTGGAACCCAAACGTCCGGCGCGACTTCCATGGCTTCCGATTGGCTGCAGGAACTTCCGGCAGCCAATCGGAAGCCGAGCCTTGGTTCCCAGATGTTTTGGAAGTCGAACGGACTTCCAGAAGGGATTCTGTTCGGCTTCCAAGGTACCACTGTACTTCAAGACCTGCTCACGATTTCATTTGGCTAGAATACTGTTATAAATAGTCCGAAAGGAATTTCCATTCTTCCATGATGATGATGATGATAATAATAATAATATTTTATTTATATCCTGCCCTCCCCAAAGCCAGGCTCAGAGCAGCTAGCAACAAGAAAAATAGCACCGTTTACATAAAATCACAGTCAGTTAATTGAAATACATTCTAAAATCAATTCAGAATCAAATTAATGGCAACCATTGGGCTAGAGTTCTATGAGGATTACAGAAGGAGAGAGGGGGTTAGACTGTGCCTTGGCCAAAGGCCTGGTGGAACAGCTCTGTCTTGCAGGCCCTGCGGAAAGATGTCAAGTCCTGCAGGGCCCTAGTCTCTTGTGACAGGGCGTTCCACCAGATCGGGGCCACAGCCGAAAAAGCCCTGGCTCTGGTTGAGGCCAGCCTAACCTCCCTGTGGCCCGGGATCTCCAAGATGTTTTTATTTGAAGACCGTAAGGTCCTCTGTGGGACATACACCTTTCTTCGTTTTGATCTCTTATTTTCGCCGTTCATTTGGCTAGAATACTGTTTTAAATAGTCCGAAAGGAATTTCCATTCTTCCATACACCTTTCTTCGTTTTGGTCTCCTATTTTCACCGTCAATCTCTCCACCTCCACATAGTTCTTCAAAATCCGGTCCTCTTTTCTTTGAACCTCGCTTTCTTCCCATTTCTGCACGTACAGAACTCTGGCTGCTGTGGTCACACACATAAACAATTTGACCATCTTTTGGGGGGACTTCTCATCCTATTTTTCCTATTAAGAATGCTTCAGGCTTTTTTGGGGAATAACGATTTTAAACATCTTTTAAAATTCATTATGTATCATTCCCCCAAAGCCTATTGCTTTTTTACAAGTCCACTACGTATTTTTTTTTTAAAAAGGTCCTTTCTGCCTGCTGCCACTTCCAGAATTTATTTGACACAGTCTTATACAGGCTTCCTTAACCTCGTCGCTCCAGATGTTTTGAGACTACAATTCCCATCATCCCTGACCACTGGTCCTGCTAGCTAGGGATCATGGGAGTTGTAGGCCAAAAACATCTGGAGGGTCGAGGTTGAGGAAGCCTGGTCTTATACATCTTGGCTAATTTACTTGGAGTTAGGTATCACCCATATGTCATTTTCATGTACCGTATTTTTTGCTCTATAAGATTCATTTTTTCCCTCCTAAAAAGTAAGGGGAAATGTGTGTGCGTCTTATGGAGTGAATGCAGGCTGCACAGCTATCAGAGAAGCCAGAACAGCAAGAGGGATTGCTGCTTTCACTGCACAGAGATCCCTCTTGCTGTTCTGGCTTCTGAGATTCAGAATATTTTTTGTCTTGTTTTCCTCCTCCAAAAACTAGGTGCGTCTTGTGGTCTGGTGCGTCTTATAGAGCGAAGAATACAGTAGTTTTCCTTTAATGTATAACACGCCATAATTTTCAAATCTACTTTCCACAGCTTTTCCCACGCTGTCGTATCGATAAAATGGCCCAAGTCCTTAGCCCATTGTATCCAGACTTAACCAGCTCATTTTTTTGTTTTCCATTCTCTTCCACCACTTTTATTGGTTTTCAGAGGTTTGGTTGCATAAATTCTGTCATAAGGTAGAAACAGTCTCTCATGCCTTGTTACGCTGCCGTTTCTACGGGGATATACGCTCAGGATTTATTACCCCTGCTATGCAAAAATCTCCAAATGAATCTGAACTTCAGCGTCTAAAATTCCTGGTAGAGGACACGGATCCTGAGTTCACGTTAAGGGTAGCCAAATTCTGTGCAATTGCCATAAAACTGAGGGAACAAGCTGTGCTATCATAAAGGTTTTAAATGATAATTTTAGGTTATATGTTAGTGACTAGGTTTTAATTTATATATATTTAAACTGTTGCTATATCTGTATTGTCCTTGTTATACGTAATTGCAAATTCAAATGTATCCCTATCGTGTTTTATGACTTCCTTGATATTGTATGTGGGCTGGAACTGGTCTGTGACCGAAATAATAAAATTCATTCATTCATTCATTCAAATTCTGTCATATTTAATTGCTAGTCGCTTTATCTTGCCCAAGGCAACCCAAAGTGACTTACTACCAACCAAGCAAAAACAAACACACAAAGCCCATATAAATACATTGGGAGGGGGGAATAAATCAAAACCTTCCCACCCACTTCTAAAAGGGCACTGATAGAATTGTAGAGTTGGAAGGGACCCCAAGAGCCATCTAGTCCAACCCCCTGCAATACAGGAATAAATACCATATTTTTCGCTCTATAAGATGCACTTTTTCCCTCCTAAAAAGTAAGGGGAAATGTGTGTGCGTCTTATGGAACGAATGCAGGCTGCGCAGCTATCGCTGAAGCCAGAACAGCAAGAGGGATCGTTGCGCAGTGTTCTGGCTTCTGGGATTTTTTTTCTTGTTTTCCTCCTCCAAAAACTAGGTGCATCTTATGGCCGGGTGCGTCTTATAGAGCAAAAAATACGTTAGTTAAAGGCCAATGGCCTGGTTGAAGAGGAACGTTTTCGCCTGGTGCCTATAAATATGTAAGGAAGGTACCAGGCGAAACCTCCCTGGGGAGAGCATTCCACAAACAGGGAGCCAACACAGAAAAGGCCCGTCCTTGTGTTGCCACCCTCCGGACCTCTCGTGAAGGCGGCACACAAGAAAGGGCCTCAGAAGATGAACACAGAATCTGGGCTAGTTCATATGGAGAGAGGCGGCCCTTGGGGTATATATTTGTTGAAATATGAAGCAGCACATAAATTAATTAAACTAACTAAATAGACATATGCTGTTCAGTAAAGATTGCTTTTTAAAAAGTTGCATCAGCATTACAAATCAGCCCCTGAAATTTACTAGTCTGCAAACAAACTTACTATTCCGCGGGGATCTGGCCGAGGGCGGGCAGACTGCTGAGTAGGAGGAGCTTCCTCTCCTGTGGCTCTGATTTTTTCCTCCTAAAAAGTAAGGGGAAATGTCTGTGCATCTTCTGGAGTAAATGCATGGTCCCCAGAACCGAATTGCCCAGGGGCAAAAAGCAGATTGTGCTTTTTTTTTTTTAGAAAGAGGGAAGGGGGTGTTGAAACAAAGCCGCTGAGCAGCTGATCTGCAAGCGATCGGGGAAGGAGATAAGGGACTCTAGAGATAAAGGAGGCTGCCAAGGAGGGGGGAGGTAAAAGCCCATGGATCCTCAGGATTTTTGCATTGGGTGGGTCACCCCAAATTCACTATCAGATCACATAGTATGTCCATGGCTACAGCCTGCACCAAAAAAATCACGCATACACTGTTTCGTGGGGCCGCAATGGCGCAAAAACGTGGTTACAAAGCACGGATCCACAGAGATCCTCAGGATTTTTGCACTGGGTCACCCCAGTTCACCATCAGATCACATAGTATGTCCATGGCTACAGCCTGCACCAAAAAAATCACACATCCACTGTTTCGTGGGGCAAAAATGTGGCTACAAAGCACGGATCCACATGGATCCTCAGGATTTTTGCACTGGGCTACCCCAAACTCACCGTCAAATCACCTATCATGTCTGTGGCCACAGCATGAACCACAAAAATCATACATCCACTGTTTCGTTCAGAATATTTTTTTCCCCTTGTTTCCCTCCTCTAAAAACTAGGTGCGTCTTATGGCTCGAAAAATACGGCAGCTACAAAGCTACTCTGCCCTCCTGCTTACCTTCTCTTGAGGGCTCCGATACGGAGGCCAACTGTTGCCGTCGCTGTCGCTATCACTGCCGCTGCCGTTGCTATACGTGCTGAACACGTAAAGAAAGCAAGTGAAGTCACTCATACTGAACTGCCACTGGCTTTAACGCACCAAAGACATGCTGGCAACATAAGGAGCTGACAAGGTCCCTGCCCAGAAAGGCTTACAGTCTACAATAACAGACAAAACAGGAATGGGGGGAGAAGTCAAAGGCTGCGTGTATCTCCTGCACGCTTCCAGCACAGACGGCAGGAAGGGAGCCCACCGTGAACCCAAGCAATAGTTGGAAGAGACCCTGTGGGTCATCTAGTCCAACCCGCCCCCCTGGAATATGCTGACCTCCATTCGTTTTTTAAAAAATAATTTTGTAAGTTGTGTGTCCTTGTTGCTCAACTTGACCCTTTTACATGATTTTGTATGTTTTGTGGCATTTGTGCATTGTGATCTGCTGTTATTTTATTGATTACAGATTAGTAATTCTTTATTGTAATCGATAAGTGTGAACTGCTAGATTATTATTTGATGTTTAATTTTACTGTTTAGTACTGGATCCTAATGGATTGTTGAGTATTGCTTTATTTGATATAAGTTGTTTATTTTAAAGCTATTGTGGCTTTTTATATAGGATCTGATTGTTACTATTAATTTTTTGATTATTATTTTTTTTATGTGCTTTGGAAGCCGCCCAGAGTGGCTGTGGCAACCCAGCCAGATGGGTGGGGTATAAATAATAAATTTATTATTATTATTATTATTGCTGTCTCAAACGGGGATCGAACCTGCAACCTTGGCATTATCAACACCATGCTCTGACCAGCTGAACTAGCTAGGCCGATTTCTGATCTCCATGTTGCATAGGATGCAGTTTGGCGGTGGGGGGTGGGAAAAGGTGGGGTCCTGGAAACTATGGCCAGGGGGTGGAACTCAATGGTAGAGCACATATTTTGCATTCCAAGTCATAGGTTTGATCCCCAGCATCTCCAGGTTAAGACCCTTGTCCCAAACCCTGGAGAACCACTGCCAGCCGGTGGAGAGCAATGGTGGGGGAACCTCAGCCTAGGGGCCAAATTATTCTTAAATGTGGCCCTCCAAGCACCTCTGTCTGGCCCTTAGGACACCCCCCTTCTCCCACAGGCCACCCCTCTCAGCAGCCTGGCTATGCACCCTCCTCGAATGTTTCTGCCTGACTGGGATGTGTCCCTGAACTGTGACAGAATCGTGGGGTTGGAAGGGGTCCCGAGGGTCATCTAGTCCAACCCCCTGCAATGCAGGAATCTCAATTATAGCATCCATGGCAAAGAGTCATCCCTCTTGGCTTGGTGGAAATCTGTGCTTGTGTAGAACCGTCAAATTCAGGCTTCCTCAACCTCGCCCCTCCAGATGTTTCTGGCCTACAACTCCCATGATCCCTAGCTAGCAGGACCAGTGGTCAGGGATGATGGGAATTGTAGTCTCAAAACATCTGGAGGGCCAAGGTTGAGGAAGCCTGGTCTAATTTTTGCATGGATGGGATGTGGCCTGCTGTACAAACGGTGGCCTTTGCTGATCCACCCATTTTTTTTTCCTCTGGCCCCCTCCACCACTGGCAAGCAGCCCTCTGAAGATTGCCTATGAGGGAATGTACCCCATAGACTGTAAATAAATAAATAATAATAATAATAATAATAATAATAAATTATTTATACCCTGCCCAACTGTCTGGGTTTCCCCAGCCACTCTGGGCGGCTTCCAACAAAACACTAAAATACAATAACCTATTAAACATTAAAAGCTTCCCTAAACAGAGCTGCCTTCAGATGTTTTCTAAAAGTCTGGTAGTTGTTTTTCTCTTTGACATCTGGTGGGAGGGCGTTCCACAGGGTGGGTGCCACTACCGAGAAGGCCCTCTGCCTGGCTCCCTGTAGCTTTGCTTCTCGGAATGAGGGAACCGCCAGAAGACCCTCGGTGCTGGACCACAGTGTCTGGGCAGAACGATGGGGGTGGAGACGCTCCTTCAGGTATACTGGACCGAGGCCGTTTAGGGCTTTCAAGGTCAGCACCAACACTTTGAATTGTGCTCGGAAACCGAATTGCCCCCCTCCCCCATGTCTGCCCTTGGCATAGGCTGGTAGTCTTCAGCCTTTGCAGAAACAGTATTCTCCTTAACCCAGAGATGGAGGTCCCATCTGTTGGTCCAAGACCCACCAGTTGAAATCCAACGGTGCACACCAGTGTTTCTTATAGAATTGTAGGGACCCTGAGGGTCATCTAGTTCAACCCCCGGCCGTGCAGGAATTGGACTACAACTCCCATCATCCCTGACCACTGGGGTCCTGCTAGCTAGGGATGATGGGATTTGTAGTCTAAGAACATCAAAGGGCCTAAGGCTGAGATGGGCTGGTATAGGCAGCTCTGAATGAGATGGGCTAATGGCAGGAGTCAAGGTAAGGCAGCCAGTGGCCGACACAGGAGGAATGAGGAGTACAGGCTGATGCACACATGTGTCTCTAAGAACGCATGAAGGGTCCTGCTGGATCAGGCCAAAGGCCTATCCAGTCCGGCATCCTGTTCTCACAGTGGCCAACTAAATGCCTGTGGGAAACCTTCAAGCAAGAGTGTTCTCTCCTCTTGCGGTTTCTAGGAACTGGTATTCAAAAGCAGTAATGCCACCAACTGGGATATAGGAGAGAGCAGCCATTGTTGCTAGTAGCCACTGCCTAGGTTCTCTCTCAGCCAGGTGAAAATAACTAGGCCTCAAAGGGATGCCTCATTCCTTATCTTCCTCTTTTTTTCTCTCCAACCAAAAAAGAGGTCTGGCAGCTTTTGGAAGATCTCATTCCTAAGTTTTATAGTCGATAGCAGTAATTATTCCTGCACCATTTTCCACCTATCTTATGCCCTCCCGTTTTTGCGCATTTTTACTCCATCTCCCACCAGCCCCAGCCAGCAGAGTAAAAATCTTGCCGGCTCCCCCCTTGCCGTTTTCTTGCAGGGAGTGGAAAACATTTTATTCCAGCCGGCTTTTGGGAACAGACTGATCTTAACGAACGGGATTGCGCCATGCTGTTTTTTCTGAAATTATCTGTATGTTTTTAATAGATTACATAGTTTTAATTCGATCCACATATGACTGTGTTTTTTTAGCTGCTCTTATTTTTATCTGTAAGCTGCCTGGAGTCCCTATGGGGGGGGGGAAGAGGCAGGGTATAAATAAATATCATCATCATCATCATCTGGAGGGCACCACATTGACGTCCCTTGCTCTGAGTTATAGAACTGCAGACCATACCGCAAATGTACATGGGTCATATATACCACCCCAAATCCTCCAGCCCCCACTATAAGATAAACCTCCATTCAGGCTGCAAAACGAGCAACATCATGGACAGGACAGCGCAGTTGGGCTCTAACGGGGCATTCATGACCTATGGCAGCCACAACACGCCGCTTCGTTCCAGATTCACGTGGCCACATGTTCTCACAGGACGCGCGCGCCTTGCTGGCTGCATCGCGCGAGGCTCTTGCGCTCCAGCGCGCGCAGGATCCCGATCCTGGCCTGGGCAAGTCGGGCAGGGTGCGGCCCGGCCCGGGCGCTGAGCGGGAAGCGTTTTCCTCGCCTGCCTCACCCGATTCTGCTAAGAAAAGGCAGGGGGTGTGCGCGTTTCGCTGCCCCCCCCCGCCTAGGCACGTGATGCCTTTGCGCTTCTTCATTTGGGGCGGGGGGCTTCTTCCCTCTTGCAAAAAGGAATGAGCAGCCTCCCACCAGCGGATGCTCCCCGTTTTGAACGCGCGCATCCCACCCCAAGTTGGCAGGGCCATTTCAAGCACCCAGGGAGATTCTGCTGTTGCAAAAAATAAAAAAAATAACTGTTTCCTTTCCCCTCCCGCTCTTTGGCAGAGCACATGTTCGCGGCGATGGCACGAGGAACGGGGGTGGGGGGAGGCGCCGCGATGCGCAACAAGTTTTCTTTTCCTCCCCCGCGTCTTCCGCGATGGTTGCCTCTGTGGCCCGGCCTCCCTTCCTCCTCCTCCGCTGAGCCAAGGCCGGCCCGAAATCCTCTACCAGGAAGAATTAAAAATGCAACTCGCAAACCTTTAAAATGCAACAAGCCTGTCCCGGTGATCAAAAGGAAAAGGCGGAGCGGGAGGTGGGTAGATTGCGCCTCTAACCACTAGGCCACCGCTCCTCTGGGCGGAAAGAAAAGGCAGGGCAGGATAGTCCACCCGGAGCCTCTTTCCAACGCAAAGGAAAAAAAGTCTTTTTCCTTTGCATCATTTTTGTTTTTTGTAAGTCCTTGGTGCGTTTTGGGGAGAAAAGGAATATATATATATATATTTGCAACCGCATTGACCTTTAGAAATGAGGGGAACGCACGATGCAAAGCGGGAGGAAAAGATGGGGAGGGGGAGATGGCTCAAGACCCCGGAGGGCAAGAGATCTACCTCCAACCCCCCTTTCTCACATGCATACACGCACACGCGAGCGCCAGGCCACGATGCGCAGGAGAGATCTCCCCTAACCGATCCCTCCCCACCCATTTGAAGCGCTTGAGTCCATCTTCCATTGCCAAAGGCTTGGGAGGGGGGGAGAAGATGGAGGGCCACCCCTCCCCCCCAAAAAAAAACAACAACAGAGGATCGGTGCGTTTGCTATGTGATACCCACCTCCGGGGTTTGTTTGTGCGCCTAGGACCGGCTTAGCAGCAGCAAGAAGACGAGGAGCGCAGCTGAGGCACAGCCTGGATGGAGGAGGGGAAAGAAGACAATGTCAGCCGGGCAAGGGGAAGGAGGCGGATCCGGAGCGGCTCCGCGTCGCTTTCCTCGGGTTACGCTTTTGTGATTGGAAACCAGAGCCCCGCCCGCCCCCTCGGCTCGCGCAATCCTCTTCAAGGACGGCGCGCCAAGGGTGAAGCTGGTGCGCGCAGCCTCGGTCCTCCTCCTCCTTCCTCCAAATTCCTTCCTTTCTTCCACCTGCGCCTTGCCCCCCCAAAAAGAGAGGAGAGAAACGACCACGTGGGTGCTTGCACCCAGGAGGACGGGGAGGTCATCGGGCCTATGCTCACGCCATCAGCACTACCCCCCCCACCAGATCATACAATGCAGCTTTGTTGTTCTGGCTCATTTTTATTTATTTATTCCGGCCTTTTCTCACCGGCAAAGCCAGAAGCGGCCTGCTAGATCTCCGCCTGCGGCTGTTGCAGACAAACATCTCGTGTGTGCCTTAAGACGCCTTAATTTATGGCGTCGGTTTTCGCAGGCTGCGTCTCGTATACTCGCCTGCGCCATATAGTTGCAGCAATATTGTACAGTACTGCTTTAGCAGTGGGGAATCATGGGAAATGTAGTTTCCTAAGGGCGCAGACATCCCAGATCTACAGTTCCCAGGTGGTGCGCCATAATAAGGCTGCCGGCTTCAGAGATGCTACAGGACTCCCGCTTCACGTCGCTTTTGCAGAAACAGACTAACAATGCAGCTAGTCCCTCTGGAGGTAGGAACTAGGAAGAGTCTTGTGGCAGTTTAAAATAGCAGCTTTTTACTGTAGCTTTGAAGGATACAGGAACTTTCCTGGCAATAAATCTTTAAGATGCCACAAGAGTCTTCCATTTGTGCTACAACGGGCTTATTTATTCAGTGTGAGCACCTTGAATTGAGTCCAGGAACAAACAGGTTATACGAGTTCTAAATTAAATGCTAGCCGCTAATCTGGCTGCAGCATTAAGTTTTCAAGTTGTTTACAAGGGGAGCACCACGCAGAGTGTAGTGCAGTAATCCAAACTAAAAGTCCATGCTGATCAGCTGATTGGTGGTAACTTTTAACCATTGCTTGGATCAGCTTGGGCCTTCCCTTTGCAGCTTGGCTGGAACGCAAGGCATGCTGTAAAGGAAAACGGGCTACCTGAAGCCAAGGTGATGCCAGGTGACTGACAGGTGGGCATGGGAGGGGGCAGAGGAACCCAGGATCCAACCAACCAGCTGGAAAAAGTTACCAGTCCCTGCTGTACCTGCACGCTTCCGCATGCTCCTCTGCAACCTTCCAGATCTAGGGCCTTTTTGGGGAAAGTTTTCCTTTTTAACATCTGTGCAACAGACCGAAATCAACAGGTGTCTTGACATCAAAGCAAGTCAGAGAAAAAGGTTGCACCTATGAAAGTTGCTTGTTTGAGACTGAAGTTAGGACTTTTAATATGCATGGGAGCTCTTCCACTGAAACATGTGCTACCAAACCGGTATTCTGCACATCTTCTGTTGCAGTCCCCCCCCCCCCCCATTCTTATACGCCAATATTTCATGCAGTTAGAAAACTGAGATGATAAGCAGAGGGACAACCTGTGCAAGTTTCTTCCCCAAGCCTGGCTGACCCCACCCAGCTGCCCAGCCTCTTGGCAATCTACAGTACAGGGGATAAATATCCTGTTACCCAGAGGAGCCGCACTGCTACTTATCCCAAATGTCCTTCAAATTAGAATCCTGGCACCAGCTGTCAGGATGCAGGGAATTCTTCGAGAGAATAAACACCACTGCAGGAACCCCAGCGGGCACAAATTTCGCACTGCAAAACTAGTTCATGTTCCAGTTTGGCTGGAGTCTTTGCTCACAGCAGCAAAACTTGGAGCAGATGTGGCACATCTACGTAAGCAATCGATTTGGGAGTATCTCCAAAGGCTTTCAACCGTTTTGGGTGGGTTTTGCTTTGTTTTTAATCCTTTTTTATACTGTTCTTAAGAATGCTGCCATGAGAGGTTGAGCAGGCAGAGCTTGATTCTGAAAAAGTTAAAGATTCCCGAATTTGGGAGACCCCTATCATTTTCTCTGTGCCTCGCTTCCAGGGGTGTAGGTGACATCTGGCAGATGTTCAGTGCTGCGGCAGAAGCACTCTGCACATGCCCAGATGTCCTTTCCTTTATTGCACTTTGTATATTTTTACATTTTTATTGATATGAACACACAGAAAAGATAGCAAAAGTGATGTGTAACAGATAAAAATGCTTATAGAACTAGAAAAAATAAAACACAGGTGCAATGGGGAGGAAAACCCAGAAAACAATTGAGAATACAATACTGCGTTCAACTGGAAATATATATTCCACATGCTTATGACAGCTGGGTAGGTGGAGATAACTTCAAGGCCAACAGGACCTGCAAGAGCTTTTGACCTTTTGTTTTACTTACACCACTATGTGCTCTGCAGAGTCCTTTGCATGGTGGTCAGTCCAGCCCTGGTGTGTGCTGCAAGCAGAGAGCAAGAATCAGTAGGGTGCCTTGAAGCAAGATGCATGCAGATGACTCAAGCAAGAATTACCGGGGAAGGCGGTGCCGAGTCATTAAGCAATCTGACTGTAAGGGGGGAAATTCCTTCCTGGTGACAAACAAGGTGATGAACCAGATTCTGAGCAAAATCCAAACCCGTGTTCTGCGTCACCCATGGGAAATCTGGGGGCATGCAAAGCTTGGTGACCCCACTTGTGGTGGGATTCCTAGCAGTGCTACACTGCTATCAACCTATTCTGCTAGCCAGGTTTCACTTGGATATTGGTCCAAATTAGGAGAAAACAAGCCAAGCTGAATGCTTTTTATGAATCATAAGTATAAGAATCACTAGAAGTGGCCTTAGCAATATAGTCTGTCTAATTTAGAATCTTGTTTTAAGAATACTACTACTACTGCTACTACTACTACTACTAATATTTTTAGTATTTATATGCCACCCATCTGATGGGGTTGCCCCAGCCACTGAACTAATTATTAAAAACACAACAAAACATCAAATATTAACAACTTCCCTATACAAGGCTGCCTTCAGATGTCTTATAAAAGTCAAATAGAGTGGTACCTCGGTGGTACCTCGGGTTAAGAACTTAATTCGTTACGGAGATCCATTCTTAACCTGAAACTGTTCTTAACCTGAAGCACCACTTTAGCTAATGGGGCTTCCCGCTGCCGCCACGCCGCCGGAACACGATTTCTGTTCTCATCCCGAAGCAAAGTTCTTAACCCGAGGTACTATTTCTGGGTTAGCGGAGTCTGTAACCTGAAGCATATGTAACCCGAGGTACCACTGTAGTTGTTTATCTCCTTGACATCTAATAGGAGGGCATTCCACAGGGCGGGCAACACTGCTGAGAAGGCCCTCTGCCTTGTTCCCTGTAACCTCACTTCTCACTGTGCGGGAACCAGCAGAAGACCCTCGGAGCTGGACCTCAGTGTCTGGGCAGAACGATGCGGGTGGTAATGCTCTTTCAGGTATACTGGACCAAGGCTGTTTAGGACTGTAAAGGTCAGCACCAACACTTTGAATTGTGCTCGGAAATGTACTGGGAGCTAATGTAGATCCTTTGGGACCAGTGTTATATGTTCCCAGCGGCCACTCCCAGTCTAGCTGCTGCATTCTGAATTAAAGGCCAAGCTCTCGTCCATCACTCTGTTCTCTCAGTGGCCAATCAGATGCCTCTGGGAAGCCCACCAGCAGAAAAAAGGAACAAAGGAACACAAAGGCCACTAGCAGAAGCCCATCAACCCAAGCTAACATGGTCCATGGTCAGGGATGATGGGAGCTAGAGTCCAGCAACGTCATAAGAGTATAAGAAGGGCCTGTTGGATGAGCTCAGTGGCCCATCTAATCTCACAGGGGCCAGTCATATGCCTGGTGGAAACATGGAGGGACACAGAGTCCCTAACTTGGACAACATCTGTATCTGAGGGGCAGATTTATCCCATACAGACAACCTTCCAGATGTTGTTGAACTGTAACTTCTGTCAGCCCCAGCCAGCAACATCTGAGGGTCTCCTAACTCCAGTTCAGTTGTTTGGGCTAGTTTATGGAGTACAACAAACCTACCTCTTTTTTTCCCTTCCTCTCTCTCTCTCTCTGTCCCTCCCCCCCGCTCGCCTTTGTCCTGTGTCCTGAACTGGACTTTTCATTATTTATGTGCCAGATGCTTTGTGATGCATGTGAGGCAAGGACAACCATCCTGACGCATCACAATAGCAGCTTCCCGGGGTAACTGTGGTTAGGGCTGGGCACCTATGGGAAATTGTAAACAAAAGTGCAGGGGAGCCTAGAGTGAACAGGAATGGGCGGTAAAGAACATTCAAAGTGCAGAGGTTCTCTCTGGGTGGAAAGCGACACACTCTCCCAAAAACAGGGCATGACAAGACAACAAATAGGCATTGAACTCCAACTCCAACCACCTGATATCCAGTTCTGACCTCGAGATTAGCCCATCTTTTTAGCCCACCTGGTCTTGCCTGTAGTCCATGCTCTTGACACAAAGTCCTTGATAAGCTCTATCAGGAGGACGAGGGAAGAACCAAAAAACCAACACATATTATAAAAAGAAAGGAAGTTGCCAGAATCAGTATTACATCCAATCTTTAATGACTCCAATCTTCAAATTTCTCCTACCAAAGTGAAGTAAAAAATAGCCCACTTTTCATAAATTTGTTCTCTTGCATTGTCGTTTATCACATGTACAGCATGTTTATGTATCATCACCTTGTCATCTCATATTGTGACAGAAGATGGGGACTCCCCCCCCTCAATATTTTGAGGTCAGTGTTTGAGATGCTATTAGGAGTTTGGGGACGATTTCCACATCCTTCCAAATAATTCAAAAGTGTGTCGGTTGGGTTTCTCGGAATCTCATTCCCAGTAATTTGCTTGACTTGTTGTTCCAATACTTGTTGCTAAAAACGTTGATGCTTTCTACATCCCGAAAAGAAGTAGCTGTTTTCAGTCTCCCATTTTGCCCCAGCTTCCACCTGCGATGGTGTTATTTACTCTTGGTTCAGTGTGTATAAAGGTCGCGCGGTGCCCCAGATAACCGTCACCAGATGATGTTGTACAACGTCAGTTCAACAAACATTGCAAATGGGAAAAAGAACAGGTTGATCGCTGAAATTTGGAACAGCAGGTTCAACAGGGGAGACTAAATGGAGGGATGCCTTTAATTGCAAAATAACTTGTCAGGCAGCGGAGGTTGAGGACCAGAGTTTTCCTTCTTTTAGATGGGCTACCATCCCAGGCTGATGAGCTCCACATACCCCTCATTTCCCTCTACAGCACGTTCAGAAACTGCCTTCTTGACTGTTGGACAGATGAGAGCTGAGTGCAGGGTTGGGAACATCTTCCTGAGACAGAAGGATGCCAAAACTGCCTCTGACAGTGGGAGCAGAACATAGATATTGTGACTGATAGTCTCATCCTCTGTGAATTTGTCTGGTCCTCTTTTAAAGCAATCGAAGTTGGTGGCCATCCCTGTTTAAATATGTGTGGCACATTCCAACCAGACACAAACACTTCGTGATGTTTAGGGGGGGGGGAGGCATCTGCTAAGGGAAAGTGTGCATAAAAATGAATACATTAGTGAAAACAACACACAAAATGCATTATATTAGGGGAAATCGGTTTGCAAAAAAATGTGTACAGCCATCAAACTCCATACCAAAAAAAATGTGTTTACAAGAGAAATTCACTCTAAAATGCTGGTGAAATCTGCAGAGGAATTTTTTTTTTTAATGACAAATACTAGCAGAAATGTGGAGAACTTGTTTTAAAGACTGGGAAAGCGAGAAGCCGAGAGAACTGCAGCAGACAGATCTGTCCATCCCTAGGAAGGGACAGAAAGCAAATCTGGGTTAAAAGTCACGTAGGTTATTCTACGCGAACCGTTTCCCCAATAGCTGCCAATGCGTGGCAGAGGGCAATATGCTTTCTGCAGCTACTGACCTGGCCCAGTTTCGAAACGCTCACCTTGACATCACATCAGCACCACCAGAACCTTTCATCTCCCTGCCTCCACCATGTCCTTTGTTGCTGTTGTGCAAATAATATGGAAAAACAAGAATCGGTCCAGCCGATCATTTACAAAATGAACGAGACATTTCCAAAACAAGCTGATGGGCAAACATGAAGCCCCACTGAGTGCAATGAGGCTTGGTCCCAAGAAAACGAAAACTTAAAGAGAGATAAACCAGGGTGGTCAAGAAGTAAAGGTAAAGGGTCCAGTCCATCAGGTCCAGTCGTGGCCGACTCCGGGGTTGCGGCGCTCATCTCGCTTTATTGGCCGAGGGAGCCGGCGTACAGCTTCCGGGTCATGTGGCCAGCATGACTAAGCCGCTTCTGGCGAACCAGGGCAGCGCACGGAAATGCTGTTTACCTTCCTGCCGGAGTGGTACCTATTTATCTACTTGCATTTTGATGTGCTTTCGAACTGCTAGGTTGGCAGGAGCTGGGACAGAGCAATGGGAGCTCACCCTGCTGCGGGAATTTGAACCGCCAACCTTCTGATCGGCAAGCCCTAGGCTCTGTGGTTTAACCCACAGCGCCACCCGCGTCCCTAGTCAAGAAGTAAACCCTACACAGATCCAGAGTGGAGTCCCTAAGATGGTTGAATGGCTCCTTGTACGCTTCCTACCGGCAACTCCTGCAGCCAAGCTGGTGCCAAACGTCTTGCTCTGCTTTCCTTTGGACCACATGAGCAAGTCCAAGAAGGGGGTCTTGTCGGCTGGGCAGTCCAGGACCTCCACACACCGATTGCAGAGCCAGTTGTGGGAGTGCTGCTGCATTGAGGTCCTGCTTGCAGGCTTTCCACAAACATCTGGTTGGCCACTCTTGCGAACCAGAGGCTGGATGAGATTGGCTGTTGCCCTTATCCAGCAGGCCCTTCTTACCTTCTTAAGCTCTTCCAGCTTTTGAACCGCATAAGGTGCCCTAGTGCCTTCACCTTTTTTGTTGCTCCAGCCTCAACTACCTAGAAAGCTATGAGTTTATGTTTGGGCTAAAATCTGGGGGAGTCTATGGGTGAGGCTTGAGGGTTTTATTAATAATAATAATAATAATAATAATAATAATAATAATAATAATTTATTTATACCCCGCCCGTCTGGCTGGGTTTCCCTAGCCACTCTGGGCGGCTTCCAACAAAATATTAAAATACAGTAATGCATCAAACGTTAAAAGCTTCCCTAAACAGGGCTGCCTTCAGATGTCTTCTAATAGTCTGGTAGTTGTTTTTCTCTTTGACATCTGGTGGGAGGGCGTTCCACAGGGAGGGCACCACTACCGAGAAGGCCCTCCTGGTTCCCTGTAACTTGGCTTCTCTCAGTGAGGGAACCGCAAGAAGGCCCTCAGCGCTGGACCTCAGTGTCTGGGCAGAATGATGGAGGTGGAGACGCTCCTTCAGGTATACAGGACCGAGGCCGTTTAGGGCTTTAAAAGTCAGCACGAACACTTTGAATTGTGCTCGGAAACGTACTGGGAGCCAGTGTAGGTCTTTCTACAATCTCCTATTGTCTCCTGCATAACTTTTCAGAACCTGGCCTGCTGATATGCTGCGTCGCTGCTGCAAGCAGACCCACTCCACGGTGGTGGGCCCTGATTTCTCTCTGACCTTGCCTCCTTTCCACATCTTGACCTCCACACTGCCATCATGCACAGCTTCAAGCAACCGGCACAAGCCACCTCCTGCCTCATGACAGCATCTGCCCTTGTTTTCCTGTACGCGCATTTTAGGTGCTTAACATTCCTGTGACCGGCGATAAAGAAACGCTGCTATAAATATTGCCGGAGGAATGCGACCTTGGCCGTTGAGGCTTTGGCTCACAAAATACCCTTCAGAAACCGTTGTAGGGCATCCCATAACCGTGCCCTTCCATGCCCGCCCGTCAGTGAGGGTGGAGACATCCTGCTTTGCACTATAACTCGCAAATTCAATAAAATATATTTTATGGGCACTAAAGGAAATATTAAAATGCATGTATGTAGTCTTAGCCTACGCATGTAGTGTTAGCTTGATGAATTTTGGGAGGGTCTTTTTTTTTAAGAGAAGGAAATGGGGAGGGTGCTTAACCCTTTCCTTGCCAGCCTGTTTCCTCCTGAAACTTTCCACACTCCCCCTGAAGATATAATAATAATAATAATAATAATAATAATAATAATAATAATTTATTTATACCCTGCCCATCTGGGAGGCTCCCAACAGAATATTAAAAACACGATAAAAGATCAGACATTAAAAACTTCCCTAAACAGGGCTGTTTTCAGATGTCTTCTAAAAGTCAGATATTTGTTTAAATGGCCTTGGCCCAGTATACCTGAAGGAGCATCTCCAGCCCCATCGTTCAGCCCAGACACTGAGGTCCAACTCTGAGGGCCTTCTGGCAGTTCCCTCACTGTGAGAAGCGAAGTTACAGGGAACCAGGCAGAGGGCCTTCTCGGTAGTGGCGCCCGCCCTGTGGAACGCCCTCCCTTCAGATGGGAAGGAAATAAACAACTATCTGACTTTTAGAAGACATCTGAAGGCAGCCCTGTTTAGGGAAGCTTTTAATATTTGATGAATTGTTGTATTTTAATATTTTGCTGGAAGCCGCCCAGACTGGCTGGGGTATAAATTGTTGTTGTTGTTGTTTCCTTGGCACCTGATGGGAGGGCGTTCCACAGGGCGGGCGCCACCACCGAGAAGGCCCTCTGCCTGGTTCCCTGTAACCTCACTTCTCACAGTGAGGGAACAGCCAGAAGGCTTTCGGAGCTTGACCTCACAATCTATTTTTGTGTCATTTCTTCCTCCCTCCACTTTACCATGCAGATTAATGCTTCTCACACCTGCCGTTAAATGCATAAGAACTCTGATCAGGAAATCTAGCAACCATTCAAAACTCAACCAGAACATTAGTAAGTGCTCTAAGGTCACCAGAGAAAATTCACACCCCAGTCATTAAGCAACTTGAGCTTCATTTACAAAAGTAGCAGAAGTCATGCGGAAAAATGCTTTCGGTGTACCAAAGCTGGAAAGTTTTGAGGTTTGACTTTTAATAAGTGTTGCGAAAACCCCTCATTTTCCAAACGAGTTTCATATGGACCATGTGTTTGTTCTTTCCTTTTTTTCTGCTTTCAGAGCAATCTGAATTTTG